GCCGCGTACATGTCAATGCAATAGCATGAATTTTCTGTATTTAATGAAATTTATTCCATGTTTTTATGACTACATACAAGTACTATAGCTATGCTCATCGTCGGCGACGACGACGACGGGCCTACTGACGAGGTGCCGGAAAGGCGGAGCCTCGAAGAAGCGGCGCGCCTATGTCACCAGACACGTGGCGGTACGCCCTAGGGTTGGGGTCTGCTACCAGACTTCTACCCGGACCGCTGCCGGAAGCGGCAAGGGCATGGTGGTTGACAGGGAAGACAGCGAGGACGGGGTGTCGAGCAGAGTAGCGGACGGCCTTATTATACTAGCGTAGGCGGTGACGTGTACTGTATGTAGACCGATGCTCGAGCGTTGAAGTCAAGGGGGACGAGGTGGGGTACCCAGGGGGGGCGTTCAGGTGGGGTGGCAAAATAAGGTTTTCAAGACCCCTTGGTCTCGCGTCTTGGGGCGTAGTCCCAAGTCTAAGGCGTCTCGCTTTTGGCGTCACTCGGGTGCCGTTCGCAAGCTCACGCCTTCCATCACTCCGAAACCGAAAAAGGAAGGCGTGTGCATTGCGTACAGGACTGGTCGCGAGTCTAGTCATCGAGGTGGCCGGAAATAATGTTAGGCAAATACATGCAAATATACTAATAGGTTCTAATTTCAAGGAAATTCTGCACGTTTTCACTGGGCTTGACCGCTTGTCAGAAGTCAAAGACACAAGGGGTCAAGGCTTGACCCCGCTAGCTCTGCTTTTCAGAAAGCAACAGAAAGCGAACCGCAGTTAGAACTGTATGGCCCTAATGCACAGTACAGATGGCAGCGACAACAGAGCAAAGCAAACAGCAAAGCAAACAGCAAGAATAGCAATGTAAATACAGTATTAGTTTGATTATAGACGATAATATTCCAGACTCTGGTTAGAATAAGCAATAACTTAGACGAAGGGCTCGTTGTGGTTGTGGCGAGCGGTTGACAAAAGTAGCCCATCACACCACCAGGAGTTCCCGTTCGATTTGAGCTGCGGCTTCCTGCAAAGCCATGTACTGCTGCAGTTTCGTCTGCTTGTCCAACGCCAGGATGGTCGCAGCCTGGTTATTCAAGAGGGTCGACGATACGCAAGAATCTAGAGTATCCGTAGGGATCTGTTCGCGTGACGAAGCTGAGGATGTGGATGATGTTAGAACCCCAGTCACGTCTAAAAACTGAGAGAGGTCCAGTTCTGAAATGGGGGGCTCAGCGCGCATATTTAAGGCAAAAGGAGATCCTTACCATTCAGGCTTGCGTGACTAACAACAGCGGATAACGGCATAGGGGTCAGCGGAGAAGTCCTGTTAGAGTAGGAAGATTCGGTCGCAGAGAGGCGATGTCTCTGATCTGCCCCTCCCATATATACATCTTCGGGCGAATCGGAAAGTAAATCAAGCATGGACACTCTGGAGACATCCAGGTGGATATCATGCAGTCTGAAGTCCGAGCATCTATCACTAGCAGGTTGCCAGGCAGTCTCGATGCCTGTACTGGGGGCTTCAAACATCACATCGTCAGTCGAGATTGACTCAGAAGGGACAAGACAAAGATGCTCACTTATTGAGGAATACCCGTTAGTATCATAATCATCTAGCTTCGGCCAAGATCTGAATAATTCAATGTCGAATTCCGCAGTGTGGTCTAATCCACCTAGAGTGACTGGACAGCTCTCGAGATCGAAGAGATTATCCGGTGGAAATGTCTGAGCAATGTCAAGCGACTCAACTCGGTCATCCTGGAATGAGGGTAGAGGGTCTGAGACACAAAATCGCCCAGCCGGTAAACCGCGAGGTCGATTATGGGTCTCTGCTCCGAAACTGTGTGATGACCGACGCTTTCGTGAAGACACGACCCCAGGGTATGTGTGGATAGCACCCTGATTGACCAGCGCTCCACACTGCCCTTGTGTATCGGTATCCAATGTAGGCGCGTTATCTGAGGACACAGATGCCGTCAAAGAGTATCCCGGACTCGTCGCATGCACTTGGCTGCTCGTGCCCAACCTGTACTTCCATGAGATGTGACTTTCAATAAAGTAGGAATAAGACTTGCCTCGCTCGCTTGGCTGGACGTTCGCCGGAAGAACCTCCACTCACAGGGCCCGAGTGAGAGACATCAACGAGCGCCCGGCGTTTCCCCAGAATAGGGATACGACAACCGAACTCGTGAAGATCTTCCAATTCTGAGAGGTCGCCATCGCTATCACTTCCACTGGACTGCGATAAAGTCAAGGAAGGGGTCCTGGAAAGCGCAGGAGGCGGTCTCCGGAAAGAACGCGCGGAACAAGGGGAGAACCCTCCGAACTCCTCAGCGAGCTTATTCCGTAGCCTTCCTTTCGCTCTCTGCAATCTCCGTAATTCCTTCTCCATTTCCTTTCTTCTCTTTACCGAGTCCTCCTCGTCCTTCTTCTTGCGTTCCGTCCTCAGCCTGTCGGCCTCGGTTATATCCTTCACAGAGACGTCTAGATCCGACGCTAGTTTGCTCTTCTTGTAGACATGTGCGCAGAGCCCTTGCGCCCGAGCTTTCATCTCCAGGAATTCATGAGTGAGACAGGCGTCCTGCGGCGCCTCACGACCTTCCTCGAGAAGTACGCGTGACGCTGCAGCCACAACATCTTGGCGACAGTTATTGAAATACGTCTTGGAAATGGTGGTCCAGCCCATTCTCCGGCGCGCGCTCTGAAACCATGTATCGATAGACGACAGAGACGCATTCGAAGCTTTTGCAATGTCTTCCTTCGTGGCCCTGGACGGATACGGATTGTGAATGTTGCGGAGAAGCCACTTGTAGCATAGCAGTGTGAAAGAGGGTCGATGTGGGCGGTCGGACAGGGATGGGGAGGAGACGAGGCACCTGCATGGGCTAGGTGAACACGACGTACACTGCTGCTTCGGAGAGGAGAGTGCTAGACGCCTTTCGTGGGTGTGGCAGTCCCGACTCCGTGAGTCCACAATGTCAGCGTCCAGGATAACCTGAAACTCCTCCTTCAACTGTGAGGTTAATGAGTCCGTAGTGGCCTGAAATTCAATGAACGCATTCGTCATCTCAGAGACCCTTGTGGAGACGTCGTACGCCAACGCCATAGTTGCCTCGTCGACTTCGCCAGTCTCTATCGCCTCGCTGAGGTCCGAGAGCAATACGGACCAGTCTTTGGAGAATGATTCGACAGCATCTGCACCTTCAGAAACGCTGCACAGGAATCGGGCCTCCGCTTCTTCCAAACGCTGACGGACGTCAGTTGAGACCATAGCGGTGTTGTGTGGAAGGGTGTAGATGTTATATGAGGGTGGGGGCGCGATACATGAGGTGCATTGAAGTTTGTTAGTGTTTAGTCAATGACTCAATGGGATACCACTGAACAATGCGGAGTACCAAATACATTGCTGTATCAGGCAATATCAGGAAACTTACTCAAGCACTGAGGCAGCTTGTTACCGTCCGATACAGTGCCCAATTCCAAGTAGCTTCTTGCCTTCATGCAGCGCAGCTGTCCTCCAGATACTCGTGGCGACCTGTTGCGTCGCATTATCGATGTTGCTCGTCGACTCGAACATCGAACATCGTCCCATCCTGTGATTCACAACACTCCTATCCGCCCACCCGCTCCCCCGCCTGTATGTCTACCGCGCCCGTCGTCTATACTAGGAAAACTTCAGGACATCGGATTACCACCCAGCTTGGCCGAAACTGTATCCAATGCATACTTACGTCGCGCCGAGGAATGGCGACACCAGGTGGAAAGGGGCATCACTCGGGTTTGCTCGGAACTGGCCCTGAAGGCCGCTAATTCCATCACTGATGATATTATAATACGACGAACGGTCCAGCTTCATGAACGTTCATATCATGCGAGGCTGGATGAATGGGTATCACAAGTCTTACATCGGGTGAAGACGCGGATTACCCCGCAGCAAAACCAGACCCATGAAGTTGCTGCCTCCAAAACTCGGCACGCCTTCAATTCAGTACGTCAAATATCTTCGGGAGTCCGGCTTCAACACTGACCCTGTTTTCGCGTAGGAATACGTGCCGATTCTCGAGTTCATGTACGAGGAAAACCCGTTTCCGCCGCATGCTGATAAAGTCTTCCTGGCCAAGAAGTGCGGGATGACATACAAACAAATCCACGTTTGGGTGAGTACTTCTTTATCTTTTCTTCGACCTTGTTAAATCTCCACCCAGTTCCAGAATCGACGAAATCGGTCGAAAAAAGAAGGTCGGGCGCCGAAATGTGAATATCATGCTGGCGATGCTTTCGCGTTCGAAGCTCTCATGAGCCGTCTTGGAGAGCGCGCTGTCCCTGCGGATCAGCGAGCTAAGCCCGTGGATTCAGATGCGTCCGAGTATGAGTGGTTGTCGGACCCCAGCGACAACGAGGTTCGTGTTATACCGATTTACCCTGGTTGTATACTAAACGAGCGCAACGTACGGAATAGTCTACCTCGCAGGAAACGTCTACGCCTCGTCCCGATGTCTTAGACAACTCTGCCGTTAGGGCACCACCGTATGCATTCCCTGCTTCATATCCTCCAGCGATACGCGCTACGAGATCACACAACTTCAACAATTTCTTGTGGCGTCGCCGTCCGGAGGGAGGAGATGGAAGGAATTCCAATCCATCAGTCGGCGTGGATGAACTGTGCTCGCAGTTTGCCGTTATGAACATTCAACGAACGGCTGGGCGTCGCCTCATAAAGAAGAAACACCACGACCTGCGTCATTCAGCGCGTCAACGGCCCGAGATATCTGACACCAGATTGAAGCGTAGAACTTCGACCCTGGATGCTCAATCCGGGTCGCCTGCCATGCAGATGGCTTCGCTGAAACGTCCGCGTACCTCTGCTGGTCGATCGCGGCAAGTCCTTCCGGAGCCTTCATGCGACGTTATTGCAGCACGTACCACAAACGACCCTGCCGCGCGGACCTTGAGGGATATCTCTGGTGAACACGTCTCTGTGGCATGTGCTGTCGCCCATCGTGAAATCCGACCGCTTCCGAGAAAGTCTCCTAGGGCCAAGGTTCACGCATCAGGTTCTCCCACTTCTCCTGGGACAGGGATTGCGTTAACGCCTGTCGAGGTATTGGGGTCGTATTCATCGCCTGACAGCGCTTGTGGTTGTAGCTCTAGATCGCCTCCGCCAGTGACGAGCTTGTTGCGCGGCTCGAACTTCGATCTTGCGAGGCCGTCCTCGGCTACTTCATGCAATGAGGCAATTCCCGACTATCCGCTATTGTCTGGACTATTCCCTACATCCCATTCTAGGTCTTTAGACCATCCATATCTGGCACGGCGTCATTCACGGAGTACTTCCGGCAGTAGGTCTCCCTTCAGCGAGGATGACGATCCTGCTCCGCGGACGCCTCCACAGTATGGCTATACTATTTCACCCCCCATGTCCGCGAGTGGCTATGACTGCGACGTCTCATCGGAGCCGCATGACCTATGCGTAGACACCCGTTTTTTTTCGGAGGGTTTACTGCTGGATCTTAGTTCGACACAGTCGAAGGCCAGACTGTCAGCCGATGCGATTCTTGACTCGCCTCGGACGATGGCGGTTGGCAATGGGGTGCAGACCTAGACTAGTCTTGTCCCGATGGTCCTCTCAATTCCCTTGAGTTTCTTATCAGGCTACCTTATGCTCGTGTTGATTATTATTTTTATTGCGCTTTATTCACGCTGCTCTTGCGATCTCGTATAATTTATATTCACAGTATCATTATTTCGTCGCTGTCGATTTTGGTGCCATCCTGATATCGCTTTCTGATGTTTCGCTGTCTTTTTAGCTATGGATGTTGGATTACTCCACAATGTATCAATTACTGCTAGCTTGTATACTTATAACACTGCAGATGAAAGTACGGACCTGAGGTTGTACAATGTAATCGCTCGCAGAGCGCATTGCACCTTCAGTCGCTCTCATACATGAATGTGGTGGCGTGTATTAGCGAACGTCTCAAGTCTCATTTGACCTCGAACATACGTTCAATGATTCGATTTACATCGGACCGCGCCATCGCTGCGCTACAATGTACAGAGCACTACACCTTGACTTCTCGCTGGCATACTGCACGAACGGCAGTATTCTCTCTGATCTCTTCTGCTTATATTCCATGAGGTCGTCCGTCATGCTCTATCACATAAACTTCGAAGCCTTCGTTACGTACTTCGCATGAGGTCATAGCCTTCTAGTCTACAATAGAGGCGACTCACCAGACCCATCAAGCTACCCAAACCACCGCTGTTGCCTCCGCCAGTCGTGCCAGAGAACTTGGATTGCACCAAGAGCTTCATGACAGTCATAGCCGCACTGTTCACTGCATCCTGCTTGTTGCCAGACACGGCGCCTTTACTATCGAACAGCTGGGTGGCTTCCGCCATAGCCATGCTGATCAGCTTCGTTTGCATGTTGCCACCTCCGCTACTGGATCCACCACTCGAGGTGAAACTTTTCAGCGCCTGAACAGACGGCACTCATGAGTCACATTTCAAAGTGCACTGATGCGGTGATTGCGCGTACTTGCAGAGCAGCTGCACCGCCAAGAGCAGAGGCATCCATACCACTGCCATCGCCTTCCTGGTATACCTTTCGATGAGCATCTTGGACACCCTGCTCATCAACCGGCTGCTGGTGCTCGGTCTGTACATGATGTCAGTGATGGACCGCTAACAATGAAGTAACGACGGCGCGCCTTGTTGTTGCTCAAGAAGCTCATCGCCGAGGAGAATAGTGAGCTATCACCCGACCCCTGAGATGTCGCGGTGCGAACGGCCTCGTCATGGTCGACTGCATACAGATATCAATGTCAAATTCGCTTTGCCACATAATGGCAGCGCAGGACACTCACTGTCGGGGCCATCATTGTACCCGCCCTGGCCCTGGTTCGAGTGGTGTGGCGAATTGTACTCCTGGCCACCAGTCTTGTTCACATTGTTCGCTGCAGGCCACAGTGGGTACGATAAATCCTATAGATGGATTCCGATCTTGACAGATTACGCACACTGAGACTCAGAGTAGGCCTGATAGCCCTGTTTGGCGAGGTTCATAATGTTATCCTGAACAGACAGGTCAATGGCCCGCCACAATGCTCTGCAGGGGCAGCCCGTACCATTGTTGTGAGATGTGGTTGTTGCTATCGAAGAGGCACTGCGGCTTGGATAGGGCGATGATGTATGGCAGCCCCTATTTATGGCAGCTAAATTGGTCCCGGAAAGGCGATGATGTCGAAGCCTTTGTCCAAGTGGCTTCTCTCGGCGATCGCCGGGTGGCGCGGTTCCTGGACCTGTGGCGGCAAGACGGGCCTTGGCTTTTGCCACAGCTCGTTCGGTTTCTCCAAGCCACCACGTGCACTTCTGTGTCAATGCTGAGCTACTGTCTGGCATATGGCTCTCATGCTTTTCCACTGTGCAATAGACTGGCTGATAATGTCTTGACAATATGCTGAAAGCACCTCAGGGTGCCGACTGGCAGGTGACACAAGATCATCCAAGATCATCGGTGATGCAAACTCTCCTACACTGCTCATGGTTCTAGTTTATCCGTCCTTCTTTGTCTACCTGTGTTGCCGGTTGCCGATTGGTATCAGTGTAAAGTCTCAAGATCCGAAAGGTCTCGTTTTTCCATCCAGTCGCAATGGGAGCGGAACGCGTTACATCCTTGCCATTCCACTAAAATTTGTGTCAAGGAGCAGTCTCATTATGCTACGGGGTATAGGACATATCTATCGTACATTCAGTCTTCCTTCCAGACTAGCATACATTCATACAGCGTTCTCCCCAACTCGCAGCGCACTTGGGTCCTGCACCGTATTGGTAGGCGGGTATGGCTCGCCAACCGTATGAGGTCCACTCTCGAGGGGTGCCGTGGACGCAGGTACGGAGCTGTCTGCTGGTCCGGTCGTGCTCGAGGTCTTTCCAGCACCTACGTATCCCTGAGCAGTCTCGACGGCCTTGTTGATGTGTGGCTGAGCTGCAGCCTTGGCCGTCTCGATGTGAGGCTGAGCAGCGGCTGCTGCAGCTTGGACGTATTCCTTGCCAGTTGCAAGCGCACTGGTGGCAACTGACGACAGGGTGCCGACGACGCCATTGGCAGTGCCAGCGGCAGTTCCCTTGGCTTGTTCGGTTGAAGGGAGATATGACTGGATGGGAAGGGTCCTCAATATCATCATCAATGCGCAGATGTGCTCCCGGACGTACCCCTGCGGTAGCGGCAGCTGAGCCAACTAGCGACTTGGCCTGTTCAACGTATCCGGCGCCAGTGGCCTTCGCACTATCCACATCGTGCTTGCCCTCCGCGACGGCCTTGTCGGTCGTCGCGCTCAGTTGTCCTGCAGCACCACTAGCTCCCCCACTCAGGTCAGAGTTCAAGGTCGCCTGAATCGGGGATAACGCGTCAGCATATTCACAAGGCACAATTGAGATGTGAATACGAACCTGGGCAGCGAGAGCAACCTCCTCGGCGGCCTTCTTCTCGAGTTCTGCGTTCTGAGCAACCTTCTGTGCGAGCTCGGGCGTGGAAGTCTCTGCCTCAGCCCAGGCAGCGGTGGTCTCGTACTTGGCGCTGGACGCGTCTCCGTCAGGACGGTGCTACAACGCAGGCAATGACTCGCTACTCACTCAGAAGACATGATAGGTATTCAGATATTCGGATAAGATAGTGTGAGGTGTCGTTAGCAGGTAAAAGTGAAGAACACGGTGAGTGAAGCTGTCTGTTTTATACGGCGCCATAGGTGTCAGCGTAAGCATCAGGTGTGCATCACCTTGGAGCGTTGTGGCGGGCCCCTTGGCTCAAAGAGAGCCGCACGTCATTGACGCGTGACGTCATCGCACAGCAATGTGAGATCCAGATGACGCTTCGTTGTGGCAGTACAGGACTGTGCTAGTACTCTTATCGTACGCGGGGCCCCGACAACAGAGAAAGTTGAAATGCAATAAGTGATAGAAAAGGCAACGAGCAGAATAAGTGAGTGCGTGCAGAACGGTCAATGCTGGGTATGCCCGAACCATATGAATTGAACAGCGTGAAATGGAAAGCACGAACGGCAGGGAATGAATGCACCGAAACGAAAAAAAGTAGAGTCGAAGTCTAGGCATTTCTACGAACATAGGCATAGCAGAATTAACAAAAAGTCCGCAGCGTTACTTATGAATATTATGAACGCTCGCCGCCTTCTTCGTCCCATGACTGGGGCGTCATCCGCAGGAACCGAGCGAGAACCTCCTCTGAGCCCTTCTTGAATATATCGACGCTGCGGGTAGGATCCCAAACACGGGAAGCGGTTTTCCTGGGGGGTCCAGGGATAGGCTGGCCATCAGAGGGCGATATGGGTCCCACAGACGACGGCGACGACGCCAACCCGGTTTCGTTCGAAGATGTGCGCGTTATCTGCGGCGACATCAAGGGCTTCTGAGAAGGCGATGTCACCACCGTCTGTTGAGGGGGAGACCTGACGCGCGTGTACGCGTGCGGAGGCGAGTGGATAGGAGATCCGCCTTTCGGAGACCCGGCCATAGGCGGACTAAAATTGCGGGGCGACTTCATGCCTGAAGGAGAGTCCCAGTGTGGCACCACCGGCCTAGGGGGAGGCAGCAGGGCAGGCGAATCGAGCGCAGGTGAACCAGATCGCGTCGCCACAATCGGAGATCCTGGACCACCGGTAGGGGACCAGTTCTTGAGAGTCGCGCCGCTACCCGTCCGACCGCGGGTTTTCAACGAAGGCCTCGGAGGAGATCGCTTTGCTACTGGTTCTTGGTCCAAATCATCAGAACCTTTCGTAGATTTGCCGATAAGAGTGACCTGAACACTCTTACTACGCATTTCTCTAGGAATGGTCTGCACACCTTGTGTCCGGTATTTCCCTTTTCCACTTGGACCTGTACCTGTGGGTGTCAGCGCGCCGGTCGAACCACTGCTGGTCCGCCGCCTTCTGGAACCGCCTCGTTCCCGACTGCTGTCATCGCCATTGTGGCTCGCATCGTCGTCGTCTTCATCGTTCGCGCCTTCGTCATCGCCGTCGAAACTACTTGCCTCGGACCGAGTCTCCCAGCTGCGATAGCCCTTGCGAAATCCATCGTCCTCGTCGATCGTAGGAGCTGGGTTAGCACGGTGTGACGGTCTCACAAGCTTTGTGGCATATTTCGTGATGCTTGGTACTGTATCCCAAGCATTTGTGTACGCCAACTTCTTTGGGAACCCTTTCGTGGGCGGAGGAGGGGGAGGCGGTTGCGTATACGCGATAGGTGAGCGGACGGGCGAACGGCCAGGCGACGTTGTCCGCTCTGGCTCCGCTGGAGGGGGACTCTGTACCTTCTGCTCTTCTATAAATACAGCACGGGGCGGCGGAGCATCAGTCGATGGAAAGGCTCGGACCGGGACATGTCGGGGCTTCTCTTCCCACGGAAACACTGTCTTCACTTTCATAGGATCAGGGGCGGGTGCTGAAGGGGAACCAGGTTGGCCCTGCGGCGTTTGCCCGATGACGTTCGTGTAGTGGCCCTCGCGAAGAAGACGCTCTGGAATAGCGGCGGGCGGCGGAGGCTCAAAGAACGGTCCTTGGTGTTCAGAAGAGCTCGACCCCGGATGAGCATGATATGCCACATCATGCTGTTTGCTGGGTGTTTGATCCCATACATTAGGGAAGTACGTGTCGGTGGGGAAAGCTGATGCTGGAGGGGCAGTGCGGGGAGGCGGCTCAACAGCGGGATTCCAAGAAAGCAGCGGGGGCGAAGACGGTCGCCGAGGAGGTGAATGGTGGTGGTGATGCTCCTGGTGCTGGCCTCCGTGGTGTTGATGTTCATGCTGCTGATGATGCTCGTGGTGGCTGGGTCCTCCATGTTGACGGTGTTGCCCATGCTCGTGGCGCTGATATTGGTGGCCGTGCTCATGATGCTGGCCGTGCTGGTGGTGTTGTGGATGTTGACGATGCTCGTGGTGTTGATGGTGCTGACCATGGTCGTGGTGCTGATGCTGCCCCGATTGCTCGTGACTATGTTGCTGATGGTACCATTCTCCGCTATGATCCTGCTGAGACTGTTGCCATACTTGATCACCGGGAGGAGGCTGCCATCCCTGATCGCCCGAAGGGGGCTGCCATGGAGTAGGCGGCAATGTGTGCCCATGGCGAGCAGGAGCAGGAGGATATTCATCTGGTCCTGGAGTCGGTAGTGTCTCCATCCTGGGAGTGGAGCCAGATCCCAACCGCGGGTGCTCCGCAGTTGGAGTCCTTTGGTCGTCTGAGCCCTGTTCTGAGGGTTTCTCTTCCCTCCTAGGTCTCATCAGGTCAAATCGACCCTCCAGAGGCAAGGAACGATACTCTCCTTCGCGTCGGGCCCCTACAGGCCCGACGCTGCCGCTGCTTCCACCGCCATACGCACCCATACCCTCGACAGCGATCCGCCTGAGCTCTTCCAAGCCCAAGGCACCACCAGGCGTCATACCACCGGCAGTGGAAGCGGCCTCCGCACCAATCCCAGTTTTTTCGTCCCAAGCGGAGCTGTACTGCGACACCTGAAATTCCGGGACCGGGCCAACGGGCTGGGATCGATAGTGTTTGTCGTACACAGCATACCATCGATCAACCAAGGCCGAGTAGTTGTATGCGCGCTGTGGCTGGGTTGCCTCCTCTTGGAACTCCTTGGAGGCTGGCCCGCGGTAAGGTATCTCCCTCCAGGGCTTGTTCGCACCGATGAAGTGGATTGCGGCAATCTGGGAGCCAAACCGCTCATATGCAGGTGCATATCTAATGGAAGAAATAAGTTTACTTTGGAAGACGCGAGATACAAGAGAACTTCTCACGTGTATGCGGCTGTTGGGGTCGTGTTATAGATAAAGCTAAGCCGGTTCCAATTGGGCCCGCGCCATTCATTGAGCAAACCTTGGTCTCCACCGTCCCAACTTCCCTTGGTTTTAGCAAGCTCCTGCAGTTCCTTGAACTTGTCCTCTCCCGGGGTGAGGACCATCATCCCGGAGTTGAATATATCTGGCCATCCTACATCCGGTACAGCGGAGAAGTCGTGCGGGAGAGTGAACAAATGGGAGAGAGGGCGGATGGGGAGAATGTCGGCGTCTAAGAATATTATTTTAGAGTATTGGGTGAGGCGGAAGACGTGGAGTTTCGTGAGTACATGTGATAAGTCAGGACGGCCTGCGATGACGGTATGTCAGCATAAATGGTATCATATGAAAGACGATGGGTGGCTCGGAACATAGTGTGAGGGGTGTACTATGTCGAGGACTATCTGGAAGATCCTTCCAGGACTGCGCGGCAGAGATAGAGGTGAGCCGGATAAGTGGTGCCCCTACACATTTCATGGGTCATATGACCGCGGTAATCAAAGACGAGGGCGGAGGTAGCCCATATCGTTGAGCCTCACCGCAGTTTTCATAGCGAGAAAACACGTAGACATCCATATATGCGCTCCCCCTGAAAGAAACGCGTACTCACCTAGGAGTCTGAGGCCCTCTACGTCCTGCTGGTCGATAACTTCTACACCGACGACGACGTCGTACGCCCTCCTGAGCAATTTTACGGTCGAAACGTCGACCGTCTCTGGTGTGACCAAGCACACGGTCTGGAACTCTACCTCCGGGGGTTCTGGCGGGGACGGATGTACATCTCGGAGAGCCGCGACAAGAGCAAGAGCACCAGGGAGATACGAGTCTGAAGTTACAAGAGTTACGAAGGCATAAGGAATGGCCATGGGCGACTGTGCGCTCAAAGAGGGGGGACCGGAGCGTCAGAGACGCGTTAAGAAAGGACAGAAAAGCAAGAAGGCAAAAAGTTGGGAACAACCCCAGCCAGTGCCTTTACAGCTTCCGGCCTGCAAACGTAAATTCGCGTCCCCGCATTTGGTATCCCCACAAACACAGCCAAACAAGGACCCCGCCCCAGACTGCGGGGCCCCGGGTACGCTGTCATTACGGACGCGTCTCCTTTTTATTCCCATTCATCGCTGCCACTTCATCCCGCGGGTGAGGAGGTCTACAGGGCTTTCGAATTGCTGAGTACGCCTTGACGTTGTCGACCACGTAAAGCATCGTGACGTTCGCCAGATCATTCCTTCAGAATAAAGTAACACAGAGAACTGCTTCCCTTTGGAAGAAGCTGTTCGTTTCTCACCAACATGCTGTCCCTGGTCAACATCGCGAAGCTTGCCATTCAGAACAGCATGGGAGCTCGGAAGTCGGCCCAGATGCAACAGAGTCGAGACGCGCTAATCTGCCGCCCCCGATGTCCGACGAGTCCTTGCAGGGAAATGATGCCATGCGACAAGAGCTACAGACGTGGGATGCGCACTAGCATAGCTACTCTTGTTTGTCGTGAATCGGTGGGCGTGCCGGACTATCCGACAGCGACGCGTCGACGCCGGCGCAGACAACGGGCGCGTAGATTTGCAGGACGTCCGATATGACGTCAAGACGCGTCGCCCAATTAGGCGTGAGATCAAATCAGCTTTGACGGGGCCGGCACCAACAACCTGGACGATGCAAAGTCAACTTTGCCCACTGCTGCCCACGACGCCGACGCCGACGACAAAGGCCGTTCTACTACCGCCGTAGTCGGGCAGCCGCCGAGTCGATGGTCCTCCGCGTATTTTCGCTGCCGCTGGGCTTGAGACACGCCCTTCTGACGCCGCGGCCACCGGTCAAGGCCTTTCCCTTGCGCCGCTCTTCCCACTGGGCGTCCGACCCGCGTCTGCTGTCTTTCTTCACCCGCAGCCCTGTTCCACGATTTTCTCTGACGCGGGCTTTACTATGGTCTGTGCCAATTGCTGGAGGTTTGACCTTGTACTTGCTCCCGCAGCCGCGAAATTTTCTGCATGATCTAGTCGCGTCCCCGGCCATAATCCCCTGCTCAGTAGACGCTCGAAAACCGTTGGAGCCCGTGATCAACTCCCCTCTGGAAGCAAACCGTACATTCTTTGGTCGTATAGCTCGGATATTTCGCAACACGATATGGGAGCCTATCCTCACTGCTCGCCGGTTCATCCACCTACTCGCGCTCTTCCTTCCGGTCCTCTTAAGCGTCCCCATGTTATTGGTGGGCGTACCGGAGTCAAAGTATGACGGAGATAGATGGGGGGCGGTCTGGTGGTACGGATTCTTGGTAGAGCAGATGGAAAGAGCAGGGCCAACCTTCATCAAGGTGTTTATCCTGTTCGCGAGTTTCGTGTATACAGCGTATCTAATGGAAATACATAGTTGGCACAATGGGCGGCGTCACGCGCGGACTTATTCCCCGCTATACTTTGTGATAGGATGGGCAAACTACACTCCCGGGGCAATCCTCATCCCCTTCATCATACCAAACGTGTAATTGAGTCTGTCTTCCAGAGACCATTTGATGAAGTGTTCGAGGAATTCCACGAGGAGCCCATTGGCTGTGGTGCTATAGCACAAGTTTACAAAGCCACTCTCAAGCATGACCTCTTACCTCCCTCGTACCTCGGACCCCGCCGCAACCGCTCTCAGCCTCTGGTAACCCTTGGTCCATCCGAGCCGCCACCGTCGGCTCCCACTGCCGCCGTAGCTCTGAAGATTCTCCACCCAGGTGCAGCCGCTCTGATCTCACGCGACCTTTCCATCATGTCCTTCTTCGCCCACGCTCTGTCCGTCCTCCCCGGCATGCAATGGCTCTCACTCCCAGACGAGGTGGAGGTATTCGGCCAGATGATGTATGAGCAGCTTGATCTGCGCCGTGAAGCGGAGAATCTCGAGCAGTTCGAGCGGAATTTCAAGAATCGGCCCGAGCCTATCGCGTTCCCGAGGCCGTTGAAGACGTGGTCGGCGAAAGACCTCCTTGTGGAAGAGTATCAAAACGCGTTGCCGCTGGAGGCGTTCTTGAGGAACGGCGGTGGCCCTTTCCAGGATGCTTTGGCAGAGCTTGGCTTAGACGCGTTCTTGGTGTGTGACAACCTCAGAATTGTCTAAGACGCGAACTGACATGCTTGTAGAACATGTTACTTTTAGATAACTTCGTCCATGCTGACCTGCATCCGGGTAACATCATGATCAAGTTCTACAAGCCCGCCTCCGAACCTCTGGGCGAGAGCATATTCAGGCGTCTCCTCATCCTGGACAGGAAAAAGGACCCGGTGGAATATGTGAAAGGCGCGACGATGGATTCTGACACCATCATCGAGAAGCTGCGGCCCATAATGCACGATCCCGACGCCTGGCGAAAGGAGCTGGACAGGCTCAGCATGCAGGGCTACGCACCGGAGATCGTCTTCGTCGACGCGGGGCTGGTGAACCAGCTGAACGCCACGAACCGGCGCAACTTCTTGGATCTCTTCCGGGCAGTGGCAGAGTTCGACGGCTACCGCACCGGGCAATTAATGGTCGAGCGGTGCCAGACGCCCGAGCTGGCTATCGACACGGAGACGTTCGCGCTGAAGATGCAGCACCTCGTCTTGAACGTCAAGCGGAAGACGTTCTCTCTTGGGTCTATCAAGATCAGCGACATTCTGACGGAGGTCCTGAAGGCTGTCAGGGAGCACCACGTGCGGATGGAAGGCGACTTTATCAACACCGTCATTAGTATATTATTGCTCGAGGGGATAGGGAGGCAGCTCGACCCTGGACTGGATTTGTTCAAGAGCGCGCTGCCGATCCTCCGGCAGCTGGGGAAGCAGATGAGTGCGCAGGAGGCGATGACGGAGCTGCCGGGTGGGAATACGGGGGCGTTCTTGAAGGTGTGGGTGTTGGCGGAGACGCGGGAGATGGTGAACGCTGCGTTCTCGAACACGGATGATTTGATTCGGTATGATTGGTGAGTTCTGTTTCGCTCAGTTTCGAGATGGCAAGCTGATCGTTGCCTTTTTCAGGCTTACGCCGAATGCGTAAGAGCTCTCCCGCTATGATAATCTGCGAGCTATAAGTATGGGTATATTCACCCGACCTCCCTGGAATAGACAGGATGATCCCGTCATGTTCGGGAAGCTAAGGATTGATCATGATGGACAAAGAAGTATAGATACACACCACCCTCTACTGTATCATAGGAGACTAGATAATAGACGACAATCTAGAATCGAAGCATTACCCGGGAGTATTGTCGGTAGTCACGAGAGGATCCTCGCTGAGCCACAGCACTTAATCAAGTTCAGTCTTCTTCATTGCTACATCTAATGGTACAAAACTATGTCCTTGTATTTCCCTTTTCCTTCTATATTACTTCTTGCTCAACACCTCTGTCCAGCCCCGCTCGTACTGGTTCGCCGGCTTCACTGCAACCCCCATCTCCAGCGCCGCCCGCATGACCCAGCTCGGGTTCCTGATCAGCTCTCTTGCGAGGAACACCACGTCCGCCTTGCCCTCCTCCAAATACCCGTTCGCCGCCTTCGGATCCGTGATCATGCCCACCGCCCCGACCAGCGCGCCCGGCACCGCCGCCTTGATCGCCTGTGCGAAGGGCACCTGGTACCCCTCCCCGAGCGGGATGCGCTGCGCGGCGTGGTTGCCGCCGCTGGAGACGTCGACGAGGTCTATGCCGATCTCGCGCAGGCGCGCGACGAAGGTCTTGGACTGCTCGATGCCCCATTGCGCCCAGCTGCCGTCGGCGCGTTGCTCGGGCCCGTCTGCCCAGTCGCTCGCGCTGAGGCGGACAAAGAGCGGCTTGGCCCAGGCGGCGCGGACGCGCGCGATGAGCCGGAGGGGGAAGCGCATGCGGTTCTCCAGTGATGGCCCGCCGTGCTGGTCGGTGCGGACGTTGGAGAGCGGGGAGAGCCAGGAGTGGAGGAGGTAGCCGTGGGCGGCGTGGATCTCGATGAAGTCGACTTGCGGGTCGTGTTAGGGGATGAGGATAGGCAGATGGGAAAGTAGCTTACACCCGATCTGCTTGCACCGTTCGACTGCTTTCAGCCACTCATCTTCTACGTACTGGAGGTGCTCCTCGGACATTTCCTTGGGCTGAGGAAAGTCTTTTGCAAAAGGGGCAGTGCTGGGACCGTAGACTGCGATAGTTGTTATAAGTCAAAGCAGGCTGCGCGCAGCGCATGCGCACCTTCGTCTGGCCAGCCTTTTTCATCCTTCAGCGCGACGTTTCGGTCGGCGACTCTGATCTGCGCAATATCGCCGCGAACCCAAGGCGCGAGGGTGCTCGCTTTCCGACCGGCGTGGCTGAGCTGGATACCGATTTTTGGACCCTGCTGCGAACGGGCGAAGTTGACGATGCGTTGAAGCGGTGGTATCTGCGTGTCTGTCCAGAGACCAGCGTCTTCGGGGGATATACGGCCTTCAGGGACGATGGAGGTGGCCTCGAGGACGATGGCACCTAGTCCGCGGGATGCGAAGGTCTGTGGCAGGTGTAGGGGAAGTTCTGCGCGGACTCTGACAAGGAACGTACACCGATGTGAACCAAGTGCCAGTCTGTTGCGTGCCCGGTGTCCGAGCTGTACTGGCACATTGGGGACTAGAAGCAGCTCGTCACAAGTCATCGGACGATACGCAATGGTTCTTACGACAAAGATACGGTTGTGGAACGTCACACCCCGCAGTGTCAGCGGCTGGAACAGTTTCGGAAGGGCAGCATTGGGGGCATAGACTTGCTGTGATACTCTGAGTGGTCACCTTGTCACGAATAGAGAGTCAAATACCTGTGGGTAAGGAATGCCAACACCAGGCTCGTTGAGGGGATAGTACTGATCCGCTCCGGGGACTGGCTTGTTGAGGTGTGCCATCTTGAGTATTGCACGGGGAGGTTTACGGGACCAGCCGTTGCATTTATGTGGGGACGACGGCCATAATTATCATCCATGACAAACGACTTGCGTTGCTCATCGAGGGTCTGATAAGATAACACCGGTGGCTGTTGTTTGGCTCTGCTTGCAAGCAGCGCGTTTGTGGCAGCGGCGTCAAGCACGCGTCGCCACTCTTCTGCTCTGCATCATGGTCCGTTTTACTGCTTTCGAAAGTGATACCGAGAGCGACGAGGACATTCAGCTTTCCCCCGACTCGAGTCTGCGACGGTCGATAGGACTCAGGGCTCCCAGCGACGATGAAGACTCCGAGGCCGAGGTCGAACGGGAAGCACAGGCACAAGAGGCACAAGACGAAGAGCAGGATGAAGCACCCGTGGAGGAAGAAGAACGACCGCGCGAAGGACGCTCGTCACCTCTGCGGGCTTCCGACCTCGAGACACCGCAATCCTCACTTGTACGCCGCCCACCATCCCCGCCGAGACAGCCCCCGCTCCCTCCTGACCGTGCGCTGACACCATGGGCTCGGAGCGTCGGCGTCGACCCGCAAAAAATGAAAGTCATGCAGAGCGTGTTCTTCAGGCTGCCAGAGCAGGCCGAGGCTCTCAAGGCTGAGCAGCAGCAGCAGCAGCAGAAACAGGCAAAGACTCCTCGAGCCCAATCCGCTCTCCGCAAGTCCATGAAGATGAGTCGAAAACATGGCAGGGAGTCGGACGGCGAGATGCACCGGTTCGGGTCGCAGGAGGTGCGTTGCTCTGAAGTGAGTGTCTGCAATCTACTAACGCCTCATACGGCTAGAGGGTGTCGTTCGAGACGCCTGTGGTCGGCCTCGCTCCCCGCCCCGTACGAAAATTCACCCGAATATCGACATCTGAGTCTACGGTGCTAGGAAAGGAGTCACTCCGAGCAGATGCGGGCCTCGCCCTGGGCAGATCATTCCGCGTAGGCTGGGGACCCGGTGGGAAGCTAGCACACGTAGGAACGCTATGTACCCCTTCCGCTTCACCGTATGTACATGTTTCCGCTCAAGTATACATTCTAATGCTGCCATCCCAGGAAACCCGATGTGGACCTGTCGACGGTGACGGTGACTTCGCTGCCGATCGAGCCCGAACCTCTGGCGGTCTACCGGGGCCTCTTGCAACAGCACTTCAACATTGCCGTCTTTCAGCTCGACGCCTCAGACATCCCCTTCGCCACGCACTCACCATCCGCGAAGCTCGGCTTCTCCACCTTCCTCAGCGCGCTCTCCGACGCCGGGCAGACCGGCAGCTTCGAAGAGTCGCTCTTCCGCCTCGGGCACGCGCTGTTCGACGACCTCGACCCGAGGCTCGGCGCGAGCGTGCCCGCGGAGGTGCGCGGCCGCATCCTCGCGCTGCGGCGCAAGCACGCGCTGTCGCGCTGGCTGCAGGACGCGGTCGCGCCGGCGGTGGAGCGCGACCTGCGCGAGCGCGCCGCGCTGGGCGACGCGAGCAAGGCGTTCCTGCATATGACGGGCAACCAGATCGCAAGGGCGTGCGACGTCGCGATGGAGGGCGGGTACGCGAAGCTCGCGACGCTCATCGCGCAGGCGGGCGGGGACGAGGATTTCCGCGCGGATATTTTGCAGCAGCTCGAGGTGTGGCGCGAGGAGAAGGTGGAGGGTATGATCGAGGCGGGGGTGAAGAAGGTGTATGCGTTGCTCGCGGGCGCGCTGGGCGAGCATGAGGTGTGGAAGGATCTGGACTGGAAACGCGCGTTTGGGCTGTGTTTGTGGTTTGGCCAGAATGGGGAGGCGGGGATCGCGGATGCGTTCAAGCAGTACACGGATGCGTATAAGGGCGCCAGTGAGGGAGCGGGGATGACGCCTCCCTTGCCTTGGTATGCGGAGGCTGCGCGCGCAAAGTCACCGTGGAAGGTGCACAAGAATGGTGACCCGCCAGATATCCTCTACTCCCTGATCAGGTTATACGCCGACCCGACATGCTCCCTGGCGACGATTCTGACCCCATTGTCGTGCTCGCCCTCTCCGCTGGACTATGCCATGTGCTGGCATCTCTACATACTCCTGTCGCGGATCATGCGGCTCCGCGACTTCCCTGATCGAGCGAGGCCACCTCGCAGGAGACGCAGGTCAGAAGAAGACGAGGAGGGTTATGGTGAGGAGGACGAGGAGTCTGAGGAAGAGGAGGAGGCCGTGGAAGGCCACAGCCCTACGGCGGATTTGCTGGCCAGCATGTACGCGCATCAGCTTGAGCGAGCCGGCCGGCTGGAGCCCGCGATATTTGTGTTGTTACATATCGAAGGCAGTGAAGGGTGAGTACTGGCGGGAATTATTGACCCATTGATCGTTACTGAATGGCATGTTGCAGGCGGGAAAGAGCTATCAAGGAGGTGCTTCTGCGCTCTGTGGATTTACTCGAAGATGGCGTAGTGAGCAACCTCATCGGCGTGATGAAGATCCCGCTTGCGTGGATCAACGAGGCGAAGGTGCGTCAATCCCTGCCGAATTTATCTTCAGATAATTGATTATGATGCGTGCCAGGCTCTCCGCGCCTTGTCCAAGGGGAGGGTCTGGGAAGCGTACGAGCTGTACAAGGCCGCACTGCTGTACGAGAAAGCCCACGACCTCGCGGTGCGCCATCTAGCGCCGGAAGCTGCGATCAGAGGCGACATGGACCTCTTGAAGCAGCTCTTCCAGGGCATGGAAGGGAAGGTTGCGTGGTATAATATGCGGGGAAAGGTGAATCACCCCTGGTTGCATTCGTCAATTACAGTATCTTACGCTGCGCGCTGCAGATTTTCGTGGACTACGCAGATATCGGAACGACGCTCCCGCCTCTCCTCTTCGAGCTGCGGGCAGAGCCAAACGCGATTCCCGACGCAGCTCAGAAGTTCGTCGTCGAAAATATGTCCAACTTGATACCTCGGTTGATCGGGCTCTTGCCCGACATTCTGTCTGACCGCTCGGACCCGCGACATCGCGCAGCTCTCAGGCATATGACGGGGAAGCTCATGAGTGCACTCGCAAAACTCAAGGCGGCGAATTTGGTGTGTTTAGCAACCGCTTGTATTGTTATGCAGGTCTGACCATATCACTTTGTAGACTCAGACGCACATCCAGATCAAGTCTGCGGACGAGGGCGCTCGGTTGGAGTACCTCCACGCCAGCCTATACGAAAACTTCCTGAATAACATGCGGACGGTAACCGCGTCCGCGTAATATTAGCAAATGTTCTGTATGTTATGTTACAGTACAGTCCAATATCGATATATAAAGCCCCTCCACTATGCTACAATTCTCATGAGTACAGACGCGAACAGAATACAGATTACGAGATGGTAGCAGTGAGCAGGCTGGCGATGTCGATGCTGTTTATGTTCCCGGCGTTGTTGGCGACAGTTGGGGCGGGGGCGGCGGTGGCGAAGGAGAACCGCGGCGGGGCCGAGCTTGAGGTCGCCTCCGCGGAAGATGATGCGGCTGCTGCTGTAGAAACGACGTTGGTGTCGCCTACAGCTGGTGACCCAGACGCGGCAGCGCTGGGGACACCTGCGGACGGCGCAGCAGGAGTTGAGACGCCACCACCGCCGGGAGCGGCGACGGTGGGCGTAGCGACACCTGGCTCCGAAGCTGAGGGCCCGCCAACACCAGGAGCAGACGCAGACGGACCGGAGGCGGACGGACCACCGACTGCAGGACCGCTGGGCGCTGAGACGCCAGGGCCACTCGGAGACGCAACGCCAGGGCCGCTAGGGGCCGCAACTCCAGGACCGGAGGGCGCCGCGACGCCAGGGGCAGAGGCAGACGGGGCAGCGACGCCAGAGGGACCGGTTGGAGAGTCACCGCCAAAACCTGAGGGAACGGCGACGGAGGGCACGCTCGCGGACGGCGTCGATCCGCCAGCGCCGCCGAATCCGCCCGCAGTAGGGGCGGCGGGGGCGGTCGCACTGCCAGCTGGGGCTGTAGTCGAGTCGGTGGAGGAGTCGGTGGGATCGGCGTTGGGGACAGCAGCGACGGGGGTGCCTGCTGAGGTGACGGTGACCAGCACTGTGGAAGTGACGGTTACGGTAGCATCTACGTTAGTGCCGCTAGCGCCAGCAGCTGCTGTAGCGGAGACCGCGCTGGAGGAAGCTGCCGCAGTGCTGTTTGACACTGCAGCAGATGAAGCGGCAGACGGAGTAGCAGCAGCAGCAGCGGGGGCGGAGACTCCGCTCAGGCTAAGGGTGATGGGAGCTGCGCTGGCTATAGGAACGGAAGAGAAGCCATTGACCGACACCGCGGCGACTGCGGGTGAGGAAGCTGCAGCGGCGGTTGCACTAGCCTGGCCGAAACCGAAGGAAGCGAGGGTGATGTCGGGTCGGGGGGAACGCTTCATACGGCGGTTGAGGATGATGTTGGTCGGCGAGGCTGCTGCGACCTGAGCGGCATTGGCGGAGGACGGCGCAACGATGAATATCGTTGAGGTGATTGATCCGCTCTCGAGGGCGCTCGAGCTGGCGACGGCGCCTGAAACAGAGGCTACCGAAGAAGCTGCCTCGCTAGTACTTGCGGTAGCGCTTCCGGCAGCAGATGCACTGGCACTTGCGGTGGTGTTACCGGACCCGGTGATGCCACCGGTGGCACCAGCGTCTGAGATGCGTTGGGCAGCATCGCTCTCTGTGTCGCAGCCAATGCTGGTACCCTGCTTATTGACCAGGGGGAGAGCAAAGCAGGATGTTCCGGCTGAGCATTGAGTCAAGGACCATGCGCCGGAGACGCATTGGGCGAAGGAGCCGTTAACGCAGGCTTGGTCGCCGTCTAGGGGAATGATTCGTCAGTCGACGCTACGGATGAAGACTGCCAAGAAGACGAACCTGTGCAGGAGTCGGTGGCCTGGAGAGTGGCAAACTGAGCGTTCAAATTCTGAGCCTCGATGGCATTTTCCTTCTGGAAGGTAGAAGTGGCGCGAGGGTCGAAGGGGAAGGGGGCAGCGAGAGCCCTTCCAATGAGTGTCGATGCGATGGCAGCAAAAATGAGAGTGGGTGCCATTTCTAGTGCTGCAATTTGGGTAACTTGAGTAGATAATGGAAAGTCTAACAATGCAAGGTCGTTATGTATGCAGAGGTCGTGCCTTAATGAAGGGGAATAAGCAAGTGCAATGCCGGATTAGAGTAAGCGTTAGAGATGGAGCACCGGGCCCAGGAGTCAAGTCAAGAGCTCGTCAACGTCGATCGCGTTCCAGTCAATGAATCTGAACGACTGAGGAACTGCCCATTGGGCTCGGTAGCAGGGTATATATACTTGGCTGGTCGTCAATGATACAATAAGCACAAACGGAGAGACTGCGTGTTGGGATGCAGAAACGGGAAGACAAGAGACAATTACAGCGCGGATTGTTCCCACTCTGTCAAGGCCTTTGCATTGTTCCGGTTGCTCAACCAAGAAGAATGGCACGAAGCAATAGACGCCGCACGTGGCAGCATAAGAAACACCGAAATGGAAAAACCACGTGGGAACACTCTGTATGCCGTCATGTCCTCGATCGAGATTCGCAGCCTCTCACTAAACGCGTCGCGACATGGGACGTTCAGACATTCCTGCCGTTATTCTGAAATGCCTACAGAAAATCGAGCCTGATGCATCGTACTCTGGTACCATTCCCCGCATTGAGTCCTCGTCCGGGAAGCGGTATTTCGCCAAAGTCGGGTCAGCGAGCGAGAAGGACCAGTTCTTCGGCGAAGCGGAATCCCTCAATGCCATAAAGAAAGCCGCTGCAGGTCTGGCTCCCCAGATGTTTGCCTGGGGACTGGCAGATAGCGACGGAGACGAAGCAACTTCCTCGCAGTCCAATGCTAAACCATATTTTCTGTCCGAATACAAGGACTTTAGCGGTTCTCTGACCGATAAGGCTGCTCAGACCCTGGCCAAACGACTCGCTACGGAGATGCACCGGTCCACCAGTGAGAACGGAAAGTTCGGCTTTGGGGTTCCGACATTCTGCGGTGCGACGAGGCAGGAGAATGGGTGGTCGGATACCTGGGAGGAATGCTATGACAAGCTGATTGGCGGGTTATTGGATGGTCTCGGGAAGAAGGGCAGGTTCACGGAGCTTTGTAGGAAGGGTGAGGAGGTCAGGAAGAGGTCGGCAGACAACTGGATTGTTCCTCGTATTCATTGGTTAACCCGACCCTCCAGAGTGATACCACATTTGTTGAGATCGTTGAAGATCGAACCTGTGATTCTGCACGGTGACCTCTGGGTAAGTCCGCTTGGTCCAGAGACAAGCAATGCAGTTAATGCCCCCCACAGAGTGGTAATACGGGGACCGACCGAGTCACGGGAGAGCCTGTAATCTTTGACCCGTCCTCCTACTATGGACACAACGAAGCTGAGTCCGTACAAGCTCCTTGACTCCCTGGGTTGGGCCACTGACGCATACTTCCACATAGCCTTGCGATCGCAAGAATCTTCGGCGGTTTCCCGAGTTCTTTCTATAACACCTACCACCAAAACCTACCGAAGTCCGAGCCTGCGGACCAGTATGAGCTTCGAGCGGACCTGTATGAATTGTACCATTACCTCAACCACACGTTGCTCTTCGGAGTGGGTAGAATTTCTTTCTGAGGAAAATATTTTGCTGATGGAAATTTAGGGCTCATATGCAGGGAGTGCGACTCACAAGATGGATAGATTGCTGAGGGAGTGCCCATGAATCTATGTATACTTAGACTAAGAAGTGTATCAGAAGTCATGATGTAATTGTATCGTCCTTCTAAGATGTCGGTCCCAGAATAATATTGGATACATCAAGTCCGTTGTTGCAGGCCGGCCGCCATGTGAGAAGCGAATGGATATTGTGACATGTCGCAGGACCTCCGAAGCCACATCACGACAAATACCAAATGTGGGCGATGAGCACAATAAGGACAAATAAGCATGGCTTACTAAGACATGTGGCAAAGGTTTCGCTCTGCTGAGCGTTCGCGTCTGGTAAGGGTTGTCGCAGACACCCAACTCGCTTGCTGGGTATCCTCACCGCCGCGCTTCTGCTCCCATATAGTCTGCTCTGCGGGCATCTGTCGGGTTCTGGTACTGCTGGTCTGCTTCGTTCTGCCATACTGGGTGCTTTCGGCCTAGTTTCTTTGTTCGTCGTTTCCCTCCATCTAAAAGTCCCAAGTCATGAGTCAAGGTCTGGTTTCCGTGTTGACTTTGTCGATCTATCTCACATTAGACTGTAGCGACCGACTTTGGCACGCAAGATCCCTATGCGTACGATGACCCAAACTACGGTGTGGAGGAAGAGGAGGACGAGTACGAGGAGATAACCCAGGAGGATTGCTGGACGGTCATCTCCTCCTTCTTTGAGCAGAAAGGTCTCGTGCGCCAGCAGCTCGACTCGTTCGACGAGTTCGTCCAGAACACGATGCAGGAGCTCGTCGACGAGAACTCAGACCTCATCCTCGACCAGGAGAACCAGCACACCGGTCACGAGGCGGACTCGACGCGGCGGTACGAGATCAAGTTCGGGCAGATATACCTGTCGCGGCCAACGATTACCGAGGCGGACGGGTCGGTGGTGCCGCTGTTCCCGCAGGAGGCGCGTCTAAGGAACCTCACCTATTCGTCGACTTTATACGTGGATATGAAGAAGCGGGTGTTGACAAGTAGGGAGGACCCAGATAATCCTGGGGAGACGATATGGGAGCCGGAGCGTGGTGAGGTGCCGGAGGATACTCAGAAGGTCTGGATTGGCAGGGTGAGTGTAACAGTGAGCGCTAGCGTCTCTGTCAGGACCCACGGTGCCCTGCGTAGGTTCCCATCATGCTGCGGTCGACATTCTGTATCTTGCACGACCTCCAAGACCAGGATTTGTACGACCTGAATGAATGTCCGTACGACTCTGGAGGATACTTTATTATCAACGGGTCGGAAAAGGTACTCATCGCCCAGGAACGTATGGCTACGAATCATGTCTACGTCTTTGCGAAGGCGCAACCCTCCCCTATCAGCTTCTTGGCTGAAATCCGTAGTGCTGTGGAGAAGGGCGGGAAGACGATCAGTCAGTTCCAGGTTAAGATGTATCACCGGAACCAAGAGCGATCCGTAAGTATGAAAGTGTCCCCGTTTATGGTCCGGATTGACCGGTGGTTGGTGTAGCTTGGGAGTGTTATGAAGGCCACCATTCCTTACATTAAAGTCGATATCCCTATTTGGGTTGTCTTCCGCGCTCTGGGCGTCATCTCTGACCGCGATATACTCGAACATATCTGCTACGATATGCAAGACTTGCAGATGCTCGAAATGCTGAAGCCTTGCATTGACGACGGCTTCGTCATTCAGGATCGGGAGGTTTGTATGGCTGTGTATATACTTTTAATGCATCTGACGTCTTGGTCAGATTGCATTGGACTTCATAGGTAACCGTGGTACGACGACTGGTCTCTCCCGGGAGCGACGGTTGCGGTACGCGCAGGAAATCCTGCAGAAGGAGATGCTGCCGCATGTGTCCATGGCTGAAGGCTCTGAGTCGAAGAAGGCGTACTTCTTTGGGTACATGATCCATCGACTGCTCCTTGCTGCCCTGGAGCGTAGGGAGCTGGATGACCGTGATCACTTTGGGAAGAAACGGCTTGACCTGGCCGGCCCTCTGCTGGCTAACCTGTTCCGGATGCTCTTCAGGAAGTTGACAAAGGATGTCTACCGGTACTTACAGAAGGTGGGTAGTGCGTAATGTTCCTTTGATGTAGAGCTGATGTTCCCCATCTTGTAGTGTGTGGAGACACACAAAGAGTTCAATCTCTCGCTTGCTGTTAAGCACAACACCATCACAAATGGTCTCAAATACTCATTGGCAACCGGTAACTGGGGCGACCAAAAGAAGTCTATGTCCTCGAAAGCTGGTGTCTCGCAAGTGTTGAATCGTTACACATATGCATCCACGCTCTCTCATCTCCGGCGATGCAATACGCCATTGGGAAGAGAAGGGAAGATCGCGAAGCCTCGCCAATTGCATAATACCCACTGGGGCATGGTGTGTCCAGCAGAAACGCCGGAAGGCCAGGCTTGCGGCCTTGTCAAGAACTTATCTCTCATGGCGTGTATATCGGTCGGTTCCCTGTCTGCGCCTGTCATTGAGTTCTTGGAGGAGTGGGGTCTGGAGTCCTTGGAAGAAAACGCGCACTCCGCGACGCCTTGCACCAAGGTCTTCGTTAACGGTGTCTGGATGGGCGTTCATCGCGATCCCGCTAACTTGGTTAAGACCATCAAGAAACTGCGTCGGAAGGACGATATTAGTCCCGAAGTCTCGGTTGTGCGCGATATCCGTGAGCGCGAGCTGCGGCTATATACTGATGCAGGCCGTGTCTGCCGACCGCTCTTCATCGTCGAGAACCAGCAGCTTGCTCTGCAGAAGAAGCATGTCAGGTGGCTCAACCAGGGAGAGAATGATGACGGCGAACCATGGAAATGGGATCAACTCGTTAAGAACGGTATTGTGGAGTTGCTGGATGCTGAAGAAGAGGAGACTGTGATGATTAGTATGACGCCCGAGGACCTTGAGAACTCGAGACTTCAGTCGGCTGGGATTGACCCTCATGCCAATGAAGGGGACTTCGACCCGTCTGCTCGACTGAAGGCCCCGACACACGGACACACATGGACACATTGTGAGATCCATCCTAGCATGATTCTCGGTGTTTGTGCTAGTATCATCCCGTTCCCCGACCATAACCAGGTACGTGGATATAGACTCGATGTGAGTGTATGTCTCATCCTTCCCTAGTCCCCTCGAAATACCTATCAATCAGCCATGGGTAAACAAGCTATGGGTATCTATCTTACCAACTTCCTGGTTCGCATGGATACTATGGCCAATATCCTCTACTATCCTCAAAAGCCGCTGGCTACGACTCGATCCATGGAATACCTGCGGTTCAGGGAGTTGCCCGCCGGCCAGAATGCCATTGTGGCAATCTTGTGTTATAGTGGGTACAACCAGGAAGACTCCGTCATCATGAACCAAAGTTCAATCGATCGTGGTCTTTTCCGGAGTATCTATTACCGCAGCTACATGGACCTCGAGAAGAAGAGCGGAGTTCAGCAGCTGGAGGAGTTCGAGAAGCCTACACGCGATACAACACTGCGCATGAAGCATGGGACATACGACAAGATCGAGGATGATGGACTGATTGCTCCAGGTACTGGTGTCAACGGAGACGACATCATCATTGGGAAGACTGCGCCAATTCCTCCTGATAGCGAGGAGCTAGGGCAGAGGACTCGGTCGCATACTCGACGCGATGTTTCCACTGCTTTGAAGAGCACGGAGAGCGGTATCGTGGATCAGGTTCTCATCACTACCAACTCGGAAGGCCAGAAGTTCGTCAAGGTCCGGGTTCGGTCCACCCGTATTCCCCAGATTGGCGATAAGTTTGCTTCTCGTCATGGTCAGAAAGGTACCATCGGTATCACGTATCGCCAGGAAGACATGCCATTCACCGCTGAAGGTATCACACCGGATATCATTATTAATCCCCACGCTATTCCCTCTCGTATGACTATCGGACACTTGGTAGAGTGTCTCCTTTCGAAGGTCGCGACCCTTATTGGCAATGAAGGTGACGCGACACCTTTCACTGATCTGACGGTTGAGTCCGTCTCGACGTTCCTCCGGCAAAAGGGGTACCAGTCAAGAGGCCTGGAAGTTATGTATCATGGTCATACTGGTCGTAAACTCCAAGCACAAGTTTACCTTGGGCCGACTTACTATCAACGGCTGAAACACATGGTTGACGACAAGATCCATTCGCGTGCGCGAGGCCCTGTACAGATCCTCACTCGGCAACCCGTGGAGGGTCGTAGTCGCGATGGTGGTCTGCGATTCGGAGAGATGGAGCGTGACTGTATGATTTCGCATGGAATAGCTGGTTTCTTGAAGGAGCGGCTCTTCGATGCTAGTGACGCTTACCGTTTGCATGTCTGTGATTTATGCGGTCTAACCGCGATTGCCAACCTGGTGAGCGGCTTGCGTATCATTTGTTTTCTTGGTCTGATCGTGGTGCTCTAGAAAAAGCAAACGTTCGAGTGCCGCGCGTGCAAGAACAAGACTGCCATCTCGCAACTATACATCCCATACGCCGCAAAACTGTTGTTCCAGGAATTGCAGAGCATGAACATCGCTGCGCGCCTGTACACCGTCTCGACTGGGCGGATACGGGACTAAAGTAGCCTCAGCTTATAACCCTTTCCTTGCAATCCTCAGATGTTGTCGCATGCATGTATTATACATATTATAACTAGAGCCCATGAATCTAGGATATATAAGCTGTAATGAGTGATACAGTTAGTCATCGCGGTCTTTTGGATCCTCTGCACCCATCAATCCTTCCCGCTCGTGGTGCCCCCCATTTTGCTTGTCGGCGGACTGGCGGCGTTCGGCGCGACGCTTCTTTGCGGTCTCCGACTCTTCAACGTCGCTAGCATCCTGTTCATCATCACCGATTTCGAAGACCACGCCGTCGTCTGCAACTGAGTCAGGACCCCGTCTTCCGACTAGAGTGATATCGTCGTCGTCGTCGTGATGTCCTCGCGCAGCTGTACGGTGCTCCAGAGCCTCGAGATCATAGTCTTCAGCGTCCTCTTCATCTTGCGCGATCTCATCTGACATAGCTAATGTGGATATCCATGGTGGTGAGTATAGGGAGATGCGGTATTCAGGAATTGACTTATCTTCTATTGTTAGCCGACGGCCGCCATAAGAAACAAATTGACCCGAAAACAACGAGATATAACAACGCCAGCCAGCCGTCAAGCAACCACCATCGTACTCTCCATGTCTTCGCAGCATAGTCTAAAATACGATGAATGTCAGTCCGTTGAGCAAATAGTCGAACAAGTGATCGATATCACCTTCGGCTAGACGCTCGGAAAAGGTGAAGGTAGAGACCGCGAAGAAAATGATAATAACGAGCACCGTGCCCATGAGGATTCGGTGTAGCTTCTGAAACATGGATAGCTTATAGCGTTGCTTGCGTGCTTTCAATTGTGCAATCGTATCTGCAGACCCGAATGTGAACATGGTTGGCAGCTTATAGGAATGGACAGCTCACGATTCAGAGAATAGAGGATCCACACAAGAAACCCGCTCAACGTGAATGCCAAGGGTATCACGAAGAGCAGCAGGACGAGAGCAGAGGTTGACTCCAGCTCTAATTCTACAATGCCCACTGCGTAAAGTACTGGTAACGGGAGAACCGTGGCTGAGAGTCATTGGACAACAGCAAAGAAGCAAAATATACGGACCACCGAAGACGAAGTGCGCGCCAGCCAATAGCTGACATTTGAGCATTGTCCGGCCAAGGGACTCACGGACGACACTAAGACCTTGAGACACGACTAGCAGCATGAAGAACGACAAGGCATTCCTGCCCGCATCAAGAATCGCGACTACGGGCCAACAGTCAGCCGTGACATATAGAAGCGATTAGACTTCCGTGATATCTTACCGACAAACAAGAAAACGGTAGAGGCAGCGCCCTTGCCATGCGCGTTCAAGTATCTATAGTATGCTGCTCCGCCACGTTACCCCGCTGCCGAACGCGCTACTACACGAGACATACCGAAGTTCGCCAGCATTTCCACCACAAGAAAGCCGACGAGACCTGAGAGATAGTACTTTGGAAGAAAACTTTATCGAAGTTATCCCTTGAGCATGCAATGCACTCACCTGAATGGGTAGGAGCTCATGGACATGCGTATAGCATAACCATCCCCAAATGCCGGCGAGGATGGAATAGATTAAGAAAAGAGCAAGATAGAACTGCATGGATTGCATGGATTCTGTATGATTTCAATGACAGCTCGACAGAGTCGTGGCTTACGTTCACTTTGGGGTAATCAGTGGCAGGTAGTTTTCCGTTGAAGGTATTTTGGAAGAGGACAACGCCATTGTAAGTTGGATGGTATGGCACATCTGTTGTATCTTCGGATGAAGACAGGACAGTGACGGGCACCATGGCTAAGGGACGGATGTGTGAGGTTGACACGAGGGGCACTGCAGCCAATGACTGACCAACACAGTAGTATCCGGTCTTTCTTACTTGATATTGTATCGGATCCTGATACCACAATATTCCGCTCGGGGACGGGTTCAGAGCATCATCTCTTCGCTTCGGAGACATGAAACCAAGACTACCGAGAGCAGCGTCATGGGCGCTACGAGAAAGCCATGGGGAAGTATACTTTGTGTTCTCATCCTCTGGGATAACAGGGTTGCCGTCCGGATTGTCCCAGAAATCGGTGGTGGATACATCCGAAGGAGTGCCAGAGCCGCTCGGCCTGCCGAAGCCAACTCTCGCAGACCAGAAGCTGGTCTGGTTTACAGATTTACCCTCGGGGAGGTCAATGATGAAGCGACCCAGTTGCGAGCTGTTACAGAAGTTGTTACGCATCGCGTCCGAGGTACACACGTATGTTTTCTGCTGTCTCTCGGTAAGAGCTGTCCCGCAGCAAGCTGTGAGTGTTACTCACAGGGAGGGAGTCGTCTGTCATAGATGTGACTTTCCCTAAGTATTCCATGTCGCGCCACTCGTAGATCACCATTGCTAGCTGGCCCTGGGACGTGCTATCAAAGCTGACTTTCGCAGCATAAGTTCCCTAGCCCGTACGTTAATAGGCACGAGCCCACGTACCATTGATATGGGCGTTGCTGCCACCCCACATCCCAGTGCATACTTGGCGAGAATAGTCGGTGTCACGTACGGGCACCTCGTACGCTGCAACGGATGCCAGACCCAGCAGCAGCCACGGTATGCGTCGGCTTGTCATCGTGGTAGCTTGTAAGTGTATCGCGTCCCAATAAGGAACGCGTCTATACTGTGCGTCACGCGCAAGCGCGCAGCTTGGGACTGGCTTCACTCCGAGTCCACATACAGGCGCTGTAGTTTTGGTGTACACTCTGCTGCGTTGAATACCCGCAGCTTCTACTGAGTCAAGCGACTCGCAGCGGGCGTAACCTGTGGCCAAAGTTACGACTATGCTAGGCGACGACGAGGATGTGTTCGATAGTGTCACTTGGGAGTCGCCGTCGGCCCCAGCATATGGTACAGAGGAGCCTACCGCGCCCGTAGGGCCCGGATTCAAACAGAGTACCTCAGAAAGTGAGGATGGCCGTGGACCTCACGATCCTAAATGGGAGGGGTACTTGATCACCTCCGTCAAGGATCCCGTGAAGGAGTTGGCAGAGACCAAAGACGCTTATGTGTCCTACCTTGTTTTTGCACATGTGAGCACGCAGTCCAATGGTCGCCCTTCGGTTCCTTAATACGCTTGTAGACCAACCTTCCGATATTCTCGACTCCCAACCCGTCGTCTCGACGGCGCTTTCAAGACTTTGTCTTCTTGCGGGAGAACTTGGTGAAAGACTTTCCAGCATGTGTGGTTCCTCCGCTGCCCGACAAGCATCGCCTAGGTCGGTTGTTGTGTCTAGCGTACTGTATGGGATGTTACTCAGCGTACCACAGAATATATTACAGGCGACCGTTTCAGCCCTGAGTTTATCGAGCGTCGGCGGCTCGAGTGAGTGGTTTCTTTGTATGTCCCTTCACGTCTTAACAGAACATAGTCTACATCGCTTCTTGCAGCGTATCGCACGACATCCCACTCTGCAGCGCAGTACTCTTGTGCGCGCATTCTTCGAGTCAACGGAATGGGTCAGTGTCTAGTCTTGCACTATGCTGGGCTTTCATAGTGACCGCTTCGTAGCATGTCACCATGCATCAACATGTTGCACATCCCCCAGTGCCCGAAACATCGACAGGAATAATTGACAGCCTCTCAGATACCTTGCTCAATGCGTTCTCCCGTGTGCGCAAGCCTGACGAGCGATTTCTCGCCATGCGGGAAAGGGTCGACAAATTCGAAGAGGGCTTGAACGCTACCGAGAGGATGTGGACACGCATCAGGAATAGAACAAACGGTGAGACTATATTCTCTTGTGTTTCGTGATTCTGGTGTGTGAGTCTGAAGCTGAAAGAGCTGGCGATCCGGACACTGGTGAAGATTTGACCGCGGACTATCACGACATGGCTGTCGCCGTTCAAGGCCTGGGTTTCTTGGAATCCGGGATTACCGATCCTCTCAATCATTTTTCCAACACGCTGCTGGAGTTTTCGGCTCTACAGCGCCATTTGGTGCGCGATATCTGTTATGTCCATATGCCTGGATTAACCGTGTTTCCAGACTCAAACGACCACCGATCCATTCCTCGTCCATCTGCACTCCCTCCTCGCATACTCCCACGCCAATCGGGCTGTTCTCAAGCTTCGTGACCAGAAACAGATGGATTTCGAAGAACTCTCTGACTATCTGTCTGGCGTAACGGCTGAGCGGGACCGACTAGCAGCAGTCATCAGTGGTCATGCCGGAAGTACTGGTCTGGGTCTTAGTGCTTACATTCGAGATAAGGTGGACGCTCTCCGAGGGGCAGACGACGACAGGAGTAGAGTTGAGAAGATGCGTAAGCTGGATACAAAGATTAAGGAGGTGAGTCTGCATTCGGACCAAAACCTATTTGGTCCCTATATATTGGTTTTACAGTTGCAAGATGCCGTCACGACCGCACACGAGACGTCCGATGCTTTCAGCGACGAGACGTTACGGGAGCAGAATATATTCCAGTACGCCAAGGAGGCCGAGATGAAGGAGATGTTGGGCAATCTAGCGGACGGACAAATTGAATTCTATCGAGCGGTTAGTTTGCTCAGCTATCATTGTCAATCTTTTGTTAAGCTCTGACTTGACTTTAGGCTATGGAGGAATGGGATAGGATCATTCCTATAATTCAGCGTATACGAGTGGATGTCTAATTTTTCCTAGTATAATTGCGACGTGTATTTTAGTCCCTTGTTCTTCGACATTGCCTTGATTATTGCATTTTCATATTTCTTGCGACACTTCGAAAGTATCCGGATACCATTCTTCGGGGGCCTTTGTCTTTCCTTTACCGCGTTCCGGCAGAAGACCTTCTCGCCGTAGCTTCTCTTCCGACTCTTGAACAGCAAGAGATAGCTGCGTGTTACAACTCTGAGCTGAGTCGCGAGGGGGGGGGGGCATCCTGGTACCTACGTTGATTATACCAGTGTCAACAGCCCTGAGAAAATGTAATTCTGCTTCATCGGACGCTTCTTCCGTCGTATGAGCTATTACCGCGGGCAACCATGACGAACCCTGAAGTTGGATTCAGATTCAACCTCGGTTTAGACCTATGAGCTGATTCTTCCTACCTGTCCAGCCGTAGGCTTCTTACCGTCCTGTAACTCAATCACAATGCAGAACGAGATATCCCCTTGAGAATGTGAGGATAAGATACTGTCTTGCTATTAATGTGGAGACCACAATTACCACTAGCAGTCATAGGGCCTAATTGGCTCTCTATCATACTGAGCTTGACCAGAAAGGATCGGAAGTATTGCCCCAGAGTGGTCATGGTCATGGCGTCCTCAACCCTATGTAGAACGTTCAATCAACGGGACTGCATTGCACTGAAAATGCTGTACTTACATGGAATCCTTATCATAAGCTTCCACTTGCAGCATGTTCTCGACGGCGAATATGAATCGCTCTAGGGGGATGTCATCCTTGTCTTTGATCACGACCACGACTTTATCAACGCTGCCCTTGAAAAGGAGGATATGTTACCGTGCCAGAGACCATAACTGCGTTCAAGGTACGAACCAGCACGAGCTCTTCGCCGATAGCTTTCACGGCTCCAGATATATATTCATTGAGGTCCGGGTGGCGGGATTGGTATACCGGCGTGTTGTACTTCTTCCTTTGAATAAAGAGGTCTGCTGGATAGACCTGCCTGACGTAGAGGATAGTATGTATCGCAACCTCGACTAAGAAGAAGTTAAGCCTGTTGCAAGGACATAACTTGTACACTGGCAGATGCAGCCTTACTGAATTCCGTTATTCCTTTGACAGCCTCTATAGATTGAATCGCAGGGATCAGCTTCCCCAGTAGTTAGCGACTATGAGACTCAGGCCCACGGTTGAAAGATAGGTTCGCCATGCTGGGATTAGCCGATGAACATGTCGACGGGATTTTCTGAGGTCACAAAGAACAAAGGACCGCTTGGCCACCAGCTGGACATGGACCCGAAGAACCAATCGATGTCATTGCGTTGTAAAGGTCGTGACAGCACGGGGTACCGGCAAGCGCCAGAGCTGTAGCAATACATTTTATCATGTCTAGTCCCCAAATACCCAGGAAACACGACTGTCGTGTAACATTTCATTAATATTAATAGTACATGCCATGCCCGTCTATCATCATGTAGGATGCATCGCGTGCATGATCATTAAGTATGGATCATACCATAGTACCATGACTAGGGAAGCACGGAAAAGGGAAGAGTCTGGGGCGTACGAGAGTGTATAGATACCGCCAAGAGCATGGGCGAGAATCGAAGGTCTTTTATTTGCCAGCCCCCTCTTGCCTTTTTGCGCGCCGTCGTGCTCGCCACTTCGGCCCCATGTGCATCACCAAGAAGAGCAACGGCGTAAATGCAGCCACAAGACCGCCGAAGAGAACGTAGGTCCAACCCGGACCAATCGCAGTTAAAATGAGCTCCACCACGGAGACGAGGGCCGCTCCCACTGAGCAACGGACCACATTATTCTGACCCATGGGAGATTAGTGAGGGGATACCTTCGATAACATAGGCACTCACGCATGCAGTTACGGCGGAGCTTTGCGTAGGCGCCAAGTCGACGATCAATGTCTGAATAGAAGTCATAAACGCTGTAACTAGGAAGCCAACTGAATCAAAGCATGTTAGCGCCAGCATCCACAACGCGTATACGATACCCTGGGTAGACGTACCAAGGATTTGCAAGACCAGCGGAGCAGCGATGGAGACTTTCTCTTGCAGACACCAACCATATCCACAGCAGACGGCCACTAATACAGCCACGTAGTAGGGCAGCGTTCGTAATCTTGCCTTCTCCACCGGCCAGTTTTCGCTCTTGGTGATATCATCGGGATTGATTCGCTTCTCCGGGTCTGCTGCAATCTTCTTCATTAGGCTGCGCTTGAGTCTCTGGTAGTCTTTGTCCAGCAACCGTCCTGAGAGAGTGCTGCCCATAAGCATGCCGCCGCCGTTTGCCAGATAACACAGTCCGATGTCAGTCTCGTTTAAGAAAGGGTAAGCTTCCATAAAGAGATTCGACATCGGGGTTGTGAATCCGTATAACACAGCGAACACCACGGAGGAGAATATGAGAGGGATGATTATCTCTGGTATGAGGAATAATCGCAAGGGATTTTGGAAGCGCTTCTTGGGTGGCCTTTCTGTGGATGAGTGTTCTCTTCTCCGTCCAAGTAACGCAATTGGCGGCCGCGCATACTTTGGTGGGGGAATGCTTCCGTCGCCTACAAGGGCTCGGAGAGTCTCTGGGAACACTCTTTATTGCGGCTTAGCGGGGTCTGCATATACCCAAATAAAAGGCGACTTACAAGAATATGAATACACAACAGAGACCCGCGGCTATGCACATGAACCAGAATATAGCTCTGAGCATAAATTAATAAGGAACTCCAAGAAGAACTGACAGCAACTAACCTCCACCCAAGGTGCCCGGCCAAAGCGCCACCTACAATGGGACCGATGCTCGGTCCTACCATAGGTCCGACATTGTACAGGCCGAAGAATCCTCGCCTTTCCGCAGGAGTAGCGATGTCACCTACTACTCCGGCACCTAGACTGATAATGAGCATTGCAAGACCCACCTCGACCTTGCCGCTCACCAAGTGCAATGGTACTAGCTGACCCTGCTGCTTGTATTCCACGAAGAAGTACCAGCAGCCAGTAAGCATCCGTAGGAACGAGGGCGAGCCCAACGCAGGACAGAGACAAGATCAGAAGGCACGCGACAAAGATGGGTCTCCGACCGATCTTATCTGCCATGGTGCCCCATACCATCGGCGCTGAGATAGAGAGTCACTGGACCATGGAGATATTGATATGAGTGAAGTACGCACATAAACCTTGCATGATCATGTACACGGTAACGGTGACATTTATGAGTTCTATGGATTTGTGGAACGCCGTCGCGATAGTAGGAATAGCAGGGAAGTATATGTTGGCTGTCAAAGGGCTACGGTTCGTCAATCTTCATGACAACATGGGATGTTATAGCGGACACTCACCTGAACAAACCACCAAAGGCAGCTAAGCTCACTATCAACCACTTCTCTCCGCTTGTATATATGCTGAATGGCTTCTCGACCTTGTCAATGTCTCCTTTCTTTACCTGGGCATCCTTGCCATCCCCTTCAAGTCTCTGTGTGTCTTGGGGTCTGCTGTCGATCCCGGCATTGCTATCATTGGATTCGTGAGGAGGTTCCTTTTCACCGTGACGAATCCCATCCATGTCGTCATTGGCAGCAAAATCCGGCATACGCTCGCACAATCGAGGTAGAGGAATAAACCCAAAGCGACTGGGACGTTTAGGCAATGCGGCATCGTCGAAGAATCGAGGAGGACCTTATAACGGACTATTATTATCAAGATGTAAGACGAAGTTGCAAAGGCCGAAAAAGCCGGCCACGGTTCTCCGGAGTAGTATTCCCACGGTGCACATAATCTACGGAATTCCGACCAGCATGCCGATTGGTTGCACAGGCCTCATAGTGGACATCATTCAAGTTCAAGGAGTTTTATGCTGATTAAACGGCCGAGGAACATGCACGAAGCCTCAAGGGTACAGTCCGTATGAAACGCACAGTAGGCCAAAGTGAAAAACAGTATGTTATGTCGCCAGTCCAAAATGAGGAGTTCCATACGCAGGGCCTGAGTCGGAGGAGGTCGCCAGCCAGTCAGAAAACTGAAGAGCATTCTTTCAGATAGGTAGGCAGAATCTCGTGAATAGACCTCAGAGATGTAGGTGAATGTGCTTCCACCAGATCTTTGAAAGATACATGCTTGGCGGAGGGTGATGAATTTACAACGTTGTCTGACTTGAGTTGCTCCACCTTGACATTGTAAGGACTTAACTGAGGGTAGTGATACCCTTGAACGTACCTGCGCCCTTGTGACGGTAAATAGGTTCATAGGCAGCTTTTCCATGACATATCCTTGCATTGTGCCGAGGGCGAAGGGGAGGGATATGACCGGACGGTAGCGGCCCGCATAAGTTAATACGGCACCCATGAGTTCTCGGTAAGTGAACACTTCGGTGGAGGGCATATTATTGAGAACAAGTTGAAAGCAGATGTTCGCGTGCCATGCGTACCTTCCGGACCACCCGCCTCGATTATCTTACCCTGTACCAAGTTGTCTACATCCTTATCATTTCTGGCAATAATCTCGACCACTCTTGCGATGTCCCCGACAAAAACAGGTTGAAAGAGAGCTGTACCACCACCGAAGACGGGAAGGAATGGCAAGACCTGCGACAGCTGTGCGAAGCGCTAGACGAGAGGTCACAACTGATATATCAAGCCGCCCGAGAAGATCAAAATGTCTGTACCGGAAAAAATCCATCGCCAGGCCCAAACACAATGCTGGGTCGAATGACGGTTGCCTGCGGATGAACCTGGAAGACAGCAGCCTCGCCGAACGCTTTCGTCCTGGCATAAGGTATCTCGCTATTGGCGTCTGCCCCGATAGCACTGAAGTGAACCAGTTTGGCGCCGACGTCCTTGGCTGCTCTAGCGACGTTCTCTGCACCTTTCCACTGTATCCGTTCGAAATCTTCAGGGGAGCCGTGCATGACCCCCACGAGTGATACGACCAAGTCGGCGCCTCGGAAAGCTTTCAGCAAAGAATCTGGTTTTGTCACGTCAGCTGCAGCTGGAGGCAGAAGTTGCTCTGCAGTGATGACGCGACGTAGGCCGTCGAATGTGCGCTGAGGGCTCCGAGACGATATTTGAACCTGATGGGGGACGTTGCTTGTGGCCAATGCCTTCGCGATGTTCGAACCTTGTATACACTCTGTTTGAGTTTCACCTTGTACAGGGATACTGTACACGGATGTCGAAACCGACAGCGGATTAAGTACCTAGAAATCCAGCCCCGCATATAACAACTTTCGAACCCATCTTGCGTTAAAGAGTTGCCTCGGACACGACACTGAAGAGAGAGTAATAAGCGAAGCGTTCAGCGTCACTCGAAACATGCCAGTCTCCCGATCGGTATGCCCTGCACGACGTCATGTCAATACTACCATCGCCACATATTGCCACCAGCAGGCTGAGCAGCCGGATTCCACTGTCGATGTCCAGTAATTATAACGGGACGCCGCCGTCGTTGGCAGAAAGATACAAGCGTAGCCCCTCCAACCCCGTGGGGTAAATGTCGCATGTTATGTTTTTCCGCGAAATAGGATGGGCTCTATCGTCTCATAACAGGCAGCTGGCGTAGATCAAGTGTCGACATATTTGAGTCTCTGCCCCTTCACATGACCCCCGAAGGGCTGCTTGAGCTGCTGGAAGTGGTCTAGCGGAGCGAGCCTTCGCATCGTAATAACCCGCTTGGCGGAGGGACGCCGCCTTATAATATGAATAGAAGGACAATGGGAGGCAGAGAGATCTTCGTGGGTTCTTCTTTCCTCGACTCTCACATCGGCAACCATGGGGCTGGGCATCCTAGAGGACAAGCATCTCGACCATGTACCAGGTGCGCCGAATCCCTAACCTTGTTCGTGTCACGGTTATGAAGCTTACATGCGGTGTCTCGGTAGGAACGTCGATCTTCAGCGACGACCCCAATGCTGCAGCGCAGGCTGCCTATGAAGGGGTCGACTTGTCTTTACTGAAACATGGTACAGGCCGAAACGCGCATGTAGTACTGGTACGTTTGAGCCTTTCCGAGAGGTACATGTAAGTCGGCCTACCGGTGTGCTATATTCCAGGTTCCTCAGCCTAGTGATGACCCGAATGACCCTCTAAACTGGCCCAAATGGAAGAAACATATGGTGAATCAATGCCCTTGAATTGATATTTCTTCTTCACGTTGATCATTGTTCGCTAGGTATTTTTTGTGCTGTGAGTCCCCCTGCACAGCAAGGATCTATAACTTAACGAAAATCGGTCATCTTTCCAGCGTATACGGAAGTAAGTAGGAGGGATCTGCTGGACGATGAAGTATCCTAATCACTGACTCATTACCCTGCTTATAGCCGTCATATGTGGTGCTCTCGTGAGTCCCAGGTCATTTGCATATTTGCGCAGAGTGATTTACTGGTGAAACAACTCTAGGGACCCCTGGTATCTGCTGACTTAGTAAATCTTGCGGCGGAGTTCCATACTTCCTTGCAAGCCACGAGTCGCGCGCTTGGGTCTGCATTGACTGCCGCGTTGGCGATCGCTACTGTGATATGGTCGGCTTTAGCGGTGAAGATCGGAAAGGTGTGGCGCATTCCTGCGATCCATGCGAAACAATGAGTTTTGAAGAGTTTTCGCGTTTCTAGCGGCCTGTCTTCCTAGCCTCCACCCTGATTATGATGGCTGGTGCGATCATGTCCGCCTATGGTGCGTGACGCTCTCGTCGGTTATACGACCTTTCTAAGCGTCGCCTCCAATAGCACATTCTTATGGGACTCTTCTCGGATCACGTATCATACAAGGTAACGCCGTCGGTCATGCTTCTGTGCTTCTGTGGACTTCCAATGATATTTGCTGCACTCTACCAGGCGTCGGCCAATCAGTACTCGAGGTAACCACACGCTTCACCATAACGACGTATGGCAAGACTAACTTCAGACCGATAGTTTCTCGTCGGAGCGTCGATCAATGACATCTACTTTACCCACGAACGTGAGTTTTACGTCGCTCAGAGGAGCGTAGCTGATAACGAATACTGTACGACCAGGCGGTATTCCTGTCGCTTTGTGTAAGATGCAGGACGCTCGGAGTAAACTCGTGACGCTGAGAAACATGTCATCCCAGGGAATTTGGCGTTGTTAGACGGTATCAACATCACGCCGCCTATCGCGGGGGCTGTCATCCAGAACTTGGGCTGGCGATGGGCATTCAAGATTTTCGCTATCGCAAACGGACTTCTATTTCTTTTGCAGGCAAGTTGTCACGAGCAAGTCTACCTCACCGACGGACGTGGCCTGATTACGTGTAGTTTTTCTGCATGCCCGAGACGACCTACTATAGGTCCCAGGTGATCCCGGCGATCCAGAACGGTCAGGATATCAAGGACGATTCCACCGTCGAAAAGCAGGAGCCGTCCGTAAAGCTCGAATCCGCTGAATTACCTGCACCCCCACGTAAAAAGTCGTATGCGCAAGAGCTTTCAATATTCAGCGGCATCTATCCCACCAGAGTGTCGCTCCTGGCTCTGGTATGGAGACCCATAGAATCCCTGGCCACGCCGATCGTGCTATGGGCAGGTTTAGTGAGTACGATGAAGCTTAGAGAGGTGTCAATTCCCTTACCGAGATACGCAGGTCTACGGAGTCGCTATCACATGGCTCGTCCTTCTGGCTACAAGCGTGTCGCAGTTATTTTCAGCGCCCCGTTCGTGACATTCTTCCTTGCCTGTGCACGCTGCTGATCAACTCTGTCGGGACAGCCTACAACTTCGACACGAGTCAAGTTGGCCTCAGTAAGGACATTGCTCGGTTCGGTATCGACTTTGTGTCCTGATACCGCTTTCGCTGCAGCCTATATGGGCCCCTTCATTGGAGCCATGCTAGCGGCCGTAATTTCGGGGCCCCTGTCTGATTGGCTGGCCCGGCATATGAGTGCCTGGAATAAGGGTACTTTCGAGGTGTGTTTCCGAACGCAGTCCGCTTGACAAGGTTCTGCTCTTACAGAGTCATTATCTATCGCAGCCCGAGTTCCGTCTACCTCTTGTCGCGTTCTACGCTATCTTTGGCTCTATGGCTTTCTTCGGTTGGGGTATCTCTGCGAACAAGGAAGATCCGTGGATAGGTCCGGTGTTCTTCTTCGGCCTGGCGAACTTCGGCATCACCTTGGGTGCCTCTGGTTCTATTGCTTACGTTGTAGATGCACACAGACGAAGCGCTGAGACCGCTATGGGAGGGTGAGGTTCTTCGGAACACACTTGGACTGGTTCGGAATGAACTAACAGGAGGCCGCAGTGTCATCTTCTTCAAGAACGTGTTCTCCGTGATCATAACCTTGTTTATCAATGAGTGCGATTCTGTTATCCCCATGTGCCTGATTTGATACTGACGTCGATCGTTCCACAGTTGGTTTGTCGCAAGAGGCATACTCAGTGTATTCTGCACCGTGGGTGGGGTTACACTATTCACCACCTTTTTGACTATCCGTGAGTGACCTTCCATTATTCTACCTTGCGTTGTGCATAGCTCAAGGCTGCTCCGCAGCGATGTATGTCTGTGGGAAACGGGCCCGGTCGTGGATTCACCGCTGCGTGAAGTTGGACGCCGATGATTGACCGATCAAACACCTACTGACTGCGTTGTATGCGTGTGTATGATCAAATGCGTACGTTCAACAACCTATATCTACACGAGTGCAAACTGTCCTCCACGATTGACGGCTGCCGCCTCGATTGCTTGCTGCCGGGGATACAAACGACAACGGTCATCCCCGGAGGCCGTGAGGCATAGCGGGATCGACTATAGCCACATCTTTTATGTCGAGTACAAGCTCGGTCTTGCGGATTCGGCCCGGCCGTTGAGAGTACCATGCCACGAAATGCAATCCTCCCTACAAAGTTGAGGACGCAGATTATGTAAGCGAGTCGCGCAGCGGATCGCAAAGTGGACGCGGAGCCATTGCAGCGGATGCGCCCAGACATTTGCCCGACTAACATATTATCTTATTTTTGCATATTGCTAGTGTGCTGCTAGTGCAGCGGTTAGTGTGATGGGTTATTTCAGATGCAATGATGTGAGCTTGAGGTTTAATCCCACCCATGGACGATATTCTTCACTTGTGATGATTCTAGTTGTCTTCACTCCGTGACACAACTTGAAAATTTTCTTTTGTTCTGTCATTGCAAGGCACCGATATTGATGACATTGTGGCACTTTGAGTCCGGACAAGGCCCAATCTATACACAAAGCCTTCACTTGGTATTATACTTTGGGGTTCAGTTTCAAAAATTAAAACTACATGTGCACTGATATACAAAACCATTCAACTTCTCATGATCATGGGAGGTGGTGTTACCGGTGTACGAATGAATTGCAGTGAGTACACAACCTCCTCACCGCCTTAGGATTCCCATTCCGAAGCGAGTCGCCCGACTTCAGACGAAGTCCCTCGCGACGCTGCGGGGTTACCGCACAGTGTCTCGACCTTCCATTTATAGCGACTCGCGTCCTTAACTTTGTAGGGAGGATTGCATTTTCTTACCATGCCGAAGTCAGCCTGAAGAAGGTACGAGGTTATGTTCCGAAGAACCCGCGATTCTTACTCGCAGCTTGTTGTGTTTGTGCTTTCATACACCATTCCATTCAGTTTATTGAGTGGGCTGCCATTCATTCATCCGATACGAGCGCAGGGAATTTCAGAGCATGTTCCGGTGCGGTCGCTGAGATCAATTCAGATATCCGCCACAACGACAGATTCGGCATAGTGACGCATCGGAGCTTTGTGCCCACTGTTGTTTTGTAATTCATGTCATATTTTTACACTGCTGTTTCTCCCGTTCTGTATTTACGACGTCCGCAGAGATACGTCGGACTCTGTGGTGAGGCGTGAGGCGCGTATTACCGTAGGAGGAGTGGGTTGCGTCGGGCCTGACAGAAAGGACTCCAAGGGGTGTTTGGGATTTGAAATGTACACTTGACATCATGACTCTACGACACCCACGATTATCGCGAGCTATCTTGAGCTCCTTCGAAGCGTTGCGGCGCGCAGGATTGACAAATACGTGCGGTGGCCGTGGCACGGGCCAAACAAGGGACCAAGCACAGGTGTGACATCACCGGCAACTGGCCACCGCCGCCGTGTTTCGCCCGGTTGTCCCTGGACATTCTTTGTACCGCGTTCCTATAAAACTGCGCGTCCCATGCCCGAGCAGCAACTCAAGTCGCAAACTCGCCCTACAACCCTTCCTTGATCTTCCGCCGCGAAGTTTGAAGCGCGAAACGCCATGTCTGGCTCTCAGTCAATGCACGTCCGCTTCCCTTCCACGTTGCCCTCGCCACCCAAAGAGGGCCGCCCACGGGTGAGTTGCATAACACTGCAGGATGGTCCTCCTAATCACATACCATACTTCCAGCGCGTCGTGTACCCCAAACTTGCCCAAGCCAAGGGGGTTTCGGACCGTTGCGCCTTCACGGACCTCTTTTGGGGCCCCAAACCCCTCTCCGCAGTGGCTGCGGACGCTACACCGATCGACGAGGTCCGAACTCCCCACTTGGCCGTGATGGGTCAGTCGAATCAGGATAACAGGTCCATGTCGTCCTACTTCCCAGAGTTCCACTCGAGCTCATAGTCGTAGTGGAGAGAAGAGGTTGACGCTGCCCGATGATGTGGAAGGTTGGAAACATGACACTGGACAATTCTAAACGATCCCTTACGACCTTTACAATACCACACGGACAAGTTCAATGATGACTTTAATAATACATATACCTGTTGTTGTAATGACACGCTGATTAACTGAAACTCGTCGAAGTGATAACACCACTGAGCCCTTACAGAATGACAGAGGTATCTGATTGCCCATCAGTCCCTCTCAGCGACCAAGCCACCACGCCCTCGCTTGATCCTCTCTTCCAAGCCACCCTGACCGCCAAATACCCTCTTCTGCTCTGAACTGAGGAAACCAGCCATGCCCTTCGACTTCGAGCGTAGCCTTTCCTCTGCTTCTGCCTCCGCTTTCTCCTGTTCCAGAAGAGTGGTGAGCCGTTCCTTGCGCTCGACTGTCATGCTCTGCGCGTTCGAAGACATTGCTGCCAGACGAGCTGCGCGTTCCTCGGCAGAGTAGCCCGATCTTGATGATTCAGCAGGGCGAGAGTCTCGGGACGGAGGGGGAGTCCTCCTCGACCTCTTATAATCAGGACGGTCGTGGCGGGGAGGGCTACGGCTACGGCTGCGCCCCCGTTTCCGGTCATCTGGCCGACGCTCGTAACTCCGGTCCCGACGAGAATGGTGGCCATTGTCATCCGATTCATCTGAGCGCGGCCAAGTACGGATGCGATCCTCGCGACCCGTCTCATAGCTTGGACTAGGCCGACGATGGCGATCGTCGGGGCTGCGACTGCGGCCCCGGTACTCGTCGCTGTAACGCCGCTTGGGAGGCGGAGAACGGGAACGTCGGCTGTTAGGGCTCGGTGAGCGTCTCGACCTGGAAGGCCTCTCATCGTATGAGCGGGAACGACCGCGGTCAGAGACGGGTGAACGCGAACGCGAGTGCTCATGATCTCTGTGTCGGTGCTTGTCTTTCTTGGAGTGCTTGTCCTTATGTTTCTTTTCCTTCTTGTCCTTCTTCGGTTTGATACCAGCGCGCTCTTGCATTTCGCGCAAACGTAAGGGATTGGACATAAGCTGTTGGTAGGCGGCCTGCTCTTGCTGCTTTATGGCAAACAGCGGGTCCTCCCGAATCTTCGCAGCTGTGTCTCTTGAGGTGTTCGCAAATTGGGTGGCAATGAAGTTCTTGTGGGCAGCGCCAACCTGCAGTTAAGGCATAATCAGCATCCCCATGCTTGGATATATCGGCAAAATAGACGTACCTTAGCATTCTCATCTGCCGTGAGCATCTTGTCAACGCGCTTCTTCCCCAGGAGATAGTCCTCCAGTTCGTTCTGGTTCTGGCTACTCCCAGTTGCAGGAGTAGCATACATCCAATCCAGCTTCTCGACTCGTTTCTTTCCCGTCGACTCTTCCTGCAGTCGTTGAAGCTCCTGCAACTGCCGCTCTTCCTCTTTCTCCTTACGGAGCTGGTCGAGCTTCTTCTTCTCCTCAAGCTAACAATATCGTTGGAGTTGAGTCAAATCAGACTTCGGGGGGTAACCAAGCGTACTCACCGCCTTCTTCTCTTCAAGCCAGACCCGCTCCTGATTCTTCAACAGGAGCGGGTGCCAGGACTTTTTCATGTTCAAGTCTCCGCCACCCATCTTGACAGACTATTCCAGAGACGATGTAATGCGAGGGTTCGTGTAACAAACAGATCCCAAAGGTGGACCCGCGACGAGAGGTGGCCAAAAGCAAAAGGCGATTGTGGAGGCAACGCCGTGTGCTATGGTTGGCCCGGCTTGTATTCGGCAGTTTCCGGTGGCTGTGACGTTTCCTGTGGCTGCTCATGTCATCGCCGTTTGTCAGAATACACCATCCAGCGCACTGTACCGCAGCACTCCCCCCCCAGCTCTAACGTACCTGAGTCTACAGCGACTGCAATTGGCAGTATACGTTCTTTAACTTTCCAAAATGCCCACAGAGGAATATGAACCACTCGAGGACCTTGAGAGCGGCGAGGCAGAGACCGAGCCATTGCACGCACCCAAGCCTGCTCCACCTACCCAACCCGTGTGAGTGTCTCATGCGACAGGGCTGTAGGGGGATGATCTAACAAACAGAACGATGTAGGGGTGGCCGCTCTATGTATGCGCTCAGTCGCCAGGAGATAGTCACGGGAATAGCGAATCGCTTCGTGCACTCCCGGACGTATATCATCCTGTATCTTGTTATGGTCGTGCTGTCCGTTGCGACAGCAATCTTGGGATCCATGCAACGATATCCGCCTTTGAGCTTCTACATCTTGGAGATAATTATCAACACTAGCATGATATGTGAGGTGGGAGTACGATTAGTTGCTCTTGGCAAGGTGAGCTCACCCCGGCGCCTCTCTCGTATGAGTCTCGCAAGAAACCTACGGTACCATTCGCTGACATTATGTCTGCATCTTCCTTTTGACAGCAATTCTGGAGATCACCATGGAATATTTTCGATCTCATCATCACCATTTTCTGCGCCCTCACGCTGTCGATACTGTTGTTCGCACATAGCGGCCGAGGGAGCAAGGGAGAGGAGGTCTTTGACAGTGTCCTGCTCATTGGACGGAACGTATTACAGTTCCTGCGTCTAGCTATGATCATGCGGCAGTACGTCTTTCCAGACGCGTTATTCCTCAGATAACCGTCATCCTCATGCCTGGTCTCGATAGGTCCGGCCAGTCCATATTTACGCGGCCAAAGGCCATCGATCTCTCAGCAGCTCGGATGGCGGGATACAGCATGGACATTGACATCGCGGACGACGGACCATTCACCAGCAGAGACCGCCGCGCGGTGGTCTTCGACGCACCAGACGGTTTCGAGGATGAGCCTGCCGCGCCGCATGTGCCGAAACCGGAAGACATGCCCAGGGCAGTGCAAGCGGCTCAGGAAAGAGATGAAGAGGATATGTGGGCTTCGATGGGTTGATAGGACTCGAGGAGCCACCGCGGACAGTTTTATTCTATGGTGGATTGTAAGTGGTATAGACATCGAATATAGTTTCTTTCATTATCGAAACAGGATATCCAAACTCCATGTTGCTTCTTTCCGTCCAGACGTTCGAGCCTGGGCATAGTACGGCACATTCATGGTTCAGACTCGCAGCTCGAAGGCCACGCTAGTGTTCCTGTCCAGACCTGGGAAGGGATCCCTGAGGGCTGTCTTATACCGAAGGAGGAGAGGGTCTGTCCTTCCTGTCACCCAGTCGGTACACATTCCGCACATTCTGCTTATGTTCCCTCCGCACTACGGTAAGGATACGCAGTGCCGTCAAGAGCCGTCACACATAGGAACATGCAACATCACCGCTCATTTACTGACCGCCATCTATCCGTCCGACTTACCCACGATTATATCAGAGCCGCTGAGCTCTTCTCAAGATAGGGAATCTCCCGGCGAAATATGTACGTCTTACCCAACTTCTTGACTCTAGTTAACCAGACCGACCCAGGACCCCTGAAAATACCGATAGATGCCGGTGCCAGTCCGGACAAAAAAAGCGCCTCGGGCGAGGGACGCCGGAGCCAGTCCGGACGTAAGTAGGGGTCTCAGCCGGCCAACCCGGTTTTTTAGTCCGGACACCAACGGCACCCCAGCAGTGAGGCCGGTTGTAGTCCGGACATGGTCAGCAGCCCGCCACTTCGTCGCTAGTACACTATCATGACCCGGTATGGTATTTCTCACCGAATAAGGATAGACATGCCTCCCCTGTAGTCGTGAACCCTCGGGTACCCCTTATTTGCACGGAATTATACAGTTTTTAATATCACGCTGAAATCCGGAGGCACACATGGAAGACACAGCTGGGTGCCGGATGCCTCCAATCTCGCGGCGGTATCGTATCTCGCCGTCCAGGGCTACGAAGCCATGAACGGGCGGGTATTTCGCGCTGTCTCTCAGACCCTGGCAATGCACAATGCCTGCTGAATCACTCATTTGCCTGCCACGTCTTTTCTTTGCATGCTGGAGATCTCAAGCCCGAAGGCTCTTCCGTTATCTATTGAACTTTCTACCTCAGACTATGCACGTTTCAGGTTTTCATACATACACCCTAGTATCTAGTGTCTAGAATGACTTGTGGACTACAACGGGTGATTTTTGCTGTTTCCTAGAGGCCGGGGCAATAGTCCGGACATGGATCCGACCTTGGCCGATGCCGGTATTTTATCCGGACATAAAGGCGGGGGGGCGCCAAAAACAGTCCGGACATGACAAAATCAAGTCCTGCACCGGCATCTATCGGTATTTTCAGGGGTCCTACCGACCCTTCCGAAGAGCCTTCGATTTTCTATCATCCCCAAACTCCGTCTGAGCTATCTATAGCCTTGGTGCGGTGGCATGAGATCCCATGTTTGCATCACAACTCTCGACCGCGTCCATTACAGTGGTTTGGCTACATGCCATTGAGACAGATTACAATACTCTGATGGTCAGCAAAAACAAATCTAGCCTGTCGCGCAATTGCGGAGATGTATGCACTGGTACGCAAATCTATCATTGACTGTTGTTCCTACGCTGTCTAAATATACGTTTCTGTGGATGTGAGCTTCGCCCAGAGTCTTGCCGTAACACTAGCTTGATATCCCCGTCTGTTAGAAGAACGTAAGATTCAGAGCTGTAACCCGATGCACGGGATCGTGGCTCTCTTCACAATATTCAAAGCACCAGATCCTTTCATTTCACCGGTATGCACGTTTCTCGGACCTGTATGCGAGTGATCTGATCTGATCCTATTGCAGCGCTGTCGACTTGACTATGAGAACGAGCACAGCATTTGTCTCGCAGACCATGTATGATCGTGCGAAAGACGCCAGGCTATCAATCATTTCGCTCATGATATGTATCAACATCACCGCGGTCCTGGCTAGACATCTTCATGTGGCTCGGCTTGGGCTGATGTTGCAGAGTTTCCCCTGCTCATCGAATCAAGAGTATGCTTTTCTTACCGGGCTGCAGTGGATCAGCCCGGTGAGTTCGCACTATTAGCTCATCTCATCACTAGGAGGTCGATCCGAAAATCCAACACCAGAAGAGTCCTGTACGGTGTAGGCCGTCCTGCTGTTCAGCAGGGCGTCAAGACTACAGCACCTGTTTCTGCTGGAGCTGAGCGTTCATCTGAACTTCCCTGCTGCAAGAAATCCTGACATCGGGTGTCTCTCGGTACTTTCGGCGTCGACAGCTGCGACGCCCGGCTGTTCGTGATGAGCTCTTGTCCACATCGGAGTTACGCTTCTCCACTCACGGTGGCCGCCTTGTTCTAGCTGATCTTACTTATGAGATCCTGATGTATCTTTCGGAGGAAACGTCGATACATGCCTGCAGTCCCTCCATCGGTGGCGATGGAGACGTGCTCATGCAAGATCGGTCTGGCGTCAAATTACGAGTTACGCTTTCCCCACTTGTTTGGGGTATTCGTACACCCCGTTCAAGCTGGCTCTCGCGTCCCGGTAGCCAAGAAAATGAATTCATGTGTAGGCTGTCAAGGCTGGATATGAACGCGAATCTCGGTGTTCATAAAGACAGATTTATTAGACGATTCGAATGCTCGTACATTACTTTACATACATCTCCTCGATGCCTGACAGGGTGAACAAAAGTCGGGTTGGATGTTGATAGTGGAGACGCAGCCGAGCTCGGGGCTGCTCGGGGCCTCGGGCCAGCACGAAGCGGACGCAGTAACAGAAGCGGAAGGAAACGAGTATAGAAGTGCGGACGGCATAATACGGCTTTTCAGAAGATCCCGATAAAGTACTAGATCCAGCACTGTACTGCAAGTCTCTTGTACTCGGGGCGCTCAGGTTCTTCAAGCAAAGTGTACTTGTATTTGGGACGGGCATGGAATAGAATGACTTACGAGACATAGTCGTAAACACGACAAGGAGCAGCCGGCGCGAGAAAAAGACGTAATAATATCAGACGAGAACGAAGAAAAGGCCGGAAGAAATGAAGAGGTGAGTGGGACGCCCACGGTCGGCTAATAAGGGGAAAGAACGGACGCACGGTCGGTGCCGTGGCTTCTCTGGCCGTGTGCTTCTGCCATCAAACCATGGCCGACCTCCTCTCTTAGCTTATCCCGCCCGACGCTCCTGCCCCTTCTCTGCCAGTGCTTGATGCTGCCCCCGCCGTCGCCCCCGGCACCCCGCTCGTCGCGCCCGCCGTCATCAACCACCGCTCGGCCGTCGTCCAACGCGCCCTGACCGCCGCGCCTGTATATTTCTGCATATCTTGTACAGCAGTCACGATCATTCCCCTCCCCTCTTTTCACGCCATGTCCTCTCTCCTCCCCACTCACCCCGCTCCCCGTCCGTGGTGGAGCCGCTCGTCGTCCAAGACTTCCGACACGTCCCTCCAGTCGTCCTCCTCGGCCTCCAAGCCGACCACCCCTCTCAAATCCGCCCGCTCGTTCACGTCGCTTAAGCGTGATGACAGCTCTGCTGTCCGCAAACAGGAACACCCCAAGCAGCCGAGACGCAGTAGTCCTTCTTCCAAGTTCAACACACTTGCTTCCGCTATAGGTCTAAAGTCCAAAAAGCCGGCAGGGCCCACCCTTGCCATTCAAGACCCTCCGTCGCTACTCGCGGAGCCGCCGTCTATCTCCACTCCTCTGCCTAGTCCAGCTCCGAGCCAGCTCAGCCATAGTGCTCGCAGCTACACGAACAGGCCTCCATCGAATTCTGTATATTCCACTGTACCGTCATGGGATGAGCCAGAACCTCGCACCCCATCCGACGTGCCTAGCTCTCGCGGCCGATCCTCATACCAACATTCAGTCTTGACGCTGAGTGACGCTGACCCCTTCGCGTCCAGGGGCATGGTCGTGCCTCCCAAGGTACAAGCACAGGACCCGCTTCGACTATCTGTCTTTTCTAATGGCAGCAATACTTCCTCGAACGAATTGCATCAGAAGAAGAGCGGAGCCGAGGACCTCAATCGGGCCTCTTTCGCTTCCGCCTCATCTAGTTCGCAGTCGCACGAGCACTTTCTCCATAACCAGCCAGGCGAACCGCCTCCGGGAACTTCTGAAAGGTAATGCACTGGTCTCAAATAGGGACCAGCCGACACTAAAATAACTTCGTCCCCTCAGCTCGCTAGATCCATATAATAATACAAATATGGCGAATAGGCTCTCCGAGCCGCCTTCAGACCCTATGAGGCCCCTCCACCGGCCACCTATGCGTGCACGAGGCATGACAGATGTAGGACCTCGTCGGTCTCCGCCTGTTAGTAACAACAGCACTCCAGATATTGCCACTTCCTCCGCAAGCACTAGCACGCCTGGAACACCGCCCCTGGTTATTGTAAGGCAAGCATCGCTAGGACGCCTTCATCCGCGCCCTGCCGCTCCCCCACCGCCAATCCCCATTCCTCCGCCACCACTGCCGTCCTTGAGCCCGTCGCCCCGTAGTGGCGAGACTTCTGACGCCTCGACCGTCAGAAATCCACTACGCGAGTCGGGAAATAGTGAGTTATCACCTTTTGGGTAGTCCAGATACCTCAACTTACCCAAACTTCTTCGCTTCACAGCTGCATCTTCATCTTCTTATCATACTGCCCCTGAACACTCGCAAGATTCGCATGATAGAGTTGCTCTAGGCGATAGTCCATTGATGACGGCGCCTTCCACCCCGATAGCGCAGGATGACTCCGACGAGTCCGGAAGCAGTTTGTCATTTGCCTCTTCCATCTCAGAGACTCGGGATGTGCTCGTGACCCATGGCAATGTCTGGAGTCCCCGAGAAAGGGACTTCTCCCGTCATGGAAAAAGCAAGATAAAGTCCATCGACAAGGGGAAGGGGAAGATGAAGGCTTCGGAGGAAAAGGAGGAACGCGAATTGGAGATGGCTCTCCGAAGCCCGTCGAAGACGACGATTGTGCAGTCCGCGACTTCGGACGGCTCGCCGGCGAAGACGCTGAAAAAGGCGCTTTCGCAGCAGAACATATCAAATGCCATGGCCGCGCAGCGCTTTTCGGTATCGAGCACATTGTCCGCTTCCTCCGCACATTCCAACACTGGGGACGATCACAGCACCGGGCATGAAAAGAGCAGTCGAGAAAAGGGGAAGGGGAAGCCGCCAAAGAAGCAACGATCGTTCCATCATCCTCGGATTCCCTTACCACCTTTACCCCACCTGAGACAGTCTCACCACTCTGCTGGGAGCCCGCCAGTATCTCAAAGTTCACATTATCACGCAGACAGTACCACGTCCACTATCACTGACAACCGTAGGGGGTCGACTCCTACCATGACCTTCCCGTCGTTCTCTTCACTGTCTATATCCACTCATCCCAGTGAGAAGAGTCTGGATAAGTCGTCTAGTTCTCCTGGGCGTCCGCATACTCCGGTCAGGAAGCGGCTCTTTTCTGGCTCAAGCTTACGACGGACACCCTCGTCCCAAGCGCACACCCCGTCCGAGGAAGACACCAGGTCAGTTTTGAGCTTGACTCTGGAGGACGGTCGACCGGGAGGGATGTATGCGCATCAGCTATCTCCGAACGACTCTGTGGCTTCGTTTTGGGAGGACGGAGAAGGGAACACGATTGCCGTCCTGCCGAAACCTCAGACAGAGTACGTCCCGCAGCAGATCATGTCTCCCGCGGACATGCTTGCATTGGAGGCGATAGTGCAGCAGGAGCAAGATGAACGCGCACGGCATGACCAGTCTCAAGGCGAGGATCGTTCACGAAGAGATTCTGCGCGCTCCCTTACTCCCAGCGTCACTGTCCACGATCCCGACAATCAGGTCGGGTATGTCGAGGACTTCGGGCGCGCAGGCGCTCTGGAGAGCTCGTACATGGGGGTTGGGTCTATAACCGGAAGACGGAGGGGAAATTCACAGGGCTCGTCGATGTCCGCTTCTACGACAAGTATGAGCATAAATACGCCGTCGACTGGTCTTGGACGAGATTGGCATCTTGGCTCCCCGTCCGTCGCGTCTATGACAGGCGCGAGCGAGGTAGATGGTCCATCATCGCCTCCCTCTAGTATGCGCTTTTGGGAACGCGGCAAGGGTCGAAATGGCCAAGATTTTGGCCCTCCGTCGCCTCAGAAGCAGACTATGAGTGGCCGGACACCTCCACTGTCGCCGCTGTCTCCATACTCGCAAAGTTCCCGGCCCACGCGCAGCACCTCCATGTTCTCGAAGAGTGGAGGTCCTTTACGTAGCGGGAGACCGTCTACGTCGCAGTCTGACATAACACCTCCTTCCTCGCCTATTTCCTCGTCCTTCCTCGTCTCCCCTGGCGGCAGTGGCCACACTATGATGTACTCACCACCTACCAGTCTTCCACCGCCGCCTCGTCGACGACCACGGACAAGCTCAGCCGTCACTGCTACTAGCACTCACGCGGACTCAATCATACGCGAAAGGGAGGAACCTGAGGAACCTATTGGTCCTTTGCCACCTCCTAGACGCAGTGCTCAGCGTGCCGGCCGTTCCCCCTATCCTCCTTCCTCTGCACGAAATGACAAGGTTGGGTCACAACGGCGATCCATCATGCGGAAGCCGTCTTTCCTGGATATCGAAGATGAGGCCGAGTCGTCTTCAGAAGCACAGGCTACTGCAAAACCATTTGAAGATGCAAATTTCCTGGATCTTGGTCGAGGCAAGGATTCCTTTGATACTGTTCGAAGCGTGGACATCCTGGAATTAGTTGGACCTGGATAAGTTTGTGCCTGCTGTGAACCTGTTGGATATCGTTCAGCTTTTTATTGCTTATTTGTTAACTTGCCATTATTCCTAGTCGTCTGTGTTCTAATTTACGTTGTGGTATATTTGCCTAGTCAGACGCTCATTTTGTGACATTTCGCACATACCCTGCAATGGAGATTATGACAAGCCAAACCGTCTGATCCTTGGTGATATTTGAGTCGCAAGATAAAAGTTACATGGTAATATGAACGCAGGCTGTAAGATAGTGAAGAAAGGAATGCTCGTATTAGGTCCTACGCTTTAGTCCGTCTCCTCCGTGTGATATCCTGCACGTCTCATGGCGCCCAGCCTATGTCGAGCCGCGCCCAATTCTTTCTCCAGCCGAAGAATCTCTACCTGTTGCTCCATCTCCCGTCTCTTGAACTCCAGCGCGGGCATAGCATTATAATCAACTGCTTCGTCTTCGGCTTGCTTCGCGGTAATAGCCTTGACTTGTCGCACCAATGCCTTCACCGCTTCCGTGACTGCCTTGGCTGCAAGTTCCAAACGCTCCTGCGTCTTGGACATCAAGTCTGCCTTCACTCTTGATGCAGCGACCAACTGCGCTGTCGCCCCTGCCACTTCGTTTGAGGCGACAATTAGCTGTTCGAGTGAATGAGTCCCAGATAGGACACCATCCGCAGACTCGATGAGAAGGTTGGTGGCAAAGGCCACGGCTCGAGCTGCCGAGATGAGACCTTCTGTCCAACGGTTGTTCTTTTTGTAAAACTGCTGCGATGTGCTCGCGCCTTTGCCCTTGTTGACAATCTCTTGCTGGGATTCCGTAGCAGCTTGAATGAGCCGTGCAATAGCATTCGTGATCGCAAGCGCGGCAGCAAGGATGGAATCGTGCACTTTAAGGTCCACGGCACTGAATCGGTCGGTGTCACGTGGCCGAGCAATGAGCTCTTGCAACCGCTGGGTAGCAGCCTCGATAGCCTTAGCAGCGCCCATCATCTCTTGTTCCACGAGATCCCCAATGTCGCCATTGGCCTTCGACAGGGCCGCTTGCCCCTTAGGCAAGAGCTTGTCGATAGCCTCAGAAAGCTTCGTTAAGGCTCCCCGTATTTCCGCATTATTACGCGTGGCGACCTCCTTCCTCTGCGTTGAGTCACGCAACAGGTCAAGCTTGTAGGACTGGAGATTAAGGAACAAGCGTATCCCGACATCGCCGGCATTTTTGGCAACGTTGATGAGTTTGTCGGACGCCTCGTCATCAGCCAACCGTGTGACGCCCTTGGTGCTGATCAGAACGTCAGCGAGAGACTGCGCAAGCTCGTTTGCCCCCTTAATGACATCCACATGGTCGCCGCCAACTTCACCACCGATGTATAAATTGAAGATAATCGCGAACTCAGTGGCATTGTTGATAGCCTTCTCGATCATCGACAGAGTATACTCCGGTGTGGAGTTGAGATTGCCCGCCTGCGTAGGAGACTCAAGCTCGTAGGTAGCTTCATCAACCTTCTGCATGCATGCTTGCAGGATAGAGTCTGGAACAGTATGTGAGACGACGTCCTTTCTGCAGAAGACTACTGGCACTCTTACCTATGATCTGGTTGAGCTTCTTCCTGTTATCCAATATCAAGGTATCGATCTGGGCATTAGTGGCCTCTTCGGCGATATTTTGCGTCTGATGGGCATAATGAGTAGCATCCGACCGGACAAGGATAGGTCACATACCTGTTGGACGTCGGCAAGTTGCTGGATGGTCGAGTCCATGCTCTCCTGAAGAATTGCTATTTCTTGGTCCTTCTCTTCCCGCAGACGCTCCATGTCCTGATCGACGTTCTGCAGCTTGGTAAGCAGATCGTCAATCTGTATTTGTTTGGCCTAGACATATGCGACGCATTGTCAGGTTAGACTCCACACCCGCGATGAGCACACATACTCGTAAGGAGTCCTCCAACTCTGAGAGTTGTCTGTTGTATTTGGCCAGAACGCTCGAGACCTCGGAGCTCTTGGACCTCGACGCATCCTCGGCACGCTCGTTGGCAAAGTTGAGTTCGCGGCGCAGACGATCTATTTCATCCTTGTGGCTGGCCTTTTGGCGATCCAAGTCAAACCTGGCTCTGTCACGCTCGCGGATCATATCAGCCAGTTCCAGGTTCTTGGCCTTGATATCTCTCTCCATTCGCTCCATCTTGTCGATGGCTTCCTGGGCAGAGTTTGCCTTCAACTGCATCTGCTTATACTTCTGCAGCATGTCGAGATGTTCTGTGCGAAGTTGACTATACAGTTTCGCCAGGGCTTCATACTTATTACGCCAGAGTGTAACTTGGTCTTGCAGCTGTTTGATGAGATCGTCCTTCGACTGAAATTGCTGATTGATGTGCATCTGAACTCCCGCCAGTTCACCCTCTAACGCTTTGACTCTCTACAGTCAAGGAGAATACGTCAGCCTATGGACCAAGGTAGACTAACACGCTCACGTACTCTGTCATATTGCTCCAGCATGAGCTGATCACGCTCGTACTGACCACGCATAGCCAGAAGTTCCCTCTCCAGCTCATGCATCTGCTGCGCAGCTTGGTTATTGTACTGCATCATCTGCTGCTGCATTAACTGTTCTTGAGCAAGGCGTTCTTTCTCAAGCTGCTCTTGCTGCCTCCGCTCGAACTCAGCTCGCTGTTGAGCTTCCAACTCAAGGCGACGACGTTCCTCAGCCTCCCGAGCAGCAACCAAAGCAGCTTGCTGCTCTTCGTACTGCTTGAGCATCCTTGCCTGCTCCCCGATATCTACGACCGGAGAGGGTGCTGCTGGAGGTGGTGTAGGAGACTTGGCAGCCGTGGTGGGTCTTGCGGGAAGGTCCGGCGCTGAGCCTTTATCCATGAGGTTCGGAGGGTCCTAAAGGCAATGAGACGATTGTAACTGAGAAGTCGCATCCGAAGCCATACCTGGCCAAGCTTGGGCACATTGATCAGACTTGTGAGGTACTTGAGGTTGGAGCATTCATAGTAGAACTTTCGAAGGTTGTAGTGTTGGGAACTGAACCGTGTCCGTAATGGTTCAAGGGCGTCGGTGTCAGTGGTTCCTGGTATGATCGTTATGACATCTGGCTTCGATTCGATGGCCACGAATGGAACCTACTCCGGTGCATCGCCCTGAGCATGCTGGTAATGAACCGATAGATGCCCCAGCTCTCTTTAACAAGTGGTACCAGCGCAGAGATTCGGCACTCGTTATTCGCAGAATGCCGGAAATGAGCGAATATCATCCTTTGAAAGGAATCTATTTGATCTTGCAGGCCCATGAGATCGGAAATAATTTCATAGCTAGACTATGATCTCAGTACAGATCCCCATGAGAACGCGGAACACTTACCCCTCATTGGGATCGTCAACACCTTTCAAGGTAACATATTCTTCGTACTCGAACAAGCCGTTGAACTCTGGACGCATGCGATGGAAACGTAGCTTGGCGAGAATGTATTGCACATAAGCCCTGATGAGGGTACCGTACCCTAAGGCCCCAGAGTCACACCGCTGTTCAAGGGATCGGGTATACACCCACGCACCTTTTGGAGTCTCGTGGCCTACCGTCCGAGCACAGGTCTCCAGCCAACCCGTTTGTCCATGAGCTTCCTTTATTGTCTACGGCAACATCGAGTCTGGTCATTCCCCAGTCCACGCATATTCCTCCCTTACTCACGATCGGATGCCCTTCCTGTAAGACCTTGTGCACGGTGATCAAAGCTTTGAACGTCTGGACCTCATCCGCTAATATGGGCTGCACCCGGAGTCCAGTCCAGAAGGATATGGAAGAGTGGTAGTCCCATGTATAGACGATACACTCTACACCTCATTAGTATCCTCCAGGTAGCACTCCAGACCCCGCACACTCACTTCGGACATGCTTTTGCTTCGGCGCAGTCTCGTCTGGATTCGTAGCCTTCTTGATGTTGATGACAAGCTCCTGCTCTGCCTTCTCCTTGTCTACCGGACGAGTGGGGTAATGGATCTCGTCACCGTCAATATCGTAGCCAGTCTGACGAGTCCGCGCTCCTTGAAGCCTGTCCATCGTGGTCAGTGTTTGAGAGACGCTACGCAGCGATAAGAATAGCCTTACATGATTTGGCGGCCACTCGAGACTGCGCACGTATACAAATAGCCAGCGAACCCGGGGATCTGAGCGAGTGTGGATTAGCGCTGGGAGGTCCGTGACTGACGCGCGCTGCAGCCGCCGGCACAATTACCCTTGCCTCTCATTTCTCCAAGTTAACTGCACGCATGTTTCGACCGTTCTCAAGATGCTTGTTCGAAAGAAATATATTTCGCTTCTCTGGACTAAAGGATGCCAGCAGGGCCCCTGGTCGGCGGTTTCAATCTTCACAGGAATCTGAGGCTTCCTCGTTCTCGAGCTCCTCGCCGTACAGAGCCCGTCGGTACCCGCTGATAACCCCCACCATGGTCGTCCTAGGTGTCATTCCTATATTCACCTTCTATTTGGGTACCTGGCAAGTGCAGCGTCTGAAATGGAAGGTCGCCTTGATCGACGAATTAGAGGAAAAGCTACAACGTGAGCCCATACCATTACCGAAACGAATAAAGTGCGCATCTTCTTGATCACGTACATCCTCTATATTCAAGTTTATGCGGCCGTGTAAAGTATCTCGGTGCTTCCAGAGTTCACGTATCGCAAAGTTCTACTACGGGGCCGGTGGGATCCCGAACACTCAATTCTGCTAGGACCTCGCGTACGTGAAGGAGCGACTGGGTATCACTTGGTGACACCTCTTGTGCGACAAGACGGAACGACAGTTCTGGTCGACAGGGGATTCGTATCCAAAGAGTTTGCTGAGCAAGCCAAAGCAGCGCAAGCACAGGATGGCGAAGTGGAGGTGCTCGGCATGTTGAGAACCACGCAAGCACGAAACAACTTTACCCCAGATAATCATCCCGAAAGGGGCGAATGGTATTGGGCGGATGTCGAGGCTATGGCTGAATACGCAGGCGGAGAACGTGCCAACGTGCAGCCCGTTTTCATTGAAGAAATATTTGGTATGCATCCATGTTAGGGCGTACGATGGTGACAGTACAATATCATTGAACAGAGGGCCATTCCGGAGACGCTTCCTGGCGACAAGCCCATGGAGTTCCAATTGGTCGACCGCCCATAGTTGACCTGCGGAACTCCCATCTGTCATACGTCATAACCTGGTGGGTCGCGATATCCCTACAATCATGGCCCGCGCTTATAGTAGATGCAGGTACTCGTTGTCTGCCTTTACAAGTTTGATGTTCCTGCGATTGTTGCTCAAGCACAGGAGGGCACGTGCTAGACTGCCGCGAGTATAAATGTCATCCCGAAGTGGACGGATACGTGGTCATTACGAGCAGGCATGTCTCGGATAGGCCTTCATCCTTCCCGTCTGCGTTCGATTATTGGGCCCTTCGGGTTGTCTCGGATTAATCTACAGTCAATCAAAGAATTTGGGACTGGACGGCCCTAATTCCCACCCGCAAGTGTTGATTGATCTGCTCATCATCATGCTCGCAGTCAGTGCTGTGTGCTCATTTATAACATGAATAGTGCCCACAGGTGCGCTCGGTTGTCTTCAGATTCGACTTAACTAAGTCTACCACGATTACCAAATATAGACCCACAACGGTGTGATTTCTCTAAGGGTGTTGTGGCAAACCCCTTTGGGAGATCACATCCGAATCGCAGTATGCTCATTGCTTCCGCGTGCTCGGGCGCGTCACTTGCCATGGTTTTACCTCAGCTAGCCCAGCGGCACGCGTGCGGGCCACTGTGGCATTATGCAACCACAAGGCAAACCCTACGCGGCGCCAGGCAAGCTACAAAGGCGTCGCAGTATATAAAGATGAGTTGGAATGTAGATTGACAGCATCACTTTCCCGTTTCCCCCTTCACCTTTGACGTTCGTCTCGACTATAGCGTCAACTCTGCAGCGATGTCCTCTTCTGGTCTTTCCCCTCGTTTGCGCTATTCAACGGGTGACTGCGTAGTCCGGCCTCCAGTACACAGGCAGTCATCAGCGCACAGAGGGGGAGAGCGTCGGCTTTCGGAAGCCGATATAGGATATCCTCAGAGGATTCAACAGTACCTTCCTATGGGCACTAACGCTCCCGTAGATCAGTTCAGCCCTGAAGTAGACTATGCCTGGAGTGATGGATCTCAGATCTTTACCCCGAAGCGGTGCAGTATCGAAGGTATGCGAATTGCCGATAGCGTCGAGGTCTAGTCTGATGGACAAACCCTTGTCAGAGGCCGACATAGATGAAGACGTGAAACGTGCCCTGATGTTCCAGCGTCGAGCCAGGCAACGTAAAGCCAGCGCTACCAATTCGAAACTGTCCATCGAGGGTGTCGAGCCTGGCCTCAGTCCTCGCAGCTCCGTCTCGTCCAAGAGCAGCCGTGACTCAGATGAGCTGTGCACACCGAGGACTAGCATCTCGTCCGTATCCTATACCGATTATCCCGAGCATCACACGCACAGCAAAGCAAGGGCCAGCATCGCCCCAACCATACATGACCACGAAGCTGGGAGTAAGGAATAACCCTCCTTCTTTAACTTCTTCGCATAACCTCGTTTGTTATACAGAACCGCCCGCTGCTCAACCCGGTATTCTAGGTATACCCATTTCCACGAGTCCCAAGAAAATTGAAGGGAGCGCCACGGACGATGCCCGCCCTCGCAAGGGCTCTGTTTCTTTCATCTTGGGCGAAGTATCCAAGCGCCTGGGAGATTCTGCCCGATTCCGGCGACATAAAGGATCGTCTGGGAGCCGCTCTAGGTCGTCCTCCATCCTTCACAGTCTGATGCGTACTCCGGCATCTCAAAGCCACTCTCCCATGTCGCCTCCAGCACCACGCTTCCCCACGTTAGAGACTATCCCGTCGCAGGATACCGTGGCTCGGAGTCCTCGGGTTGATAATGCGAAGCGTCTCGGTATCATGCCGCATTTCAATCCCTTCATTCGGACAAGGGCAGAATCGACGTCTGCTCTGGAAGGAGCCCACCAGACACACGTAGATTTCGGCGCAGAGGCCCCAACCCGCTACACCCGGAGATTCCAGTCCAGTCCCCCACCGCATGTGGGATCGCTTCATAAGAAAGCGGATGTACGCAGGTTGTAATGCCTGTCATTCCGAGTTAGACATTTCCTTCTTATTTTCTCCTTATGATCGGACATTATCTCCACGACCATCTCACACAGCTTCAATATCTCGGATAATTTTGCTTACAATGTCGTATTGAATCATCTTATACGACTATGTTCAATTAACCTCCCATTTTGTGGAAGGGCGTTGCTAAACTTCGACAACACAGCTAGACGGACGACGAGTGATCATGCAGCTTTTACCGTACTTCACGGACGGACGAAGGCGTTGGCTCATAATACCAGATGCCCTTGGTGGTGGAACAAGTCGAGTTCGTAGTAGAGTCCAGTGTCTTATAATGACCATATTGCTCCTGTAATGAATCAGGTAAGTGGGGAATGGGCATACCATGTAGAGAGAGAGGAGTGCATACACTGCCGAGAACGTGATGGAAGTACCATACTTCCTGAAGCACAGTTCCATTGTAGCCACACCCTAGATACGGCGTAGCACCTGTCTGCGACCTAAGGGCAGTTTGCAGCTGCGCTAGAGAGTACGTTGTCTTATTGGATGGCCTGATACCAACTCTATGGTCGTGGGTCAGGCGGTTCCATCCACATCCTCCGTGCATGGGAGACTCACGCAGCCAGCATGTCATAGGTAGGGTACATCTTGAATGCCCTGACTACGGCATCGTAGAAGTTGATCACGTCTTCATGCTCGATGTAATCAGGCCCGTAGCAAGCTACGTCGAACGTTGAAGTACACGTTGCATGCTTGGAGAACTGGCAGTTCGGAGATGTCAGTTATGTCATACGAGCAAATGCCTGATGTACCTCATGAGCCCAAAAAGTGGGGTTGGATGCGCCCTGGTTGACCCAGTATTTGTTCACTTTCATGTGACCGATCAGACATCAGGATAAAGGCGACCTTGCCATGAAACGTACTATAGTCCAAAAGATCGTAGCGGTGGAAGGCCTCAATGAAGGTCACCACGCTAGGACCTGTGTATGCTGGGACAGGCGTTCCATTCGGAAGTACTTTCGGTGACGGGTCAGGATCGTATTGCCGGGACAGGTCGCAGTACTGTTCATAGGACCTGAATCGTAATACTTCAATACGCGTTACGAGTGGCAGTGGTAGGGGGCATACCCGTCACAATTGTCCGGCCACAACCCGTGGATCGTCCAGCTGTTCTTGGGCAGCAATTGTCCTTGAGCCTCCAGACCCTGTCCAAATGTCAACTACAATTCGATCGTCAGGTAACGAAAACGTGCCGTGTAGGTACTCCAGAATTGAGTTTGCAGTACTAGCCCTCCCGGGGTGGGCGAACAGCAGGTATTTGCGATGGCCGTAGTGTTCTCACAAGAATAGGTCAAGGGCTCATTGACACAAGCTGTCAGATTGGGATACGTCTCTGGAACAGATGGCAAGCTCGGGGGCCAAGTGAGAGTAGCCGTCACCACAGAAGTCGCGCTCAACACCGACAGGACTCGGGCGACTTTGCTTGCCATCTTGCGAGAGGGAGACGTCGACTATACCCGTGGGCTCCCATGCCGTCCCGAACGTCGCAGTATTTATGGGACAAGATGCCAGTGCAGGGCCAGGAACAAGGAAATATGTTGATTGACGAACGTGCTTATCTTGCCGGGGAGCATGTGCAGCGATTTCGTGGGCGCTGTCTGCTGTCAATTCCGCATTGTGGCTGCTGGCTGTGGCAGACAACGCCGGTGTGTGGGACCTTCACCAAGCATATCGCTCCCTCGCGGACCCTCGGGGCTCTGCGAGTTGTTCATATGTAGGTGCTGCTGTGATCATCTGACTCTTTGCCAAAGGCTGGTACAAGTTTTGAAAGCCTACGTTCTGACGGACATATGCTTTCTTCTAATACCGAGGAGACCACCGCACATTAACAGGCTAGTCCCTCTCCCAGGTTCTCAGGAACTTAAACACCCTTCTCTCCTGCTTCACAGCGCTCTTCATAACTCTTGCCCTCCACTCAGTGCTCCCGGCCGCTTTATACTCCTCACTCTGGAAGGCTGCGTCCGACTCCAACTCGTGCACTGCCAGGAACTTGGGCGGTGCCGTGCTGTCCTTGCTCCCCTCTACACCTGACCTATCCCACGTCCTGAGGACGAATCGTCTGGTCCTGATCCACCCGGGACTCTTCAGGAGCATCGGGATGTGTTCTTCGTTGTACCACCTGTGGAAATCCTCCTCTCTGTCCGACTGTACTTCCAGTGAATTGAACACGATGATCCCCGGCTTCTTCTGAGCGGAAGGTGATTGTTGCGGGGTGCCCTTCAATACCTCGTACACCCGCCGGTCGACCCATCCCACCTTCGACAATATATCTTTCTCTCGCTCACTCCGAGTCCGAGCGAGCAACGCGTAGTCTGGCTTCTCGAGCGCATTCGGCGTGTCGAGATCGTAAGTGGCAGCGTATCGCGGTTTCTGGCCATCTGCTTGCGCCCAGCGGTTCCAACTTTGAAAGCTGGGAATTACGACCCGTAGCGGGATATGCTCGTTCTCGTACCAGTCGTTGAACTCTGCTTCGGGGACCCCATCTCCCGGGTCAGCAAAGACAACGAAGAAGGCTTGTGTGTCTGTGCTCATGATGCGTCGGATGGTAGTAAGGTGTAGTGCTTGTACAAACGGAATGTATTCATAAGCGACTGTTTATCTCTTAACTGTGGGCTCGGGCTTACTGTTCACACCGTGACGTATGACCAAATGACGGCGCAGTGCCGGTCCGGTGTGTCTCAGCGACGCAACACCATTCATGAGAGCGAAATAACTTGGGATACATGACAAGACTGGACACGAATGCGCAAAGGAAGCAGAGATTATTATACGACATGCCGGGAAAATAGTTATGCAGGGGGAACGGAGCGCCGAAGACAAAGATAGAGCACAAGTCACCCTCGAGAGACCAGCAGATGTTGTATTAGACGTCAGACCAGCCACCTTCGTCCAGTTTGTAGGAAGCTTCGCTCTCTGGCCTGTCAGGGCTGTCCACCAATTTTGCAACCCGTTCCTCGGCGCGGCCTTCGATTTAAGGAAGGCATTGGGAGCGTCAGAAAATTACACGTTGTTTGCCGAATGCGTAAGAGAGCAGGGAGAACGGAAAAGACAGTGGTCTGTCGGGTGTACGCACCTTTGCGGAGGAACATCCTAGTGGCAGAGGCATGAGAAAGAATATGACCCCCGATAGGCTTGAGGGCCCCGCCTGCAACGAAAGTCATGGTGGCTCCAGGATCCGCTGCACTCGTCCACGTTAGACAATCGCTCCCAGACATGATCGTAAGGAGTCAGCCCATACATTGAACCTGGTTTGTTAGCAAGATCGCAATCTGGAGGCAAATTCAGTATGAGGACAAGTACGCTCGACTTCGTAGACAAACGTTGAACTCCTCTGAGAGTTTGCTCAATTTGGATAGCATCTGCTTTCGTTAGCGGCCAAATTCGTGATGTCACTTAAGTAGATTACCTGCGCGAGCTGAATGGACATGAGTTGTAAGTTGCAAGCCACAACATCATATGAAAACCATACCTTCTGTTGTCTCTCACTTAGCTCGCCTCTGCCTGAATAATCCGTCCGGAACAACGCCATGATGCTGTCCACAATCTGTCGGAGATAACATAAAACAGCGTTGAAGAATGTAACTCCACGTACCATCAGACGGAAATCCTGTTTCTGTACGTTAGCCTAGGTCGTGACGCAGATTGTATGAGAACTACTAACCTTCTCTTCCGCAAAGCGTTGTGAACATTCATTGATCAATTCCATCTGTGAAAAGGATCAGCCAGCTGGCGCAGCTTGCATGGGTCCGCTAGCTACCTGATGTTCGCTATTCCAGGCCCGAGCTGCGCCATACAATGAGTAATCACGCTAAAATCCACGTGCCTTTGAGAATATCACCATAGAGAATATTTTCCAGAGCCATGTCTCCGTTGACTCCAAACCTGTCGGCTATGGCTTTAATGCGATCTGGGCGAAAAGTGCCTAGGGGTCCCGCTGAGTCACCATCACAAAGGACGGACACGATCATTTCTCAACCTTCAGTGTCAATATATGCGACCTTGATATACGTCAGCTGACACTAATTCCGATTCCTCTGATTGCATGCTCACCTTGCCTGAAGCGCCGCCCATTTCGGGTGGGAGCTGGGCAACAACACTCATTGTATGCGCTAGTTGGGTCTTGCCAGTGCGGAATTCTCCATAAACTGAAGACCATAAGCGCAGTCGGAATTGCCAGTATGGTAGACGTGTACCTTCGCTAATGGATTGAGACATGAGACCTCCTACGGGCCCGTCAGGCCATGACTGTATCTGGACAGCGGCAACGCACCTCCAAGTATAGCGTCTACGGCTTTACTACCCGTGCTGATCATCAACACTCTCTTGCGCTTATCCTGGACCTCGAGACCCGTGGCAAAGGACGATCCCTGAGGCAAACGATATGACGCGCATATAAGTGGGACGGAGATATGAGCAGACTCACCAATATCTTATGGGCAGCCTCCTAGTATACTTGCCTAGATTAGATATCAAACCAGGGTAGAATGTATGCACGCACCTTGATCTTCTCAACCTTGGCTTCTGACATGCCCTACATGAGGACATGAGCAATCAGACGTGCCAACCGAGATGGACGGCCTGACCTTGATCTTGAGTAATTGCCTCCTAGGAGTCATACTTACTCCGGAGACGGTATTGATAGCAGCCGCCTACAACCTCGACATCGTAACACGCGTACCCGAGCCCAAGACAATGACAGACCTTTAACTTCAAAATGTCTTGGACGTTGATACCCTAGGAAATGATAAACAGAGTGCAGCATCAATCATTCTGAAATGCTTGGCTTACATGTTGCTGCAGGTCGTCGACACTGTCGAAGAAAGGCACCTTATGAAGTCTGTCAATATGTGTTCCTGCTGCAGTGAGTTAACCCGCACGTCATCGTCGTCAACCGGAGGACTGGTAGGACGCGATGGCGGAGGTGCGCTTTGCGACGGTGCTTTACGAGGTGGCATAATTAGGACTAAATCAACTCGAGAACAGTGGGGATGAGAGGGGAAGATGCAGGGGAATGTCCACAAATGAGAAGGCGCGTCGCGGCGTTATGTTTTGACTCGTCACGTGCTCGTGTCACATAACGTCATTCAGTTGCTATTCAGTCCCACTTAGGACCGGTCGTTGTGAAGATACCAGCCATAATGCATAAGTCCGTCCGCACCGGCACCACGACCATGGTCAAGCAGCTAGAGAAGATGTGGTACAAGCTGAAATGAGACAAAAGTAATGCCAGGACCGTGGATTGAACACGGGACCTCCAGAATTCTGATCAACTTCAGTCTGTTGCTCTCCCAGCTGAGCTATCCCGGCTCCAACTTCGACATGTGCTGGATAGTCATAAGCACCCTTTAGTATATACATACTCTCTTCGAGTCCTTGTTGGCCCAAGTACCCTACACATTATCATGATATAGGCGGCAGCACTATTGGTCTCTAATGAGTCTCCACAGTACCTGCAAGTTCTGCGGTAGGAGAGCCGAACAGCGTCTGCTCCTCGAGCTCGTAGTCTTCGACAGTCCCCATGACCTCCTCTCCGTCACTCGGGATACCGGGTGTCGTGCTGCTCTTCCTCTTCCTTTTTACTGTATTATTCGTACCAGTTTCCGACTGGTTGTTCGTTTCAGTCTCAGCCAGAGTCAATGGCGTAGGAGCTCGTATCTCTGGCGTGGGCCCAGAGAAATCTTTCCCTGTCAGGCGAGACAGCGTCTGCATATCTACAAACCCGTCAGAATGACGAAGCGACGGAACGAGTCAGACCATACCGTAAGGAACGCGATGCGTCAAACAATAATTAATCCTGGCCGGGTTCTTCTTATCCTCAGCCTTGAACTTGTTCTTACAAGCTTTGCGGTCCCGACCTGGCAGAAGCATAGAAATCATTTCGTAGTTCTCGCCAAATTGAGACAGGGCCTACGACACGACATCAGTGAGTCTGTCACACATATCCAAACGATCTCCTTACGTCGTAGAATAATTCGGTCTCCTCAGCACTCCATCGCGAACCCTTCACCTTCTTGCTGTACGAGGCGGAGTTGACAAATTTCGTGGCATCGGACTCCTCAACATGCGTATAATTGGCAGTGTCGTCATCTTCATTGCGGTCAACGAACAGCGACTCTTCATCCACAATTGTTTCGCCGTTGGGGCCTATTCTGACCTGTACGTTGTAACGACTAGTCGCAAGATTCTGGGAGTAATCAAATCCTGCTGTCGTCGGCTCGTCCAAACCATTATCGATTTCGTCGTTGCTGGGAGGCTCCTGGCTTGTTACTACTTCGGATGGAGGATGCGCGGGTGCAGCGGGAGTCGGTGCAAGAGCACGACTGGCCTCCGGACCAGCAGGTTTGGCATTCTGACCAACTTGCTCCTCATCTTCACCCCGACGCCCATACTTTTTGGCTTCCTGAATGGCTCTCATCCGGGCTCGCTTCTCACGATTCGACGCTTTCCAGGTAGCATAGTTGCGCTGTATCTCAGCGGCCTTGGTACTCACACGCCCTTGCCCGGTATCTTCGCAGAGTGTAGCCATAGTCATAATGGTTGGGTCGATGTCCTCGCCTGGGGGAGCATCAGGATCGAACGGCGGGAGCGATGGAGCGCGTTTGCGTCCTCGACCAGCGCTCCTGCTCCTTTCGAAAGGAGACTGTGATCCGGGGTGTTCGTCAGCCGTATCTTCTGTTGCTTTCCTCTTTCTACGTTGCCGCTTAGTCGGAGGTTCAGTGGTGCTTACCGAGCCAGGATCGACGGAATTCTGCGCTGCACGTTTACGTCTAGTTCTTTTAGTCGATCCAGCATCCCCGGGTCCTTCCAAAGAGGCATTCTCCTGTGAAACGGTTCGCGAATCGCCCAGGTCTTGTTTCTTATTGCGCTCCTTGCGAGGACGAGGTACCTTAATCGTCTTGACTTCATTGATAGCCATTTGAGGAGCATCGCCTGATATTTGCCCTTGACTTGATTCATTGGTATACGCTACAGAGGTATTACCTGTATCTCGAGGTGGAAGCGTTGAGATGTATTCAACCACATCTTCGGGAGGGACCACACCACGTGTGCTAGACGTTAGGCTATCTGCTTGCGCCTCCAAGGAACCAAGACCCACAATCCCACCATAGGTGCCAGCATGTGGAGCGATAGGGACTGACGTGGTACGTACGCTGGAGACAATAATAGGAATCGCGCGAGATTGTCCAGCTGCTAGATGTATGGGCGGGGGTCTTTGCGGCTGAAGCGAAGTAATGCTATTTGGAGGTTGACTGGGGGAGGAAATAGATGGTGAATGGTCGTCCAATGAAGTCGACCTCACAGGCGGGGGTATAGCGGGAAAGACATGGATAGATCCTGTGTTATCATCCCCTTCTCCGCTCACCGAAGCCGGGTTTGCAGACATCGTTAGAGTGTCACTCGACTTGATGATTGAAGTTGACATCCGGGAGGCACTTGGGTCGGAAGGAGTGGGGTGCGAGAGCGTCTTGACCGAACTCGACCTCGATTCCTCTGAGGGGTGTACACTTGACCTATCAACATCGAGCGCGCTAGAGGAGGGAGTTGAATCTGAATTGCTTTCATTAGGCGTACGAGATTTGGGCCTCGTGACAGGCTTGAAAACAGTCCCGCCTTTCTCTACAAAGCGTCGAGAATGAGTGAAATGAGAAGCTTGCCGACGCACCACTTACGGACTCTTGAGAACATTGCGGATGGACTGGGTACTCGAGCGCACGCAAACAGGCTTGCTCAATGATTCAAGCCGCAGGTTGCTCGCATGTAAGTACAAGGCTCCGGAAGGGTACTGGTGAAGCGTCTGAACGCGCTACGTGCACTTGGACTCAACTAGTACAGAAGAACTTCAAGAAACTGAAGAACAGTGTTGAATGAATTTTAGATTTACGTAACGGTCTGTAGTCCGTTATCTCAGTGCCACACCTTACAGTTGCGAGCTTTTCGGCAACTTTACGGTACCACAGAACAAAGCCATAGAGAATGCCTGTCACCCACTTGAACTTGCCTGTCGGGCCAGTAGCCAAGTGGGAGGTCAACACCAATGCAACACGGCTGTCAGAATTGAAAACCGTTGCTGAGAGGTGAGCATTTGGGTTGTGAGGTCTGCGAGGCCGTGAAGGCCATGGTATCTCTCATGTTGACCCGATGACCCAGTTGCTTGGTTCTACAATCGCTCAGGCAGTGTACGTGGTCTATAAGTGTATGAGTCCGTCCGCTGAAACTACTTTCAGCTCGAGACCGATGGCTTTCGTCCACATTTCCTAAGTTTTCCACCAAACCTCGCGGGTCGAGAGCCCCCGGGGTGGTACCTCCTCCTCATTCGATCACATTCCAGGGGAGGTGTGATTTAGAGATTGGCCCCCATATTTTCCGAGATACGGCATTCTTCGAGGTGCGATATCTTTCGCAATTCACACCTCAGCAGTATGTCCCCGCCTCGAACCCCAGTCAGGGCACTCCTGGCGCATCATCCTCTGCACAACGAGCTTCAACGCCTTTGATATCCTCGCTGACCTCAGAGGTCACCGTAACACCGGCTTTGGTGTCGCAAGTAAATAGAGCAGCCGCCACCAATCCTACCTTGGCTCATCTAGTATACTTGGCCGCCACCGGCCAGGCTACGCAGGAACAGGTGAAGACTCTGGGTCTTCTCATTCAATCTATGGCCACAACCCGAAACAATGCAGATAGCGCGGCTTCAACCTCGTCTCATCAGGGAGCTGATGCTATGCTTCTGTTACCCGGACCTCAGGGACTACATCCGACCTCTTCTCAGGATTTCGACCTTGTAATGGAGTTCAAGGAATTACCTAACGAAAGACTACTGTTCCCGCGTGTTCCAGTGGTGTGTACGTCACTTGCAGCGTCCTCTGATGCGCCTTTGGGTACACGCAATATTGGGATTACAACCTGTCTTCCATTTCCGACGGCGGGAAATCAAGGCCCTCCTCAGCTTGTCAATTTGTGTCTTAGGAGGGCGAGCTCTGTAATATCAGATCTCCTCTCACGCTGGGCTGGAGACGAAGAAAAGATGGCTAATAATCAGAGAATCTTAGATCAGACTGTATGTCGTTGATTACATCACTTAACGGACGCTCTCACAGCCCTCCAGCGCGTTTATGAAAGAGTCTATCTCGCGCACAGGCTTCCCGAAGGTGATTTATTGAAGGAAATAAGAGCGGTGCGTCGTGCAATCATTATCAAGCCACAGCTCATAGTCACCTTCGTCCAGGCCGCCATACCCTCGGCTCCTATGAAGCCTATAAAACCTTCCTCCGCGGATGATACCAGGCAAAAGCGTAGAACGGCACCGATGAAGCCTCGGCGTAGAACAGGGGGTCCGCATGATATGCTCCGTGGCGGCATTCACAAAAAACAGGCACCGGATCCGGACTCATCCTCGTTTCCTATCAAGCCTCGAATAGCTTGCTTTTCTTGCCATCAGACAGATGTGCCGTTGCTGATGGGGGGTCGTACGTATGATACAATGTCATGCAACCCGGCGTTTCTGACGGTATTGTTAGGATTTTGTCGCCAGTGCATAGATGCCGGTCGAGCGTCCAGTGAGGTCTCCGGCATACAAGACGACCTGAAGTTAACCCATTCTGGTGAGGGGAACACTAGTCAGAACGCTCAGGCACCTGGACCGCGCAAGCCGAAGCCAGGCAGGCGTACATCCACGGCATTCTCGTTTACTTCATCACCACTGGCGGTGAACCCTCCAACAGTTCCCGACCACAGCGTCCCCGAACAGTAGTCGTTCCAACCTGCAATAATCCAGATATATATAGGAACCATGTACATGCGCGGAAACCATGACATTACGATAATTTATGCTATGTAATAGGAGTAAGTATGATATAACGGTCTATTGGTTTCAATTGAAGACGTTCAAAGCCCACCCGACCCACCACATCACGACCGCAACTTGTGCGCCAACGATGGCACACTCAATTAACACGGCAATCCACTGGATCAGAAAGCCCGTCCAGTAGATAGGGAGAACCATCCACCACAGACCAGTATGGTTGATCCCGGGCAGTCTATACAGTGATGAGACGTAGACCGCGGCGCGGATTTGCAGGATGGTTATGGTAAGGGTCGAAAGGGAGAAGAGCAGAAGACCCAGCCAATGTCGAAAGGATCGCCTCGGCAGACGCTTGATGGGATAGCGCTTCGCTTCTCCTGTGAATTCGTTGCGGTACCAAGGGATAATAAGGAAATCCTGCACATCTTCACCTATGACTTTGCCATAGTTCCGCCAAAAAGGAGTAACAGTATCTAACAGGAATGTCAAGGCATCCATGCCAAATTCCCATAGTTGCTGATAGTTGTCCTTATAACTTTCTTCCAGACGGACGATGAGCGAGAGCTGTGGATACGTGTCATTATCTGACTGCTCGTGAATGCCACCGAACATACCTCGTCATACACGGCTGAGGTGTGGGCTAGCGTCTGATTGTATTCGCGCTTCACTTGGACGTGAATGGGCTTCACCTTGGTCAACATTCGGGCAACATCACCGGCCTTCCGCTCGATTGCTTGACGATGGCCCTCCAATTTCTCTAAAACATCAACGAGTCCGCTAATCGGATCTTCGAAGATACTCTTCGTTTGACTTCGTTTATTGTCCTGCTTTTCCTGGATAATGAACGAACGTAGGATATCGTTCTGGCGCTGCAGACGGTTGTGAACATCCTCGACCGCTCTCCAGCCTTTAGATCGCCGCGTTGAGCCTGTGACGGCTGCGGGATCATGGCTGAATGCATCCACTAGCTCTTGAGGCAGGCTCCCGTATTCGGTGTCTGAAAGCCGGGAGAGGTGAGATCGGATATATTCATAGTCTTTCACCCCAGTCGCAACTCGCTGCAGTAGGTGACGGATACGATTATTTTGCGCCATAGCATCCTCGACCATCCTGCGTATATATCAAGACCAATTAGGTACGCTACGTATGAGAAGCACTCACTGAGCTTTCCGCTCGTATTCTTGACGATCCAGCTCCTCATTGACCTCATCCTGTTCTTCATCTCGCTTGAAATTCTGCTCATGTACAGTTAGCGATGGCATGTTCCTTCGGGGTGGCACTACAATCCTCGGTAAGGATGACCGTTCTGTTAAGGATCGAGATGGTTGATATCGTGGGCGCGGTGGCGGCTCGCTTTCAGCCCGGAATTCGGCGGCGATTCCCTTGGCAGTCAGAGCACCTTCTTCGTCGTGGAAAACATCTTCTCCAACTTCGGATGAAGCCCGTGAAATGGCTATCACCCCTTTGTCCGTACCCGAATCACGACCGGAGTGCAAGCTCAAAACTGCTGGCCGACGAGGCTCCCGCGACGGTTCCCCTTCAGAGTGAGGATGGGTATCGGATAAGGAGGCTCGGGCGGAGGACTCTCCATCACTGCCGAAATGATGACGGGTCTTGCGTCTCCCAAAATCTCGTAGGTAACCGCGACTGCTCGCAGGAGATAGTTGACCTTTCGCATGTGACTGCTTTACGGATGCGGCCAGAATGCTGCTGAACGAACTGCGAGGCGTGTCCATGAGACTAGGCAGCGAGTGTCTCCAATGCCTTGGATATCCGTCCGGACGGTGCTGACGACTATCCACTGAGGTATATTCTCGTCCAGGGTCGACGACAGGTTCAAAGGAGACATATCCGTCGAAAGAGGGCTTCCTCGTGAATGAAGGCTGAAGCGGCACCGCGGAGCTGGGCGAGGAAATATCCAGGGACTTGGCATCCCGAGAAGATTGCGAGATATCGACTACAGGGGATCCTGTCACACTTGTTCCGATCGACATTATATCGTCAGGGTGTGTTTGGGATTTGAGATATTCTTCCACTATCAACGCTGTAACATGCCATGGCAATCTAGAGGAAGCTCTTTCACCACGTTTATCAAGCAAGTGCTTCAACCACGTGAGGGGTTCTGCTTGATCCAGTGTCGACCGCACGATAGGTTCCTGGCTGCTGTACCAGCCCACCACCTTGGCCAGATTAAGCGGACCCGCCTTGGAGGTTAAGGAAGCATAGAGAATATTGTAGCGCCGCTGCAGTTGTTCGCTTGTTATAGCTGCTTTCCGGATAGTATTAGGCCGAGCCTTCTCTCTAATCCTTTTCAGCTTCTCTGTCAAAGGGTAAGCATACATGCGCAAGGCTATGAACAGACCGGCTCACGGGTGTAAAGGAAGTCCTGTTTCTCTACAACACCCTTGCCAAGAGACGGAGTTCTCTCTTTCGCCTTGCCCTTGGACAAGGAAAGCGTCCAACGTCTATGCTCTGGTTTGTATCCAGGAGGTCCAGCTCGGCTCCAGTCAAGAGTGGCACCATCGTTGGAAGAAGTGGGCACAGGATGAAGGTGTGTGACGCCCACAGATGGACTGAAGTCTATGTCGGACTCATTACTCAGCCCTGGGACGTGAGATGTCGGGGGCGTAGAGGTCGGGAATGACACCTCTATGGGTGAGATAGATGACCCTGCGGACACAGACGATATTGTGGTCCTGTCAGACTTCGATGGAACCTCATTCCGGGAGACATTAGCTTGCAAAGCGCGAAGACGCGCTTCACGCCTGGCTTTCAGCTTAAGTGCCCGTTGAACGTCCTCCAAAATGCCGGGATCTGTGCGCGTGTTCGTGAACCAAGCTGAGACACAAGACGTGTAGAGTTACTCGCCCTCCTGAGCTGCACAGAAGTCAATACCGGGTTAGAATAGTTGGACTGACTGACTGACCTAATGCGTATTCATCAGAAAGAGTCCCAAGGTCACTTGAAGCCCCCTCGGATCGGACGCCGCTCGCCGCTTTGCTGGCAGCTCCTTGGTGAGCCTGCGTCAACGTCCGTCTACGAGCGTTTGCAGAGGATCCTTCGGCTGCTCTTGCAGACTGTGTTGGCTCTGAGAATATAGCGGCAGCATCCACTGAACGTACACGGCGGCGTCTGTCGTGAATCGTCGCGCTCTGTTCTGCTGCAGGCCTCCGTAAGATAGGAGGAGGTCCTAGACCAATTGACGCGAATCGAGCATTCTCCACCGCGCTAGAGCGAGCGGGCCCTCCGTCTTCCGCTGGGAACTGTATGCGCACTGATGACGAGGTCGAACGGTCCCAAGACTTGCTAGGACCTGCTTCGTCCATTCGAGACAGCTACTTTTGCATGAGTCAAGAAGACGACCGCCTCGAAGTACCGGACAAGAGAACGGGGAGGTTCGAGCTCTAGTTTCAAGTCTCGTCAGGGCCGTCACCGCACGCGTGGATGCTGTTGTGGGGAAGCGACATGCTTGATTTAGCGTGGGAAAATCTACATCCGGCAGTTTGTGCAAAGCCACTCTGAGAGTCTCCAGTTTCGCCGCCTCTGCTCTTCATACCATTCGAACTCCTTAGCCGTCTTTTCCTCTTTAGCCAACAAAATGTCTGACGACGGCTACGACGGGGGTGTTGCTGACGACTACGACTATGGCGGAGCCAGGTAAGCCTTCTCGTTCTCGCATGCGGTCGGGCTGATTCAACCCGGCCTAGTTTCGCAGAGGACGCCTTCGTGCGTAGTTGAAGCCATTCAGTCCATTCAGTCTGAAATGACTCCGTATCCAGGACGAGAACTATGATCTGCTCGGCGGCGAGATGCAAGAGCAGGAGGCGGACCCGAACGCGCAGGACCATGACCCACAGTCTCAGGCGAACGGGGAAATCACACATAACGGGATCGGTGGGATGAATGGGCACGCGCAGGAGGAGGATACAGGGGATGCTGGCGCGGCAGGGCAGGCTTCGCAGTCGCAGGCGGACCCCGCAGCAGAGAGGCAGCCGAATAAAGTGAGGGTCACGACGCCGTATCTGACGAAGTACGAGAGGGCGCGGATATTAGGGACAAGAGCGCTGCAGATCAGGTATGCGTCCGCTTCGATGTTGCGTTTGCTACTGGTCACTCATACATTGCACGTATAGCATGAATGCGCCTGTCTTGGTCCCTCTAGACGGTGAAACGGATGCGCTGCAAATCGCTATCAAAGAACTGGCCGCCCGCAAAATTCCTCTTGTCATCCGACGATACCTCCCCGATGGCAGTTTCGAGGACTGGAGTGTTTCAGAACTCATCAGCGACTACGATTAATTGGGTATCAGGATAGTCTTGTTGTGGTTTGTACGCCATACGAGTGGCATTCTTGTTTATTTTATTCCTTCCCTTTGAATGACATGGATGGTTCTCGTCCTTGACACTCGTGTTACTGACAGGCAACACTTGAAGACAGATTACAGACGATAAGTTAATGAAGCTGCCCACGGCGCATCTTACAATATAATACAATACATTGACCGCGAAGCCCATTACAGAGCAACTAGATCAACGAACATTTCCTTCCGCCGGCTGGGAGCCCTCTTGGAAGTAGCGCGGGTAGCCTCTTCCTTTGCCTCCTTCACTCTGGGCCGTCCTCTGGTCTTCTTCACGGGGATAACCTCTCCCATGTCAAAGGCATCGTCATCAACTCTGGTATCCTCCTTGTTTGTGGTATCACCGAACAACAGGCCTCTCTCCTCAAAGTCCGTGTTGTTCGTAGTAACAACTCGCTTTTTCGAGGGGCTGGATTCCTCGTCGGAGTAATGACAGGCCCCTCCTTGGCGCTTGCTGGGTGACGAAGGCGGGGAAGGAAGAGACTTTGCGGCTGCCTTTGCATGTTTGGGCACTGCGGGATTGGCTGGCGGGATATTTTCCCTGCCAGGTTTCTGCTTCTTCCCTTTGCCAGCAGCGACCTCTTTGACAACCCGGAAGCTGCTGTCGGCATCGCCCACCAGCGTCTTCTGGATCTCCCAGTCCGCAGGCCGCATCTTCTTCCACTCGTCCAGGGTCTTCTCGGACCAGGTGTCCGTGTCCGCCTGCACCCAGTAGTCGATGATCCCCTCCCACTCGCTCCCAGGCGCGGTCTTGTTGACGAACACGACCTTCCCGGCCCAGCTGTCCTTCTTGGCCTTGCCGGCCTTCTTCGCGGGCTTCTCAGGGGAAGGGGACGGAGAGGGCGTCCAGGGGGTTTCGCAGTGCGAGTGGACGACGCGGGCAAAGTCCTTCACGAGCTTCTTGAAACCGTGCACCTTGAGGGAGGTGCCCATAATGATAAGTAAGTCCGGCTTGCGGTTGATGTCTGAGGTCTGGATGGCGCCGATGTCCTCGCCGAGCGGGTGTGGTTCGTCGTATAACACAATGGCTGGTCGGAGGGTGCCTACTTTGAGGGGGCGCGCGGAACGGGCAAGGCGGGCTTCGGCTATGGTCATGACGTGTTAGGATTTTCTAAGTGATGTCAATGTGGCATGCTCACATCTCGCAGAACACTCCGGACAATCCGGTGCTTCCCCTTCCTCGAATTTCTGCAGGTGCTCCTCCCCGCATACCAGATCGGCCGAGCATAACATGCACCTCACGCGGTGTATATCCCCGTGTAGTTGCACATTCCTGACTTCCCTCATCTTAATCTTGCCCTTGCCCTTGCCACTGGACCTGACCTCCTCGCTGGAGCTCCCGGCAAGCCCGCAGCGCTCCTCGAGGCCGTCGATGTTCTGGGTATATGATCTAAGTAGCTTGCCCTTGGTATCTAGTGTCTTGATGAAGCGGTGTGTCGGGGACGGCTTGGCGGAGTCGATGGAGCGTTTGAGGTTAGAGATGAATGTGTAAAAGAGGGATGTGGATGTGGGGTCCCGGAAGAGAGAGGAGTCAAAGAGGTCGCGGCCTTTGACAAAGGTGTCGGGGTATTTCTGCTTGACGAGGTTGTAGAGACCGTCGGACGAACGGAAATCCTGGGGTGCAGAACAATGTGTACATTAGTGGGTAGCTGAAGTGAACAAACAAACGTCCACGTACGGGTATGCCGCAGGAGCAGGAGATCCCCGCGCCTGTCACGACCACTATTTTCTTGCTCTTGGCGACGGCGAGGGATACGGCGTTGAACGCCCTCCTGCCAGATGGGTCGGTGGCAAGCGAATCCAAGTTGATACTTACAGGCATCGCGAGAGTGGGGGCGGAATGTACTGGTATAGATGGGATATTAGATGGGATTCAAGCACGCGTCCGCCTCGTTGAGTGGTCGAGGGAGGTGGTGGTCATTCACGGCGGCTGCAGTCGAGTGCTTTCAAGCCGAACTAAACGGGTTGTTGGTCCGTATTTGGCTCACGCGTCGCGTCGCTCTCGTCATGTGACCGAGATTGATAGGCCGCCATGATTGGCTGACGCGCTTGGCGGCGTTCTTGTGCCACTTCCGCTTTCCTTCCTCCATCTTCACAACCTCTTCAGACTGTTGGCCAAGAATATATCGTCACAGTTCTATGATTATTCCTCCCGTGATACTGGTCTGCGTCTGCCCATCGTTAGTAAGGGGCCCTACTATACCTTGGCCCAATCTCACGGGTGATCCCCTATCTGTCTTACGAAGTTGCTGGACATCGAGGCATTCCTCTCGATGCCGGAGCGTTCTCTGTGAAATTTGCAAGAGAATAAGCTATACAGCAATGTTGACTCTCAAGGCGACGTGCAATTGCTACATGCATCTGCGGGCTTCATGGGACCGCGCCGAGAAAGACGTCTCATGGAGCGCAATACGCACGGTCGGACTTGCGATGGTTATTCCGAGATCAGTGCGAGTCGGAATATGCACCTCATCGAAGTCGAAATATATCAAGGCGTCGACGGTACGGCTCGCCAGTACGAACTTCCGAAGGTGATTGGAGAGGGTGATGCCTTTGATGGAAGCTGTCGCACCATATAAGGCAATGCAATATTAGTTGCAACATTGACAGCATGATAGGTGGCTTTCGAAGGAGCGCTGCGAAGGCGAAAAGAGGTGCGCGAAGCCCGGGCTGCGTGGTCGCTGCCCGAGCTGGACGTATGCTCGACGGGGGTCGCTCGGTGAAGGGGCGCCATTGCACACCGGAGGGGCCGAACAGGGCGGGGGACGCGGGGGATCGTCGCTGATCTGGCCTGTTATGGCCGGTCGGGCGCCATCCACGCCGGCAGCATCGGTGATGCCACAAAGGACGTTCTGTGAAGTGGCACTAGGTCGACTCTTGTCACCGCAAATTGCTTTCTTAGCTCCCCACAGATCCGAGCAGAAGGCCTCTTCTGGTTTCTCGCGTGGCGCATATATAATGTCCTGACGCCCCCTGCAGACCGCATTTCTCCTCTCCTCTCGCCATCGTCGTCCCTCGCTCAGCGCTCCCAAGCACGCCGCGGTCGCGACATTCCTACGGGCAACAGCGTATCCTCACACTAGTAAATCTCTGCGAACGTCTTGCTTCTTACCCTATGCCGCACAAACAAGCAACTAGACCCCGTGCTTGGGGCACCCGCTTTGATTCACTCGAGTCATCCCCCCCTTCCTCTCCATCTAGCCAAGACGTTGCCGCCCTCGATGCTGATCCTAAAGGCCAGCCGGCTGATTCACCTAGGACAAAGGAAGATCGTATGCCCCATGACGCAAGCGTTTTCGTTGGAAGGTTCGTTGTCTCTCCATACTGGATAGGAACCGCCGTCGACTAACAAATTGACACAGCCTTCCGACAAACATCGAGCACCAGGAACTTACACGCCTTCTTTCAGAACACCTGTCTCAATACGCCGAAGTCAAAAATATAAAGGTTGTCCGCGATGCCAAGGGTGGCGTCTGTGCGTTCGTCCAGTGCGAGGTGTGCCCTTCAAAAAAACTAGCGCATATACTCTATTTTCTCCCTACTGACACCTGAGACGCACCTTTTAGGACGCCCCCTCTGCGGCCCGCTTGATTCAAACGTTGCAGACTACCCCTCCCGAGCCTTTCTTGGGGAGGTTCCTGCGCTTCGAACCTGCGCGGGCTTTCAGGGCACTCCTGATATCTTTCCGGTACGTGCCACCACTTCCCTCGCATATCCGCTCCCGCCGGTCGTCTTTCATGTGCTTACTTGTTGTCTATCCTGTGTTGTTTGATCACACTGTTATACAGTGCGCCCATTCAGCCTGTACCTTCTGGGAACGACGAGTTCTCGTCTATATGTGATTATGAGGAATCCCGAAAGATAGAACTCGATCTACCGACCTCCATAAGACTTTGGAGGTCTCACGGCGCGAAGTGAGGCTGTTAGATCTACGCGATACGTTCTTTTCCTTTACGTTCTCTGCCAGATACGTCTCGGTGTTGTATAACGACGAAGCCCGCCAGTTTGACATGCAAAAAACTGGAAATAGCTTGGTGGAATCTGAGGGCAACCCAGGCGATGTTTTCTCCGGCACCGGTGTCTTCCTTTCCTCCCTCAAGTTTGACCAGGACGTGAGTCTTCGATGTCTCATTGGTCACTCATTTGATCCTGAATACATTATTCGTTTATTCAGACTATCCTGAAGATAATTCCTGCCTTTGGCAAGGTCGAACAATTCTGTCCGTATAATCCCCCGGATGGTAAATATATCTCCCATCTCTCCATGGAATGACTGAACGCTTGTCATGCAGACCGGTTTGACTCGAGTTCACACAGTTATCCTCATCCGCATGATGCACCTCGCGCCTCGACCATGGATAAGAGATGTTGGCAAGTGAAGTGGGGACATAGGGACGATTGTGTCAATGCGTTGATGGTGGGTTAACAATCCCTATGACTGAACCTCGAGTCTCAACATCCTCAGACTCTTCGGCGTATCCCATTCCTGACGGTCACCTGGGCTCATCAACCCAGCTCGTTCTCCCAGGAAAATCACTATCTTACGGGTTCACCCACCGCGCATCACAGTCCTCGCCTCCCGAATTCCAGCGTGTTTCTAGCGGGGGCCGCATACCCGTTACATGTTCAATTGAATCAGTCTCCGTCTCGCTTGCCCATTTCAGATCGCCACGACACTCATCGTTTTCATGGAGCCGAGTATCAAAGACGAGGCGACTCCGTGGGCTATGCATCGGTGGGCTCGAGAAGGATGAGAACCTTGACCGAGTCTTCCAGTGGGACCGTTCTCTCGTCGCCTCTATCCAAGTACCCAGCATTCTCTGACTCGGGAATGCTAAACACGCCTTCCAACATGGAATACTCTCGCGGAGATGACGTAAAAAGAATTGACTGGAGTGAGACCGATTTCCCTCCTCTCCGGGAACGAAAGAGTTCAGTCACCCGCGGCATCTCGCACGCTCAGAACAACGGCGAATCGTTAGGGTACGTCTGTCAACGATCTCACATTCACTCAGGGATATCGCTCATTACATCTCTGGTGGTAGAGTCTTCGATGTTTCTTCAGGTTTGTTACGTCCAACACTCCGTGTTTCCATGCATAATATGAATGACACACCAGAAACACCCTCTCGGCCGAACATTTCGCTGAACTCAGAATCATCCGTACCTTCTACTCCTGACTTTGTCGGCTCGCCCATCACTCCTAAAACTCCCGGAATTAGCGCCTTGCATACTCCTGACAGTCAAGGCAGCGAACTGGACGTAGAAGACGCGCAAGTAGGAGTACGAAACCGGGAGGTCGACCCCACGACAATATTCGTTGGCGGGCTAGAGATGTTCGGGCCCCATGCGTGGGACGAACATAGGGTGAGGAGCTTGTTTGAGAGGTTCGGTGGCATAGAAGACGTTCGGGTGGTTAAACCTAGTGAGTGGACGGAGTGGCCTTAAACTTATGTACGTCAGACTAAACGAGCCTTGCAGTGAATAAGAAGTCTGCTTTCGCTTTTGTACGCTTCAATAATACGGAGGCGCCTGCACGGGCCGTGGCTGAAGAGGTACTGGTGCTGCTCCTACTTCCTCTTCGTTCTGTATCTCATGTAATAAACAGCATAACCAGACATACGACGGGAGACAGATCAGAGTGCAGCTGCGTGACAATAATTCGCACCGTAGCACGGGCCCATACAGGTATGGGTATCGCGGGCGCGGCAGAGGCTATCAATACGGTACTCAGTACGGTGCCCGTCCAAGCTTCGGAAACCAGGATCTGCTGGGACTCGATCTGGGCAGGGATAAATTCGACAAGTTTCGTAGAGACGGTATACCTGACAAACCCGTGAATGGGCTAGCGTCCGAATTGCGGGATTCTTCGGATATCGCAGACTTCGATCAACCCAATACGGGCACGTCTGTTCTATCTGCCGAGTTGCGATTCCCTTCAATTCAGAGTAGCAGCGCAGATGCAACTCCCGTGGACGCGTCGTCAGAAGACTCACCCCTCCGAGGAGCGAGGCCTTCGGTCTCTCCACCTCTATCGTCCGTCGGCTCCTCAGTCTCTGCTGCCGCTCCTGTTACTCCTTATCCTGTCGCACCAGTGCCTTACTATACGAATCCGTGGATGCATGGATTTGGTCAGCCATGGTCATACCCCATGCCATACATGGCGGGGTACGCTGGGCCGCATGTACCCGGTCATCACACCCCTCACTCCTATCCTGGTACGCCTGGGTCCTCAGACGCTAGTGGACCTACCTCACAGGCACCGTGGATGGGCATGTACAGGGTATGTCACCCATGTCGTCGTGCCGTCTGAGCACAATGCTGAACTCGTACATGGCAGCCATTTATACCCTATGCGCCCTATCCTGCGCAGCATGACTTGGCTCAATTCTCGCTCCCCGGAGGCCAACCTCCTCTACGCCCCACCGGCTTTGTGCAGAACGAACATGGCATGCTAGTCCCTGTCTACCAGCCCGAGGCTTTGGGGCAGTATATGTCGAACGGCCCAAACCCATCCCTGCCTCCCTCGAACTCAAAGGACGGCACGTCGTTTCCGACTTGGCCTCACGCCCAACCTCCTTCCATGTGTCCCCCGCCTGGTCTGACGCTCCCCGCATCGAACGCCCCTTCGCAGACACCGAACTGTGTTCCTGTTCACCCCGGAGCCACGGTCCCTTGGGGAACGCAACCTCCAACAGCTTGGCCGTCTACTCATCAACAGCATCCCTTCGGTCCCCATGTTCAGACGCCGACGACCATGGCACATGCAAGTATGCCTCCGATGCGGGCGCACCAGACAACTATGTACCACGCAAGCCATCATGCTTCACAGCAAGGTTCATACGCCCAGGACAATCATCAAAAGCGCCCCCCTCGGAGGGGGAACCACTGTGGCAACGGACGGACCCGTAGCCGTCGTTCATCTCCGGACCGCTTCAGTGGAGGTGGTACCGCTGCTCACAGCACTTTCGAGCATCCACGCGGCCTTCCTCCCCACATGGCTCAGCTTAACTCTGACATGCCTCCTTTCTCCGCGAACGGCAGTGGTTCATATACGAACGGGAATCAGTGGGCGAACGCTGCCCGTTGATTGCAGTATGGTATTAATCGCTTTCTTATCTCTGGTGTTTTTATCCATCTTTCCGCGAGTCTACCGCGCCCTCTTTTCATCTTCGTCCGTATTTCTGCACTTTCTCCTCTGCGCTGCAATGTAAATTAGTATACCCACAGATAAGTAAATTTTAGTATAGCAGATATGTTCTAGTCAGAGTCATGTCTTCACCGTTCCAAGTTCATGCGCATGAAGAGCATTAGGATCGGCATTGGCCTCATTGGCCTCACGTATGAAATTGGTAAGCTGAAGACAACCCATATTTTGCATTAAATATGGGATCACTCTCTAGATCTATGTCTACCGACAGCTTGTAGCCAATGACCCAAATCCTCCCAGAAGATCCTTTGCCGAAAAGATCCAAGCCAGACAGGTATCAGAGAAAGGTGATTTGAATCGTGTACCTCATGAACATGCCAGACTCCCGGTTCCAGGTCAGGTACTGTTGAATGTTCCGGCATGTCAGACAAATAATGCCGACACTTTGTGTTACTGCAAAAATGGCGTGTACATCATGAGAGTCGTAGAGTGACGAGGGAGAATTGAACATACCTGCAAGCATGGGGGTGCCACTGGGAGAATAACGGTACGACGCCGTCGTTTGCCCAATACTCTTCCCCCATTTCCTGTTTATTGGCATGGGGCGCCGAACGCACACCTCCTTCGATGTCGAACTCTGACCCACTGTCGGAGCCAGAGGGTCCTGGCCCGGCCGGGAAGAGTATGTCGGCATTTATGGATGTGGCATCTTCTCCGTCTTCACTTCGGGACTGGGGGAAGAAGGAAGGGACGGGGCGGATGACGGAGTAATCAAAGGAACCGATGATCTTAGCGCCCAGGTAGAGCGGTGGATGTACGAGGTGAGGGAGGAGGGACGCAGGCGCATGCATACTGCTGTCAGGGTGCACCTTCTCCGTCTATGCAAGCCAAATGAGGATGGATACAAGATTGTTAAAGCGGCGGGACGTACCATACATGTGGCATAGCTCTGGTAGAACGTCGTTTCGCATGGCATCCCTTCCCCATTCCCGTCGACAAGGCGTTCTCGCGCGTCAACAGCTTCGAACGTTACATCATACGGTGCGCAATCCCGGCTCTCTGCCCAGTCGCTCTTCCATATCTGTTGGATGAGCTCTTTGACACCGATGTGCCGGCAGGTGAGCGAGCTCCGCCGTGAGTCTATGTGGAAGTCGAAGGGTGAGAGGAGATAGAACGAGGAGGGGGCGGGGAGGATGGGGGATAGGTAGGAGAATATGTGGATAGTCTTGGCGAGGAGGGAGCCGAAGGAGAACGGACGGACGCAGGGGGCGTTGCGCGTGGATGAGCCAAGGGTGTAGGTGATGGGGCTACCACGGAAGGCAGCGGACACTGGCAGAAAGTTCTGAGGTTCGAGACAGTCTCTTAGCTGACGATCGCCCTACCTGCAGTAACAGACAGTACCATGTCGGGACTGGAACCGTTGCCGAAATGCCCCTTCTTTAGTAGCCATTGCATCTTCGTAATAGTGGGTCCTCCCTGAAAGGAACAATTGAGCTAATGGGCCCTTCCCGTGAGACATATAAACTCACCATGGAGTGCCCGAGGAAATGTAAAGGTCGCTCTCTGGACCACTGAGGGTACAATCCCTTCTCGATCGTACGACCATAGCGGGCATGCTTGTGTCTCCGGGCGTGCTGTTCTCCGTAGTCAACTGAAGATTCGTCAATCATAGCATACTCGCCCGTTGAAGGAAGCGGTCCTCACCTGTCCCGCCCACTATAGCGTAGTATAACTCGCATGCGCGGTCATGCAACGAGCTGACAGGTCCGACACTGGATAACTAGTAAAATCCATAGAGCTATAAGTTACTACTCCCCATCAATTCTTACCTGGCGAAGATGGCTCGTCTATGCCGCGGACCACTATCGACGTTGAGGTGCGTCTCAAAGGCACCCTTGAGGATGCTCCCGAAGCCTCCAAGGAAGCCTTCGACGATGACCAGCGGGGCGAGCTCGTTGAGCTCTACGGTATCCTCGCCAGCTGGGTGCGCCGCCGCCATAGGGAAGAGATTCTGTAAAGGGAGGCATTTCACAGCGGGTTAACGCGATCGCGACGCAGGGCTGGCAAGGAGATGGCGGTCGGAGACACGATCACGATCGGAGGGTATTAAGCCGGCGATCGGGACACGGATCTAAAGATAAGCCAGTAACAACCAAGCAGGCACCCATCGCTCGCTGCGTGTATTGCTCAACATACAAGTACGCGCCCACTATATTCATGCACAAGAGTGAGAAGAGATGTAATACACACTCGAATTATACATCAAATGTCCAGGTAGGTATGCAAGAGCCGTCGAGTGCGGGAGATGTGTGCATGGGGATGGGATGATAAAATGTGCGGGGTAAGAATGCAATTATGTAGGATGGTGCATATGGGCAGGAGATACTGGACAGCCCGCCTGAGCAAACGACTCAATGAGAGATAATGCCAACTCACAACAGTCGTCATAAGTCGTGAACCAAGAACGATGAGAGGTTGGCATATATCTGCATGAAGTTGATTAGCTTCGAGGTGTGCGTCGATCGGTAGTAGTAAGTGATTAGATCGTGGCACAATATTCTACGGGTCGTGACGGTGTTCTGATAGTGCACTGCGAGTCCTTCAGTCAAAGTGGATTACGAAAGCTTCCGAGACACGTACCAAACAACAGCATTATTATGTGGGTTTCTTCCCGGTGAACCACGACAAAGATACACTGCCTGCTCCAGCGATGAGCACTCGGGCGTTCAGTCGACAAACCTAGAATAAACGTCTCAGCAAGGATATATCGTATATGCACGCCGACGACTCACGTTATCAGCGACTTCAGCTTTCCGGAAGTGAACGTAGATGTCTCCGTTCGGCATACGAGTGATTTGACTTAATTCGCCGAACGACTGCATCCCATTGAGATGGGGTAAAGTGGGATTAGTGCTAAGACACGTACCTCACACCACTTCTTCACAGCTTCAAATCTATGTACTTCGCCTGCTTGGAGGCCACTTATCACTAGCTTCTTCCTCCTTCTCTTACTCTTCGGTGTAGCCAGTACGTCAGGTACCTTCGTTCCAAAGCGCATCGTCTGCGGCAGCGTGGTCGGAGCCATTAACGTTGCATAATTGATCGGATTCTTCGAAGCAAACGGCACCCGGATTGTGCTCGCTTTGTGGGCGAGACGTTTCGGCTGAGCTGTCTGAGGACGTTCATCCGGAGTACGAGAGCTGGCCGGCACAGAAAACTCGGATGGCGGGGGAGACGAGAATCTGGAAAAATACACGGGTAGAGTGCGAATGGATCCGCGCGAGATATCATGCGGCGTCACAGGTGCGTCAGTGCTCAGCGTGTGATTGCTGCGAGCAGGACCGGACGTGTACGATGAGTCAGAGCAGAAGCTCGGCCGTGGAGCTGCAATATCATCTTCGTCAATTGGATGAGAATCGAGAGAGGTCTGCGAGAAGTGGCCTAATACGCTAGGGCGCTTGACTTTCCAGCTGCTAGGAGACAAATCAAGGGACGAACGATAGCCGGGTAGACGTATCGATCCCCAGCTATGGCTACGTTTGTGCGCAGGACTGTGTCCAACGCTACCAGTGCTCGGTCCGCCAGATTTGGCTTGGGACAAGCCAGAGGAACTAGGGCTTCCAGATACTGATGTACAGCCGGTCGACGAAGATAACCGCCTCGAGGACAGTCCGAAATGCAAATTGCGCAGAGGGGACGGCGCCTGTAGGAGATTCGAGTACCTGCGTGACTTGGGTGGCGTCGAAATGTCAATGGCAGGAGTAGCAGGGAACGGAGTCTCGGTCCGGGACTGTTCCTAAAATGCACCCATTCAGTCGAAGTGCTGAGCGGTCACGTGAGCGACGCACCTCCTCCTCCTGGCCATCGCGTCCGAGTTCCGCATCCGCGTGTTTGACATCGTCGTCGTCGATAACGATGAAGCTCTCCAGAGTCTGTTTGTCGTCTTCCCGACTGCAGTGGCGCGTCGTAAGGTGAGGGTATGCAAGGTATGGGTGACATGCCGTCCCTATAGCGGGAACGTCGTCGTTCAGCGAGACGAATACGTCGCCATCTTCCGAGCTGGACGATGTGGACAAACGATGCTGATCTTGAATCCAGCGCTCGAGGTGGCTACTCCGACGCCGCACGACCCTACGGTGGCCCGGTATAGATCCTTGTTCTTCCTCTTCTTCGTCCGGTGGAGGTACATAGAATAATGGCGGAAGATCGTCTCGAGGCATGGTAGTATCTGAGGAGGGCGTGTCTGGCACACCTGAGGAAATCGTTAATTATATCATGCATGCTATGCAAACCATTTACAACCATGCCTGCATACCTTCCTCGAGGAGCCTCGCGTGTATAGCACTGATAGGGTTGGGCAAGGATGACAGCTTCAAGTCACAGCCTTTAAGCTGTACATGTTCTTGTTCGTAAGCAGAGTCGTTCATAGTCGTGTTCGTATTCGGGTCGTGCAGTCGAGTCTTGTGCGTGGTAGAATACAGTTCAGAATAGGCTGGCGTTAGGGTCGTGGATGCCGTTCAACAGAAGATGGGATAGACGTGCCCGTCGAGGAGGGTCGACATGGGCAGGATGGGAGACGGGATGAAAGAAGGGTAAACGAACTATAGTTGAGGCTGCAGGCAGGAATTCGAACTTGCATCACGTACTTGCATGAAACGTGCATACCATTTTAGGAAATTACATCCGCAATTTACACGGCTGTCACCGCCACGCCCCCCGCTTCTGCTGCTGCACGACCAAACTCGTTTTACCTATTTTCCCGAACCTCCTATGTTTTCCTAGAGATTCCGCCGCAAATGGCCACACTTGACACCACCCTAAGCTAGTATGTTTTCGGGTAGAACAGTAGCTTGGCTGGACTGGTCTCGCTGCGGTAGCCTGCAGATAGAGCCGATTCACCGAGATATCAAGCCACCGATGTCAGTCGTGCGCTGTACTCTGCTGTAATACTGTCCAATAACCGGAACACATCATCGGACTCGACGGCTTACGAGCCGGATCGAAGCTCCTGTCCTCGTCGTCGAAGGTAAGCAATGCGTCACCCATGACGACCAGACACCTTGGAGACTGCAAGGTACACAACGTTGGGGAGTGGTCTGGCGACAGGGTGTATACGCCTACAGACGCGTTTCCGCTGCGGGTCTCCGGTGACCGCTTGGGCAGGGTCTACGACGGGCGGGCTGTTCGGGGCGGATGAAAATTTGTCGTTGCATATATCCGGATGTCGAGATGGACAGTTTGCGTGTATTCCAGCCGATTTGGTGACCAACAGTAGGTAGTCAGCGCCGCACGCGAGGCACCCATGAGCTTCAATCCTTGCTGGAGGTAGACAGCTGTAATGTACAGGAAGAACTGTGATGTATCGATACAGGAGTCAGTCTACACGACAGGGTCAACTTTTAGTCCTGCCTACAAATACGCAAATACGAATACATTCACCGCAATCTTTGGATAGACCCTTCAGGACGATAGTGTCCCATCCCCGACATCGCCAGGGCCGCATAGTGCACCCACGATACGATCCACTATGGGTTTGAAGAGTTTGGAAGATGATGTACGCTGGTATTGCTCTATAAGTTGAAACGTCCGTTCCGTCCCATGAGGCAATTCATGGACAGCTTGCGTCGATTCCGCCGCATCTAACAACGTAACCAGCTCCGTATCGACTGGTAGGCTTCCCAAGAACGTCAGCCCTTCCTGCTTGGCCATTTGTTCGCCTCCGCCGGTTGAAAACACATTGCTGACTTCTCCGCAACATGGGCAGACGTATCCGCTCATGTTCTCGATTAAGCCAAGAACGGGCAGATTGACAGTCCGGGTGAATGACAGGCATTTCATCGCGTCCATCAGGGCCACGGCCTGCGGAGTCGTAACAATCACAGCTGACAATCTTGAGTGTGCAGGGGCCATATGCTCGAGGAGTGATAGATGCTCATCGGAGGTGCCTAAGGAACGTTGAGCTAAATCGAAATTCGCATCGGATCATGGTAAGCGTACCTGGCGGGGTGTCGATCACCAAATAGTCCAGCTCTCCCCATCGCACGTCACTCAGGAATTGGCGTATCATGGCGTTCTTCTTGGGTCCTCGCCAGACGACAGAGTCCTCTTTCCGCTTCAGAAGAAAGCCTACACTCATGCATCCGAGTCTTGCCTCGCTGCCATCAGCATAGACAGGGACCCATCCCTCGCTACTCTGCAGAACGCCGTGACCATCAAGGCCCAACATCCGCGGTATAGATGGGCCCGTCAGGTCGACATCGAGGATTCCTACACGGGCACTTGGCGAAGAGGCATATAGCGAGAGAGCTAACTGTGCTGATACGGAGGATTTCCCGACACCGCCTTTCCCAGAGCATACGATGATAATTTGTTTTATGGCCTTGAGTCGCCTTCCGACGGGAGTTTCGTCGGCAGCCATTGTGGCGATTGTGCAAAGCAAGGATACAGCTCGGATGACAGCATGACAGAGCTTCACCAAGATTCGGACGAGATGACTGAGGAAAGTGCCTTACGTAACACGCCTATCGTGTCCGAGTCAACGTAGTCGCGAAGTTCGCGATCATTGTGGCGTTTCCGAATCCCTCATCCAGGCTGCCAACGTCTTCTTCACTCTCTTTCACTGGTGTGCCGACGACAAAGCCAACATGCCTAGCGCTCGCAGGACCCGAAGTAAGCGGGGAATAGAGGCGAACCAGGAAGCGTCGTCCCGTCCGGGCAAGAAACCAAGGAAATCAGCAGCAATACAAGAGACCGGGAAAGCTGAACATGCTGACCTTGTCCATGGAGAGCTCACTTCTTCGCTCGACCGCCTGCCTGAACTGCCAATTGATGTGCTCTACGAGGTATGTGGTGGGGGTGCCGGTCATTGCAGTTTGACTAAATTGATGCAGATTTTCGGCCATCTCGCTCCGGAAGACCTACTGCGCTTGGCAAGGTCAAACAAGTCCTTCAGGAACTTGCTGCTGAGCCGTTCCTCCGCAGTGGCTTGGAGGACGGCTCGTCACAATGCCCCGGCACTTCCCAACTGTCCGCCTTACTTAAGTGAACCTAAATATGCAAGCCTCATGTTCGAGTCCCATTGCTATGTACACATTCTTCTAATTCTGCACACTCTCGTGTTGTCTGATGCCATTCGTTTCTCTGACATTAGAATTGTGGCGTGGATGATGAAACCCAGACAGATGTGTTGTGGGAATTCAACGTTCGTTATTGTAAAGCTTGCAGAGCAGCCATGTAGGGCCTTCCATTGTCAGATCGATTCCTGCCGCTTACCGGAGCTTAGGGTTGTTCTGAAGCGTTCTGATGAACCCGATTTGAATGACATCCTTGTTCTACCACACGCGTCTGGCAAGTTCTCAATCTCCCCATGTCTCCTACAGTATGTTATTTACTGATATGTAGGACCCGAAAGAAGGGGGATGGCAACCTACTGGTTCCATTTGCCAGATCTAATCCATCACGACGAGGTTTTCAATCAATCCGCCAATCCTCCGTCCGAGGACTTCAAGGAAGCGTATGCGCTCACGAAAGCAGAGCTTACCCTGCAAATTACTGAGGTGTGTCTCTAACCTACTAGGCCAACGCAAGTAATGCTAAAGCACCTACATTCAGTATGCTCCAATGTTGCGAAAGTACACTGCTGCAATGAAGAAAAGGCGCCAGCAACAGATCAGGACAGCGAAAAATAAGAGAAGAGCCGAGTAATTGCCATTCACCTGTTTCAGTCATTTGCGGTGACTTACTTGCCTTAGTATCTGTCAGCGTCTGCGTCAAGGGGAATTTGAGGAAGATATCGATGTTCTAACGACTTCGCCTCACCGGAAAGACTGGCAACTGTTTTCTCGTCATCCCCTGGTGGACTCTACCGAGGAGTTAACCCACGAAGGTGCCGTTTCTCGCCCCAAGTCTCCCTCTACAAGCTTATGCATGTGCATCGCTAGGCTGGGACAGTATAAAATCGGGAATATTCCAATTCATGCAGGATTATCGAACCCGTCGCCTACTTGTCCAGTATAAACATACGCTCATTCATCGTTTCGAAGTAGTTCGGACCGCTGCAGATGACCAGAGACGAAAGCACGATGGTATCAGGCCGCACTTCGTCGACTTCTGCCTGCTTCCTCAAGTCCGTGCTCTGCTCGATATCCCGCGGGACAAGAACGTAGACCAACGTGCGCTGGATCAGCTGTTCAAAACATATCCTATTTTAGCAGAGGACTGGCGGACCATCGCAACAAACCAATTACGAGCACATGCCAGAAGGCAGATGGCACTTCCTCTGAATGAAGACCAAGACCCGCTTAAGCTGGCAGTTGCGTACTTCAAATGCACAAAATGCAACGTCGTCGTCCTTTACCCTGCGGCCCTGGAACACTCTTGCTGTTGGCGTTGGCCTGAAAATGAAAATTCTGAATCAGAACGAGACGTCCTCGTCGAGCCAGTATACGATGACGCAGCTCGTGTTGCCGCGGGAGAATACCCTTGGTCTTGCCAGCGCTTGGAATGGTGCCCTTGGGCTGACAAAATAGAGAAAGTGTTCCAAGTATGCGGCTTGAACCCAATGGCGACGACATTGTCTCGAGCTCAGGATTTGGATCACCGCGTGAAATTGGTTTGTACCTTGTGTCGGCCTCGCAGACGTAAGAATACCATGTCTTTCCTCGACGCGGTCAGTCCCTTATGAAACTTTTGGACGGCATGGTCATGATGATGTCGTTTACCTCACAGATCGAACACTGCATATACAGTCATTCTCGTTACGAGGCGGAGGAGACTGGTTGGGAGCTGCCTGGACCTGGCGATGAACCGGAAGAGGTGCTTAAGGAAGAGTCTGATACACCAGTATAGTTCCAAGGAGGGGTAGCAGCCGAAGACTCCGCGCTTGCTTGGTCGCTCGAGATATTGTCTGCTGTCAGCACTTCTTTTAAGACAAGATATTTGTTCTGTAGTCGGCATAGCTTCAGACTTTCAAAGTTATAGCCTATATTATGAGAATCGCATGGAGGTGAGATGTTACACAATATGTATCATATTCGCAGGAGTTCAGGCTTCATGTTCTACCAATCACCACGTTTAGGCAAGTAGGATCATATCGTCTTAATACAGGACTCACCATCTTACACAGGCGTGCCATAAGACCCCCGAGTTGTATCAAGGTACCCACCCCTTCTAGGATGCGCATATGCGTGAACCCAATCTCCTGTACACAGAAGTTATAAAAACAGAATTATAGATTGCTAAGATGCCAACGCACCTTAATAAACTCGAGTTTGGTATACTCTGGCAATCTGTCGAATAGTTCAGAGTACTGTGAAGCGCCGGTCAGAGGATTGCACTCACTCGTCTGACGTCTTAACCACTCGGAATATCGTGACAACGATATCAACAGCGCTGTAACCTTGAGCCCACAACTCAGACAGCTTGTCCATAGCGTCATTGATATCCCCTTTTGTGCATGCACGAATAATAGCTTGGACAGTGATGGGATGGGGCTGGTCGCACACTTTGAAGACGTTGTCCCCCGATACAAATCCGAACCCTGACCAAGTCGACTGAAGATTGTTGATGGCCTGCCGCATGTCTCCTTCTGACGTGAATATCAATGCTGTTAGGCCATCGTCGTTATATTGGACCTCCAAGGACTCGTCAGTTATAGCCCAATGCTGTCCACATAGCTGGGCTCACCTTCTCCGCCTCACATATCTCTAACAGCCGCTTTAAAATTTCCGCGTCTCGCAGCTTGGCATACCTCAAGATAGCGCATCGACTTTGTATGGGCTCGATGATCTTATTGGACATGTTGCATGCCAAGCAAAAGCGTGTTGTATTCGAGAAGATCTCCATGGTTCGACGTAGTGCTTGCTGGGCTCCTGCTGTCATACTGTTTGTCGACGCGCGTTAATGGCATCTATCGTGCGTTGTAGCTGCCTGAATGCCCCACCTGTCTGCCTCGTCCAGTATGATGATTTTGTGCCGTCCCGGAGGTAGTGTGACCTTCTTCTGTGCAAACGTTTTGATCTTGTTCCGAACCACATCAATACCTCTAACGGAGCCGATCATTCACAGTTCAACAAACTGTCGAGAGGATGATAATACCTCTCATCTGACGCATTCAACTCCAGTACCCCCTCCTTATAAGCGTCACCGAGTAACTGATGTGCCAGGCAGTGTATACTTGTGGTCTTTCCGATCCCAGGCATGCCCTAACACCCATCCTATAAGTCCCTGTCAGACGTGCTTGCAGAGTACAGAGCATACCGATATGATGATATGCGGACAATTCCCGTCGCGCGCGATGACCTTCAGGCGCTCGATGGTCTCTGTGTTCCCTACGATGTCGTCGAGGACATGTGGTCTGTACTTCTCTACCCAGGGAAGTTCGTAGGTATCAGCGGCGCCGTTGGCTTTCTCTTTCCCCTTGACCGATAAAGTCATGAATGATATATGACGAGCCCGAAGGTCGGTGGAGGATGTGATTGCAATGTGGTTGGACGCGCCGATTGCAAGCCATAAACGCGTGACTCTTCTGTGACTCTACGCGATTTGCTGTCACGCGCAGCCCGAGCATCCAAATGTCTGGCATGCTGTCATGTAGGACTCAAAGGCATGTCGTCCGACGACTGTACGAATTTTGTCTGTGTTCATCTTTATCGTCAAACTGTGCGTTTTCTGATACACCTCAGATTCCAGAAGCAAAAATTATTCAACGCAACCTGAGAAGGGCACCTCTAGGCTACCTAAACCCAGACTGGACTATCGCGGTCTCGTCGAAGACATTAGTTTCAAGTCTCATAACGCCTTCAATCGAAAGGCACCACTTCCTAATGGGGCCCTGCAGTCTATCGCGCGTCTCTATGCTGATCAGAAAGCAATCGCAACTGCTCTAAATGCGAAACGCCATGCACAGTCCACAATTGGAGACCACATACGCGCTAGCTCCGGAGACCCGGAAGCTAAGAAAGCAGCCCTGGAGGACGCCAAATTTCTGAAGTCAGAAATCGTGCACTTGGAGGAAGAACTGACTGCAACTGAAGACCGATTGCTTGCACTAGCACTCGCGGTTCCGAATGATACGCACCCATCGTCGCCTATTGGACCTGAAGACGCCGCTTCTGTCTTGTCCATTCATGGTCCAGAACCGATACCTGCATCTTCGTCCAGGGACCATGTGAGCATCGCCCGGTGTCTCGGCCTCTTTGATCTCGAGGCTGCGGCGACGGTTACAGGGTCCTCCTGGTATTATCTACTCAATGAAGCAGCATTACTCGAGATGGCCATAACGAATTACGCGATGTCTATGGCTATTGCACACGGGTTTACTCCGGTCACTACTCCCGACGTTGTCAGTCTAGACATCGCACGCAGGTGCGGGTTTACCCCGCGGGACCCGCAATCGAGCTCTCCAACCTCACAAATGTATCATATTACTCAGCACCCCGGGGCCGAGCAGGAGGGCCACCATCCAGAACTTGTTCTTGCGGGTACCGCTGAAATCCCGTTGGCCGGTATGTTCGCTAACAAAGTGCTAAACTCTCGCGAGCTACCGGCCAAGGTCGTAGGCCTCGGCAAAGCCTTCCGAGCCGAAGCAGGTGCTCGAGGGGCAGACACCAGGGGTTTATACCGAGTCCACCAGTTCACGAAACTAGAGCTATTCGTCGTGACTACGCAGGAACAGAGCGAGCAAATGATGGACGAAATGAAACAGCTGCAGACCCAAATCTTCGAAGGACTTGGACTGACATTCAGGTGAACTACAATTATCATGGTATTGATGGATTCAGTGTTTAAACCCCGGTAAATCCAGGGTGCTTGACATGCCTACAGAGGAACTGGGTGCAAGTGCCTATCGCAAATATGATATGGAGGCTTGGATGCCAGGTCGTGGTTCTTGGGGAGAGATTTCTTCCACCTCGAACTGCACGGACTACCAGTCTCGGCGCCTTCACATCCGATATCGCCCGGAATCGTTATGCTCGTCATCAGAGCCCAAATCCTCTTCTCCCGCAGGACCAAAGACGCTTCCGTTTGCCCATACTCTCAACGGCACTGCCGCAGCCGTACCCCGGCTCATCGTCGCTCTCCTAGAAAATGGCGCGCGTTTTGACAAAGTGGGGAACGTCGTGGGGTTAAATCTTCCAAAGGCGCTTCAGCCTTTCTGGGTAGGGGCTATTAATAGTGAACGGGATATCATCCGCTGGGTGTAAACCGAGCCATAGACGATCTCGTGTGGTCGGTGACAACTGTCATCTGTGATATATCACTCTTGCTTTATTCTGTCCATGTCTCGCAGTCTGAGAAGGACGGGCGCGTGGTCGCTATGCGCACGCTCCTGGGGGTCCTCTAGGTATGCGCTTTCTACGACGTTGCCTATGAGTCGGCGATCGACCAAGGCATAGTCCACTCTGGCGCAATCTGTCCCTCGTGGCTTCCCCTTGGCAAACCAGCTGAACTCGTTCTTGTCCCCGTGGCGCTCGCGGAAGATGTCGACAACTGCAGCTTGAGGTATAAATTGCTCGTTGAATTCTTTCCGCGCGAGGGCGTGCGGATATTCAGTACGGAGTCTCGGAATGCAGTCGCGCTTCGTGAGTGAAATGTTAAAATCTCCTATGAGGATGACTCGTAGTCCCCGTGCTCGCATCTTCTTGACCTCTTCCAGGAGAAGCTTGTTGAACTCGCGTTTTCGCTGATTACGCGTCTTGCTTGTCGCCTTCTGCGGTGTGCGTTGGTCCACCCAGGCATACTCACTGCCATTGAGAGCATATACGTTAACAAGGGCCCAGCCACTGTGCATCTCCAGGATCATGACCCTTCCTTCCACGTCCCACTCTACCTCTCGAGCTACGGCAATCTGGGATGGATTTTTGGCGTACGTAACCACGCCGAAATGGCGCTGTCCCCTTGTGGCGCGATTGAGGGACGTGTAAGCCGTGTATTTTGGTCCTTCGGAACCATTGGCTGCAGCAGCTAACGCTGCTATCCACTGACTGTCGCCGTGCCTGCCACGGACTTCTTGCAGGCAGACAAAATCTGGGAAGTTATGCCGCGTTATCAACTGTCGCAGGACGTTTGGCTTCTGTTGCTTTGATGAGGTGACCCCGTAGGACACGAGTTTACGAGGGTGCAAGTCTAAGAAAGGTGCAGAGGTTTCGACGTTCCAGGAGATTACTGTTACGACTTGCGATGGCGCGTCAACCAGGAAGGGACTCCTCAGCTCCGAGGAGCTAGGCGTAGAGCTTCTAACATCCGTCGGGACATCCGCACTTGAACGTCGCACTTTCTTGGCTGGTTGAAATGTTTCGTCGCCTGATTCCTGTGTCACTTGAGAGCGCTTTGACATAGCGGCGAAATGGTTGAAAGTGTGGTACGCCGGAGTTGGGCCAGAGGGCACTGTTGTCTGGGATGTAGTGAAAACGAGATGATCCGAACATGCGAAACAAGGCTGTGACGCAATGCTCTGCGCTTTATCTGTAACCCGACGACTATATGTTTAGAACGATACAATAGAGCATATTCGGTGTGGTAATTACTACGGGTGGAGCTCCCAAGTAAGGGAATTTTGATGGATTTAAGCGACCCCATTGGCCCCATGCTGTGGTAATTACCACAGCGAATATGCTCTAATGTATACATGGAGAGACGCCGTAGAAGCTACATGAAGCAGAATTCAACTAGACCGGTCCATGGGTACAGAAACTACCTTACACTCCCCCAACAAGTATACTATAGACTGTGAATCTTCCACAGCTCTCCCCACATTACTAGGACTTCACCATTGCATTCCCTTCTTCTCCGCAATACCAGGGGTACCGACGCCTGACATCTCCGGTTCAGGATCCTTGAAGGGATCGGCGAAAGGGTCCTCAACATCATCGTCGTGGAGGAGACTGCTCTTCGCCTCTCCTGCAGTGTTGTTATCCACGGAATATGACCGCACTGTCGAGGGCCCGGGCGCGGAGGTTTGCCGCTTATGTGTCTCCTCGTCAGATGACTGGTAGTCACTAAAGTCAGAGAGCGAGCCCCGGCGATACGTGATGTCTTCGTCATCAGAATCCGCACTTCGCGGTGCTGACGGCCGTAAGGGAGGAGGGAGATTGCTATTACCAAGTAGTGTCAGATATATATCACCAGGCGTTATGATCGTATATGAAGCCTACTTCTGCTCTGGCCCTAACGACCCAAAGCTGAGATCCTGTAGATCAGGATGCGTGCCTGACCCCAGCTGCGGTGCTCTTTCTTTTCCCCGAGCGCTGCTGGCCTGCGCAGCACGGGCAACGGCAGCTCTCTGTCTGCTTTGCAAGTGTGCCTGGTCGCCGTCCGTGATCTTGGCTGCTTCCAGTCGAGCTTGCACGGCTGATACATCGTCCTCCGTGACGGTCGGTCGTGATAACTGTAGCGCATATTAGCAAGGACAGCTAGATATCAGCAGAGATTGACATACGGTGTTATACATTTCGAGGGCTTGAACCAGCCGGTCATTCGTTTCAATCAGAGTACCGATGAGTTCCTCGTTCTCAACCAACTAGACGCGCATCCAGGTCAGAGCACCTGGGTGGAAAGTACGAGAGCCAGCCTACCTGAATATATCGGACGAGTTGTTTCCGTACTTGCTTGGCTTTCATCAGGCGATCTTGAACCTGTTCATTCGTTTGCAGACTGTCATGTTCCGTGTTTACAAGCTGCAAGATGTCTGTTATCGACGGTGATTTGAGAACAAATTGTGAAATGCTCACTGTTATAGCATTCACTAGATTGCTCGAGGCTTGAGACGCATTGGCAATCGTGGTTAATATCTCCGGTTTTTCCTGGACAGACTGTGAATTCCTATCGGATGGCTAACCGCTTGCAATCTACGCACCTTCTCGAAGTCGAACGGCTTGCGTCTTACACGCGTCTTCGCCTTCCTCAATTCCTCCTCTCGCTTCATCTTCTCCCTTTCCTTCTCCTCCTTCGCCTTTCGCTTCGCCTCCTCCTTCTTTTCCTTCTCCTCCCGCTTCCTGCGTTCGTATTCCAAAGAAGCCCTCTGGCTTTCAGTGTCCTGTGCCCAGAGGCTGCTGGGATCGACCGTCCTACTCGTCCGTGGGCGGCACTGACTGTAGAGGTTTGCGACGAACGCCATCGATGGGTCGCCCTGGAACTGGTTCTTCCAAGATGCAAGGACCGACAGTAGCTTCTTCTTCACTTTTGGGTCAGTGGAAGGGTCTGAAGCCAGATTCTTGATAGCATCCGTAAGTTGTGAATCGGCAAAAGTGGCTGATCGACAAGTGAGTGGGATTCAGAGAGGGAGAGAATAGAAGGTGATCACTTTGGAACTTATGTCCTCCATTCTCTACAAGTGCTTTCAAGATCTACGGGACCGATGAAACCGTGCCTAGGGTGAGTCCAAGCGTACGCCATGAGGCGAGATACTCACAACTAGGGCTCGATACTGCTGATGGGAGTTTCCATGCTTCAATTTCTTCCTGATAGCTCTGGATGCCTCCGCAGGGCTAGAGAAACGATCTCAACGGCAACCCTTCGCAAGTGCCGGCGCCGCCACATACCCTGTGGGTTGCAGATTGATTACATCCACTAATTCTGGGATCCTGTAATCCAAATTAACTGAGCCTATTCAACAGCGTGTTCAAGACACATACCCGTCGTAAGCCTCGTCCTCGACAGTGCTTGCAGTCAAGATCTCGACCCAATCTGTAACAGAAGACTTGGTCCCCGCGTGAGATTACAGTAGCTTTGCGCAAGTAACACCACTGACATGAGGCTTTTCATGATTCAAAAAAGAATAAGCAGCCTTCGCTATGCTAATGGTAGCCATGGTAGACAAGAGTAGAGAGAGCAGACACAGACAGAGATAGTGCCGGAGTGCGGCGGCAGTGCTGAGAGCGATAGCTAAATACAGTCACCGTACACAACTACGTCAATCCTTGATTGTTCCTCAAGCTGCAGCTACATGTAGAGCTCCAGTGCCATGCTCTCGACGACTTGTCAGCCGATGAGCAGCAACATGCGCAGCCGGTCATAAGATACGGCACATTATTAGACCAAAGGTGCATGATGGACGGAAATGCTACCGTTTCCTCTCCAGTCGCCACTTGTACACCCGCGGCTTGTACGCCTTCTCGTCGACGGGTTTCCTGCCTCGCTTTGGTTCGTCATCCTCGCTTTCATCCCGGTCATCGCCTTCGACCTTCTCCAAACCCCTGATTTTTCTCGCACCCCCCTTAGCCATCAGTAGTCTCTGCATTTCCAACTCCCTCTCGGCATACCGCAGCATTCGGTCTCGGGACAAGCGTGCCGATAGTTCTTTCAATAGCCTCGAGCGGTACTCCTGCAGGGAGGTACTTGGGTAAGCAGATCCGTACTCAAGAGTCTGTGTGACTTACCCTGGCTTCTGCGTCCAACTCCTTACCAACATCCGTCATCTCGGCATCTTCGGTCTCGGTTTGAGACGTGCGTTTCCGTCTCTTTTTCGACTTCTCAGCGGGTTTCCATCCAAGATCATCCGCCCCAGTATGCTGCGGTTGTCCCTGGCTGTGGTCATCGTTTGTACTGCGTTTGCCATCACTGTACCGCTGGGCTACATAGCGCGTTTGATTATCATGCAGGAGAGCCTTTTGAAGGACTAACCTTCCTCCTGACTGTCCACGAAAACTACATGGTTCGAAGAGGCCTTGTCTTTCCGGGACATCTTCGAAGGAGGGATTATACCGGCCTCAACGAGGATATTGACTTCGTCCTCGTCCAGCTCATCGTCGTCGTTCAGCTGGCCTCCTGGGTGACCGGGCTTGACGAGGTCAGCCAAGACGCTCAGCTGATTCCTTAGTTTGTCAATTTTCTGTGTATCAGTCAATTAGCTTGCCGACACGCAATTGAAGAGATGTGCGACACACCTTCAAACCGGCAGTACGCATGGTGCGTATATAGTTCTCATCTTGGGTCTTCAGCACCTTCACAATATCCACCGGAAGAGCGACATTTCCTCTATCTTGTACATGCACGCCTCCCTATTCAGCCGCAGAAAAGCTTGATGAGCTTTAGCCCACTTTCATTTTCACCTCAACCAGCCATACACACCTGGGTCTTCCCCCTGATCATGCCCCAGTAGAACTCATCTTTATTCCTCTCCGCTGCCTTCTGCCGCAGGCGCTGCAGCCGGTCTTGCTTCGAGTGGTAGTCTCGTGCACGGAGTACATAGTCCTTGTGCTTCTCTAGAAAACCTAACCGTGTCCGGTGTGCGAGCTGCGAACGTTCCTTATGCTGTCGCCGATGCAGAGAATTGCGGAGAGACGAAGACATGATAGACTGAAGAGAAAGTGATCTAAATCAGGAACAGGACAAATGGACGTTGAATATTTGTCGAAGGACAAACAGAGACAAATCCGGACCTACAATCCAGATATGCGATATAACCTGGGTATACGCTGCAGATTGGCATATGCGCATAAAATGAACACCGTTTGGTATAGACGATATGCAATACACTAGTACTACTTAGTGCTAGGTTACACCCTGACTCAACGGCTAAGAATCCTCCCGGGACCTTCGCTGGGTAACGAAAGCCCTACTAGTGCCAACATCCGAAAGAATCCACGAGAGTTTTTGTCGCATGGTACTGGGTGAAGGTCGAAGTCCGGCTTGTCGTTTTGAGAAGGTACAGGCCCTGATCGGCCTAGTCATTTGCGCTCTGGTCAGGGGTGCGTACGAGACGTTCTGGGTCTCGAGGATGCTGCCAGGTGCGTGAAGGAGGGAGAAAGTCGTCAGGCAAGGCATGTCTAAGAACTACTCGGCATTAGCTTGTGAAGGCACCCGTCCTCGGTCTGATTCCTGAGTGATCCTGTGCGTGTCTGCAATGAGTGCGGATCCATGTACAGGGCTCTCAAGATACAGCCGAATCAGCACACTCTCCAAGGCCGCCACGCTGGCGTCAGGGTACTGAAAGGTCCTAGCGTGCTGCTTGACTGTATCAAAGAGGGTGCCCATCCGCTCCCACCTCTCGATCATGTCCGCGGGAGCCGTGGCCGGAGGAGGGAACTGAGGCAGAGGAGCGAGCATAGAGACGACCTCAGAAAAGTGACTTTGCTGGGCGGAGTGGGACTGTGGGTAGGATGCCGTCGATGATGCACCTGCAAGGTCGTCTTCACCTTGAGAGCTGGATTCAGATGAAGAGCGGGTGCCAGCTTCGTTTCTCAGTCGTTTGGGAGGTCGGCCCCGGCGTCCCTTGTGCTCCTTCTCGAATTCTACCTGTGCCTTTCTGCCCCGACGAGTGAAGGGAAGATTTGCAAGTCCAATTTCATGTGAATGCTCAGAAATATCTGTGCGTCGAAGCTAAGCCACGGCCAGACAGCATCCGAAATTAAGATGTACTTACAGCTGACACGAACCTCGGGAGTATGGAAATAAGTTTTGAAGCTTATGGACGCGGGGCAACCTACACCTTCAATCTACTTCCCCATGTCTTGAGCTTAGTACCACAGAATTTCATAGGGGCGCCTTCAACGAAGGTACCGTACCTTGCGACTCGGGACCTTCCTGACCCTCTCCGGGTGCTTCTTCACGTATTTCTTTCTCCCGCTCCTCTGGTGCCGCGCACACACCAGCTTGATGTGATCCTTGAACCTTGGAGGGTTGGCCTTAGAGCCGTGGGTGTCGCCCTTCACGAATTCGACCACTTTCTCCTCTTCCTCTTTGCGCCGCCAGGCTTCGAAAGCATCCATATTCTCAAACACCATCGTGTATCCATCGTCTATGTCTCCAGAGCCATAAGGGGCCTTTGGCGTCGCAGGCCTCTTACTGGGCTGAGGTATCTCCGGCTTGTTCAATTGCACCTGAAACTGCCCTCGACTACTGGCTGGCGTATTGGGATCGTGAATTATTGAGGGGATACTACTGGATGCGGCAGGCTGCAGAGAGATTCCAGGAATCTGAAACGAAGGGGAGGGGCCGAAACTGGCTTCCAGTCTGAAGTGTTGGAAGCTCATCGTATGTGGCAGGAACTTGAAGGGACCCACAACAGCTCGGTAATGGGAACGCTGATCGACAGATCTTCGATACTCACGTCAGGTCACATCACAATTACCCGATGCATACTATCATTGAGGGGGTTCTGCAAAAAGTATCGAATTCGGCCTGTAGCATTCCGCACACTTGACGGATTCTTACCGGATCTTCCGCATATTGTGTGTGACTTAGTGATGAACGTCTTCATGATTTTTGTGCATTTTTATGCAGCCTGTGGAACGTAGGAGAGAGATGCCGGTTCATGTAGGGGGTTCTGCAAAAAGGTGTCACATGCGGTCACAGTGGGATCTCGCCGCGAGCCATGTCACGCTTTTGTCACGATATGGGCCCGGGAGATGTGCAAAGTTGCCTCTCTATCTCGACACGCTCGTTATTTACTCTATCGGGCTGGTGTATTGTACTATAGACAGCATATTCATGATACGCCAAGCCATTCCACTGCAGTCCGTTGAGAGCATCACGAGAGATCTAGTGGACACTGTTTCTTTCCCA